AGTACATAAAATATTTTATATGCTAAATTAGAATAAAACATACCCGTGTACCAAATTTTATTTATATCGGTTTAGTAGTTTTTGTGCGAAAAGTAACAAACATCCTTACAAACTTTCACATTTTACAGAAACATACATTTATTTACATTAATTATTTATTTTACATTAATAAACACATTCATAAATTAATAATTATAGAAAAAAAAACTTTTAATTTTATAATTATAAAAAGACAATTCCCTTAGATAAAAGTTTAATTAACATATTAAGATTAAAAAAAATGATCATATCTTCAATCTTGTTAACCATCATAATCTTCCAATATAAGGTCCTCCTGATTGTAAGCAGTCCTAATTTTTATTTGAATTTTCATTTATTAAAATTTTCACTCATAAATCATAATCATCATCTTTAAAGGCAACAAAGGGTTTTCATTCATTCATTCATAAATTATTCGACAAAAAGAAGTTATTTCAATCTCGTCAAAATGGTCAAAGAATCAAAACTGATATAAACCCTTTCTTTTAAATAATAATCCTCAAAATCGTTCAAAAATAGCAAAGATATAAAAGATATATGACCCAAAAAATATACGATTCAATTGGTTACCTTCTTCCTTCTTATACTAAAAACGTCTTGTTATTTTTATCGTACACAAAAGCCTCTACTCACGTGGCTTATCGGATCGACTTCACGTGCCCTGTGTGTATGAAGCAAAGGTCAATCATTTTAGAATAATCTAAACATGAATACCATAAGTTTCTTAGAAATCCTGCTTCACCAAATATTCACCTACTGATATGAATTATTAAACTAAAATTGTGGGGATGTAAAGTTTTGATTTCGTTTTGTTTGTTTTTATTATAAATGACAAAATTATTTTACAGTTTGAAAAAAGATGCGATATTAAAGTGAAAATAAATTATTTATTATGAAGAATTATCTCATTTTTATATATATATTTTTTTTTTTACTTATTAACTACTCTTTTCAATTAATTAAAGTTCGCATTCAGAAAAGAATTGAAAATGTAAGAAAAAGGTGCAAACCCTGCCAATAAGGAAGCTCTATTCGAAAAATAGAAGTTAAATTTGACTAAATGTTAACTCCAAGTAACTGATACTGAAGTTTAGTTTAAATATATAAATCACTTCAATAATATTGCAAAACAATCAGAGACTTCAAAATTCACTTAATAGAGAATCTTTATATCTAAATAAGTAAGAATAAAAATTTATACCTAAATTTAAACCTTTATTTAGCTTTTTTCGAAAATTGATTATAATTTTAATTATTATTGAATTACTTTATGATTCATTTAATTTTATCTAATTTATATACTTAAATAGCTACATAAAAGATAACATTTTTACAGGAAATTATATATATACATTATACTATCATTTCCGGTATCCGTGATTTACTTGATTATAGAGTACGCTAGCACATTGGATGACAGTAGAGTTCGTACTACAGAATTCAAATAAAAAAAAAACAATCAAATCAATTATTGTTATTATATAGTAACTATGGCAACCTCTATAATTTTAAATCATGTTCTTAGATTTGGAATGCGCCTCTTGGGTAGCTTTTTCGCTAACCGCTTATTAAAAGATTCAAAATGACAAAAAAACGGTTTGCGGAATAGAAGACAATCAAAACAGGTGGAAAATACGAGGGTCAAACTGAAAGTCCTTAGAAAATCAAAAACTGATTAAATTAGCAAGTTTTTACCTTTATTTTATCTTTTCAAAATAGTGTCCATTCATGTCAATACATCGCTGCATCCAATAGAACCACTGAGAAAAGCACTTTGCCCACTCGTCCTTAGGGATCTCTTCGACGGCCTTCTGAAATGTAGCCACATCTTCCTCGGCGTCCATAACACGTTTTCCTCAAAGTTTTTCTTTTATTTTTTGGAATAAATAAAAATCGCAAGGTGCGAGGTCGGGGCTATAAGGCAGATGACCCATTAGTTCTACGTCAGAGGTCGCCAAATAATCGATCGTTTGCCTGGCGGTGTGCGATGAAGCATTGTCGTGGTGAAGGAGGATCCTACTGCGAGGTCGTTTCTCGTGCACTTTTTCCAAAACACTTGGCAAACAATTGTTACTGTACCACTCTGCAGTATCTGTTTTTCGATCCTCTAAAACAATTGTCGCGTAATGACCTTCCTTCCAAAGAACGAGGCCACTATCTTTTTCCCACGCTTCGACCTCTCTTCACTTTACTTGGCAACTCCTCGGAAGGAAACACTCACTGAACTTTTAGTTTCGGGATCATAACAGTAAATCCAGCTTTCGTCTCTCGTAACTATGTCAAACACAGAATTTGAGTCACCTCCATTAAATCTTTCATGCATTTCACGGCATCAATCATCACGACGGAGTTTTTGAGCCTAGGTCAAATTATGAAGTATCCACCGAGCACAAAGCTTCCTGACCGCTAAATGTTCATGGAGGATTTTGTGCACTTGATTCATACCAATCCCTAAACTTGCCCGGATCTGCTGATAGGTCACTCTTTTGTCAGTCTCTATCATATGCCGCACAACACTGATGTTATCTTCAGTCGTCGCCGTAGAAGGTCGTCCCTCACGCACATCATCGGTGAGATTAGTGCGAACACGTTTAAACTTATTAAACCAATTGTAAACAGTGGCACGAGACGGGGTTTCATCGTGAAAGGCCAATCATAGTATATCATAACTTTCTTGTTGGCTTAGATGATATCGAAAGTTATAAAAAATCATCGTACGAAAATTTACTCTTGTTAAGTTCATGATAACGTTACACAGACTATTTTCAATTTGCCGCCAAACCGTAAAACAAATGACAAACGAATAAATTATATACTCACTATTATTCGTAAAGAGTTCCATTTTCAAAATTTTTACAATTTTTTTTATTATATTGCTTTCAAGTAGCCAATTCTTAAAATTTTCAGTGTAGCCCTCGTACAAACATATAAATTTGCCTTGTTTTACACAACGTCTAAATCCTCGACTGTCAATTCGCTTAAACTATATATAAGTTTACCAATATAATTTCATTAAAAACCATATGCATTTATAAGCAAAGCTCAATCCGTTAACCGCTCCGCCCTAAACCGCCCTATACTGCTTTGTAGGGCGGCAACAATTTTCCACGGGCGTCGCTGCTACCAGGACATCAGTTGTTAAAAGAGCTTTACAGTTATTATTATATAGAAAACCTTTTCTCCAATATTAGAAAGAGACAACCAAATATAAGACAAATACGCATGCGCACGAATATTCTCAAATAGATGGACCGTACTTACACGTGTACAGCAGCTACATATATATATAATACCTCCATATAACGTTTGACGTCATAACTTGACGAAATATGTAGATTATTCGGTATATAAGTAAAGATAAATATAATCATAGCAGCATTCTTAAAAATATAACTGTAATAATAATGAAAAATATATTATTTAATGAGGTACATAATAATGTATCACTAAATCCAAAACTCAGAATTTTTTTTATTAGTAAAGTAAATCATGTTTTTGTTGTAACAATATAAAAGGGGTTCTTTCCTATTTTTTCCTACTTAATTAGATAGTTTTATATAAAACAAAATCTTCAAAAATAAGGATAAACTGTATCCTATGTTAATCAAATAGTTACACAAATAGATCATAATGTATCTGTGTACTAAATTTCATTCAAATCCGTTTAGCCGGTTGAAATAATAATAATATTTTTATTCGAGTGACATACAGTTGCATAAAGTACAATTTACAATTTTTACAATTTGAGTAACAAATATTCAAACAACAACGTTTTCATTCTTGTAATAATCCTATCAATAACATGTGACAGTTTGTAAAAATACTTAGATGTTTGTTACTTAATCTTTGCTGAATAGATTTGACTATCTGATTTAACTTAAGCCGTAAATTACGAGTTTGTAGTGTATTAAGTAGATATTAAGTTACTCTAGTTATTAAATTTAACAAATATATTATATTGTAATGTACAAAAAAGAAATAACATCTTAAAACGATATTTCAATAGACAAGATATTTCGTAGTCTATACATGTTGGCTCCTTTTTTTGAAAGTTACTCGTGTGTAAAGTGTAAAATAAGTCGTTCATGTGTCTGTTACCAAGCAGTTGTGTTTGCATGACTGTTTTTTGGTTTAAAAGCCGGGTTATTGGGTGCAGAGGCATAACATCTTTGTTCTCAATTCTTCATGGAAATGGTAATGGCGATATTGGCGATGGTTACCACTTTTCATCAAGTGGGTCGTCAACCGTAAACCTGTTACAATATGCAAAAAAAGTCGCTTAAAAATCAACTTAACTTTAAAATATAGAAATTATCGCTTATTTTATAGCCATATAGTAGGTTTAAAAAAATAATTTTCAATAACTAAAAAAATAACTATTTTTATTTGTTTTAATGAGAACTTAAAAAGTCATTCGATATCATGCATCTGGAAAAATTTGCCTGTAGCTCAGAATAAAATAATTCAAAGAATTTACCTAATAATAAGTAATATTCAGAATTTGTTAATATTCCTTTGTTCTAGTTATTGATGGTTCAAACTATAGTAAAGTATAGATTTACATAAATTGTTCATTTTACAAGAGGTTACATGAATCTTTTGAAAATTCAACGAAAAACGTTACTGCTTAAATGGTCATTACACACATATCGCAGTACTTATTCAATTTGACGACCTCCAAAAGATAGGCAATATCAACCTTAACCGTATGGTAATGACGTCCTGAGCTGACGCAGACTAGTGGTAGGTACTTCCATATTTCACTTTACGTAACACACTGGGAGTAACCCCAGCGACATTTCACGACTTGTTATTAGGGAGTGGGTATCGAGCCTTGGGCGGCGGCGGCGTCGCGTTGTACGGCGTCGTAGGTCGTGACGCGACGAGCGAGTGACGTCACTCGCTAGGGTGGAGGGTGCACAGCCGATAGGGCAAGGGTAGATGTCCCCCAGTGAAAGTCGGCTGTACGGCGTCAGTTCAGTATCGCCTGGCGCGCCAGCCACTACGCGCGATTGTCCTCGTCCTCTATTCGTATATAACCTCTAAACCCCATGCACCATCCACTATATTCGCTGAATTTACGACGACACCAACTTCTAAAGTCGATGAGAAACTCGTACTCTAAATTGAGACAGTCATAAAGTCTCTGAAAATTTCCGTCGTCTTTAGTTTCTGTGCACTATTATTTTGAATGTTTCGAAAGAAATGTGCGAATTCGTCTTAGTATATTAAGACATTGACAAGCTATACAAAGTGATTAAAAGTAGAGCAATTGAAGAAATGTCAGCTGTTCACACTTAGGTATTAAAATAAAAATAAATACTATGTATTATTTGCTTAATTAAATGAATGTCAACTATAAAAAAGTGAAAAATGTTTGTAATTATGAAGCAGAAAGTATGTATCAGATATGAGTCAATGTATGAGCTGTATAAATAGATATAACCCAGTTACAACGACCCTGAAATTGTAGCTTGCAATTATTATACTCTCCGGGTTATTCCCGAATCATAAACATTATTAGATACAGAAATTGATAAGACTTGCATGCAAAGTTTACAAATAGAGTGTGTTCTGATATTTGGGAATGACCTACAAGTTGGGTTATTGGGCCTACGACTCTTGTTAAACTTTTTATTTACAATCTAATTTCAGCGGCGGTACACGAAGGCGGCTAAAAATAACTGGGGTTCGCGCGCTCGTGTCTCGCCCGCAGCCGGTGCGCCTTTTCACTCAATACACTATTTCTGTCTGTAGGAAAGCAATAAGATATCTACATGAAAACTAAGATTTGTGAACGATTGCTATATGGACAATGAGAAAAGTGCGTAAAAAGAAGCCCATTGTCGCAACGCGACACTGATTCACATGTATAGGTAGTGTTGTAAAAGAATTGTGCTTCCTACGTTACAGTCCCGCATTTGAAAAAGTGAGTATCCGTGTGTTTTTTTAGTATGTTTCTTATAGTAACAATTACAATTTAATCTGCATACAGCGTTAATCGTAAAAAATATACTAACCAAACCAAAATCCAGTTATTTACATATATTCATCAAATTGAACAACTTTGTGTACAAAGAAATATAAAAATAATATTCGAAACCTATGACACAATGAAATTTAATCAATTATTGTATTTCAACTATCATCTATGAAGATAGTTATTCAATTTTATTAACAAGTTTAACTTTATTTCGAGTTAGGTAGTAGATAGATATACTTATCCATTACAATTACTTGGCTAAATACTTTTATCTGTAATGCAAATTTTGATTCAAATACAATAACACAAAACTATGTAAAAAATGGCCTACACGTACTCGTATTTTAAAAATTGATGTTTTGATATCCAAGTCGATGTAACTCTCGGATCGGCTAAACGGGAACGGTCATCTAGACGAGAAAAGGATCCAATTTAAAAAACTTTTATTTTTATACAGCTTAGAATGACAAACAAGCTGTCGGAAACATGAACAGCGCCGAGGACATCACAACTTATCTAATCTACACTGTGAAACCCATGTGAATCTCGCGCGTTGCCCTTCCTAAGGTCTAAGTTGTTATTCCTTGTACCTGTAATTTCATTGCCATATCCCATCTCACAAATCGAAACTCAGTCATACAAGTACAGCTGTTTAACGATATAACAAATAAGTCTTGTACTAGATAACATGGACAGCTACTGTGTTGACACGTGTGCAGTTTCCATGTGACTCTTCAATGACCTCACAGATGATGTGTCCATTGCGGGCTATAGATAGGAAGTGTATTGTAGAAAGATTTATTACAAGTTTTATTGAAATTATGTTTAATTGAAATTACCACAGGAAGACCAGCAATGAATTTAGAAACATTAAATCGATTAATTGATGTTTAATATAGACTACTTTTGGACAGCAGAAAACGATCTTGGAGTCGGGGCAATTACTTTTGTTTTTTTTTTGTTACTTTTTTACCTTTTTATTTGAAGTGGTCGGTCACTAAACAAAATTGCACACAAAATACTAGATGGCGCTAGAATTGACACTTGTGGTTTCTGTTGATTTTTTTATAATTCAAAATATTTTGTGACAAAATTTCTAAATTGACGAGTGGCAGAATTTTAAATTCTGATCAGATAATAGGATGACTTTTACCGTAACCAGGCGTCTGAAGAATATTAAGCAATATTTTTCGACGCGTTTTTATAAAAAATAAAACAATAAGTTTATTAATGCAATATAGTCATATGAACTTATGAATAAATTATTGACAACTAAAATTACGGTAAAATTGGTGTTAATGTATATATCTTTCCAAAGTTAATATTTCTAATCAATGTATTTTTTTACATTAAACTGTTTAGCAATGTTTTTAAAAGTATATAGGCATACCTATACTATTGGCATACCTATTTTGACTTAAATCCATTTAAAAAAAATAAGATTGAGTTATCAAATTGAAAATTTTATTTTAGAGATAGGTAAAAATGACGCTTCAGTATCGACCCACGTCAGCATTCCACGTTTGTTTGCATGAAAAAAATAAACGACTTGACCATCTTAATGTTTAAGTTACAGACTACCAAAATCTATTTACCTGTCAATTTATTTCCAAATCGCATTTATTTCTTACGCTTCGAACCTAAGTTCCATCATTACCAATATGGTAATAGCTCCGTACAAAAATCTACATGGATAATTATAATAATGTTTATTTAATAAAACAATAAACAGACAGTTATCACTATACATCATACACATGTTCACAAAAAAAATATTACTTGTTAAAAAGGTCCCCACTCAGCATTGTAAGGCAGTGTCAATAGACTACAGCGAGGCCTTCGAGTACCTCTGTCCTACTTGTTTCTGCCGTGAAGCAGCTATACTTGCTCGGCTGTATTTCATTTTGAATTGTTCTGAAATTACAGACTACATAGGATTAAAGGGGGTACCATGAGCAAAACAATATGTATATCCGTGATAGCCGTGGTGTCGTTCATGTCTATAGGCGACAGTTACTACTTTCCGTCAAAAAGGCAATGAGCTTATAATACTTAGAATGGCAATTCTAAGTATCATAAAAAAACTATCATGTTTTTCATCAGTTCATTTACCATTTCATATGAATAAAAAAATAATAAACTAAGAATCATTCATTAATAAAAATTATACATGCAGTTTCCTCTAAAATATTAAATTGAAAGAATATTGTCCAACTTAGAATGGCAAACAAGCTAATGACTCATCACACAGAAAGTCGTATTTGTCGCCTATAAACAAGAACCATTCTCATATTGCAATTTTTTAAACTCTCGTCTATGTAAGAGACTTCCATAGTAAATAAGGTTACCCTCAAATAATCACCACTTAAGGATACTTACACATCAGATATTGCTTATGGTTTATATCAATCCTCATTCTAGGTATGAATTATGATTTACCTTATGATGGTTTCATTGTATTTCATTTTTATGTAATTTAATAAAACATGTTATAACAATTATAATTATTTATTCAACAAATACACAACAAAAATCTATTACATCAATTAAACCTATGTTTTGTATAATAATAAAAAATAATAATTTGAGCTTTTTAGAATACATAAATTTGAATCAAACATTCCTAATGCTAACAAAATTATGCTTATCTATATTTATTATTATACAGACTAGCCATACAAAGGCACTAATTATTTCCTACAGTATAATAAATTGTGCTGTTATTAACCACTTTTGGAAGACCATTAGTAAATTATGACATCTTAGTATAACAATTGTATACAACTTTTTCTTTGGTAAAATATTCTGGCACTATTCTGGTATGCAATGTAATTACTATTCATATTTGGTGCATACCTAAATAAAATTGTATAAAATAAAAATACCATTTACCTTTTCATTTCATTATTTATATAATTTTGGCAAGATCCCACAAATGTTTAAATATAAATAAAATATAAATATGTCAATAAACATAATACAATCAGAAATTATTTAAAATTTAATAACTACCTACTTATATACTACTTTTTAAATACACAACATGCTTCCAAAAGTTTATTTAATATAAAAAATTAAAATATGTTATATTAAATGTATTATGATTTACTTACAGGATTAGGCAAATAGTGCAATATCTAGTTATTTGTTAATTAAAATTGTTAACAGCACCAACCCTACACAGTATATAAATAAAAAAAGACAAATAAATACTTCACTTAATTAGTATAGGATCTAAATAAGCTGTTACCTTTGGCCATATTTCATCAGATGTGCGCCCTTCAAACTCTTTGAGAATATTTTTATTCCTATAATAGTCGATGACAGGCCTTGTTGCACTTTCATATATTTCCAACCTCTTCCTCACAGCCTCAGGTTTATCGTCAGGTCTTTGAACTAAATCTTCACCAGTTACATCGTCTTTGCCCTCAACTTTTGGTGTATTGAAACCAATGTTATAAACTCTCCCAGAAGGCAAATGAACCCAGCGGTTCTTTACTCGGTCAATAATAACCTCGAAGGGCACTACTAAATTTAACACTACATCCACTGGTTGCACTTTCCACAATGCATCTGCTTGAGCTACTGTTCTTGGAAAACCATCCAGCAACCATGACTTATTATTCACCTTATTTAATTCGGTAATCATGAATTTTATCATTACATCATCTGGTACCAGTTTCCCTTCATTCAAGTATTTCTTTACTTCTTTCCCTAAATCAGTTTGTTTTTCTATGTGGTCCCTCAGCTTGTCCCCACTTGATACATGTGATACATTATACTTCTTCACTATACGAGACGATATTGTACCCTTTCCTGATGCTGGAGCTCCAAGTATCAGTAGCTTCAATAATTTCGTCTTTATAGTCATGTTGAGCGATTAAACAAGTCGTTTGACCTTTGTATCACGCGTACTTTGATCGCTACACGCATTCGTGTAAAGCTTGTATTTATAAATATGCTCACCTAACAGTCAAGCTCACTTCTATTATCGATGAGTGGAAGTCAGCCGAGATTATTTTATTATCAACATAATTGATAAAATGTATTGATAAATAATATTATCCAATCAATACAATAGGGTTAGATTAGTTACGATAATTAAAGACACATAAGTATTATTTCGCAGGCTCATACTGATATGCACACATTTTATACGATTTTTATTATTATACAATATATAAATTCTTACACACTTAAAAGAAAAAATAGATAATTTCGAAAATAATTTCAAAACAAATACCAATGCCTTGAAACAACACCACACTAAACTGTCAATGTCAAAGTCAAACAAAATGTCAAAAGAAGGCAAGTGTCTTCAGGTTGTCACCACAGATTATCGTAGGTATGTACTTCCAAAATCTTTGGGTACTTGTATTTTTTTTAATGGATTATAAAGGAATAGTTACCTGCGCTATTGGAATACGCTGACACTGCAACAGTGAAGAATCATAGGTGAGGATTAAAAGGCATGTCAGTTATTTCATCGTGACGAATTCCACTAGAATTAACCACGACGATTTTTAAGAGGAACCGCGTGAAGGTCGACCTGATAAGGTGTATTGCTAACAATAGGTCAAGTAGACCCCATTACTAACAAACCCTTTCCCTCTTGAGTACTTGTATTGGTAACGAACATAAATTATATCGATAGCACGAATCCACAGACATACCAAAGTATTCACGCGTCGATTTTTAAAACGGATCAACTATTTGTCAGCAAATTGTCAAAATAGCTGACTCGTTATTTTTATTAATAAGTATTCTATATACTTGCGCATATGACATATCTATATTTAATTATTTAATAAATAAAATGAGTTATTTCACATTAAAAAGGTGCAGAAACTATAAGACAGAAAATAGGACTAAAAAGCAGTCACTTATCACCGCTATCTTAAATTTTAACCATAAATACATTTATAAATATTCACACACATTTTAAAAGAATTGACGCCAATTTTTAGTATTGCAAATAAACGAAAAAATTCCCCACATTTGAAATAAAATTCGCAAAATGAGGTAGACTTTTCCATATGAATTTAATTATTTTTAATTGTTATTTGTACATCTATGCTTATTTTTTACATATTTTTTATGTGCGTATATACTTAGAGATATTATTAGGTATTATGCAGACTATTCAATGTTATTCATATTAATAAATGAACGAAAGGATTTTTATTATTTGCTTGTTTTAAAATCGATATCAGAAAATTCGTATACATTTCAAATATGGATCAAGTCTCATAATAATCAAAATTTTTATTTAAAGCGATAAATGTATTTCTTTTAAAAAGAATTAACAAAATAGCATTAAAATTTTAAACGTTAGCTAAACTATAGTTCAACATGTCACGCACCTAAAATTTTTCTGTGTAATACTCTAGAGAGCGCACTTAGCTCCATTTTGAACACTTACTCCACTACAAACTGCGAGTCTTTCGCAATTCATGCTGCATTTATTTAGTGTTCACAAAGCTTATTGTTCTAAATCTAAAAGTATCTCACGTATATTATTATGCTTTCGTACTAACCATACGTCTAGAGTCGCTGCATAAACGACGTCATAATCTTTTATTAAATTATTAAATAAGAGTATTCATTACTAATAATCTTCTCTCCTTCAACGTAAACTTAACCTTATCAACCGATTTTTTTAAATAGACGATAATAGAATGATTGCTTTGCTCGCGCTATTGATCTATACTAACGGGAGACTAGTACCAGATGGTAAGGAATGATAAGGATGAACTGTTTGCAATATGTGTAATCAATGAATGGGATATATTTAAATACCTATGCCCATAAAATATTACTCTTCTTTCATTAATAATTGGGTAATTATTAGCAGTGGGCCCGCTAGTCCCCATTACTACCTACACTAACGATATACACTAGCAGGGCACCAGAGAGGGACAATGGGTGAGGATGGACGCAGGTCCGCTTTCCTATTATAACAAGATTATCAAGAATTAACCACGATTAGGGACCATGTGGAAGTCGACATGATAATGTACATTATTACTAGTAATGGGGTAGGGGAGACCGAGGAGAGTTGAACCATTTTTTATATTGAGACCCATAACTTTTTAATTAAGCGATAGAAATTAACTTGTATTATACTAAATTAAACCTTGTTTAACTAACTAATAAATGTTTAGGACAAAAACTGCTACTATTTCTTTTTTACCCATAAAAAGTTGACTTAAAGACAACTAGTGAGTTTGTATCAACTCCCCTCTTACTGAGATAAATTGAAACACTGGTCTAGGAGAGTTGAAACAATTATTATCTGGAAGCAATCCATTATTAAGAGACACAGATTTGTAAGTAAATGTTATATTAAAGTTACAATTATTCTTAATTTGTACTATCAGTCTCATAGTTACAATATTGAGATCTTAGAAACAAAAAAATAGCAAATAATTATACACTGAAATTTATAGAAAAAAAAAAAAAAAAAATCTTAGTCAAACAAATAGTTATGGCACACATAAGATATTTTGCCTTCAGTGCATTCCAGGTGTGCCCATGCCTTACACTCCATACACTGGATCCATTGTTCATTTAGCTTATTTCTACAATCCCTGAAATATTATATATTGTATTAACTTTTTCTGGGTGTGAGCGCATCCAGTTATCACATGTCCTGTTGACAGCTTTTTTCATAGGGCCAAAGATAGCTCGATCCATGGGCTGAAGTTTGTGAGTACAATATGGTGGAAATGTTAACAAAACAATTCCATTTTCCTTACAGAAATTAATGTTCTTTACAGCAGTATGTGAGGCATGGTTGTCCAGCAATAACGGAACTACAATATCTTTAGAATGACCGGACTTAATTTTTAAAATGTTCAAGAAATAAATAAAAATCATCTTCTTGGAACCATCCAGATCCGTTGGCTACTCCCATAGATCCAGATGGCCCATCACGAATACAATGATCATTAAAACGCTTGCGTGGGATTATAAACATTGGTGGAATGCAATTTCCTATTGCATTACAAGCTAACGCGATGGTGACCAAAGTGCCTCTTTTTGTCGAGGTCATGGCACTGACCTGTTTTTAACCTCGTTTGGAAATGACTCGATCTGGTTTTTGGACAGTTGTTATTCCAGATTCTTCACCATTCCAGATGTCCTTTGCGTCCAAGTGGTGTTTATCAAGCACAGATGTATAGTTTTTAAAAAACAATTCTACGTTAGTTTTGTTAAAGCTGGTCGCATGACCAAAACAAAATACTAATGCATAACAAAATGCAAACGAGGTGAGTTGAAACAGGCTGTTTCAACTCTCCCAGGGTACAGAAGTCGGCTGCCATTAGGTTTGAGCTGATATAACTTTGTTACACTACACAGTCATGCAAAATCTTTATTGCAGTTTAAATCTTAGATTCATAAGCTGGCAAATAACATAATACACTTAGGCTAAAACAGTTAATTAATAAAAATTTTGATAAAGATATTATTATGATGAAAACTTACTTTTATGTATTTTTTCACCTGATATTTAATAGCGGTGTAAGCGTCTATCATGGTGCATGAACGAATACTGAGCACCCGAGCGGGTGGCAGGAGGATAAAATTAGCAAAGTTACCAACTTGCTAGTGCTTTTAGATTTCCAGAAATTTGTATTGTTTCAACCTACCTTTGGTTCAGTTTTCCTCGGTCTCCCCTACATTATTACTAGTAATCCCCGTTACTGACAATCCATTTCCTCTAATGAAAACTGTTTCCAACAATCAATGAATAGGACATATCTAGACGATAGAGCAGACTAGATAATAGGGCATATAGAGACTAGTACCTAAGGTATGATGGATGAGGATGAGAAAACTGTTTGTCATATGTGTAATCAATGAATGGGCTATATTTAGATATCTATGCCCATAAACTGTTACTCTGCTTTCATTAATAATCGGGTAAATAAATTTCTAAAACTCTCATAACATAGAAATTAGAATTTCAGTGGGTGGATCTAATATAATAAAATACTTTAGATAGGTACATATAAGAAAAAAATAGAAAGCTTTTAAATGATCAAAGAGAGTAAATAAATAATTTGCGAATTCAAAGGAAATTTGCAGAAAAAATACAAAGGTTATCTCAAGTTAAAGCTAATAAATTTTATAATGTTATATCTATGTAGGAGATAAAAGAACTTCCTATTTTGAGCAAAATTAAGTACTGTTATTATAATATACTGATAATAACAGCCAATTATTTAGTACCAGAAATTACGTTAATATAAGTTTCATAAAAAAATTAATTGATCTGCAATTATAATACATAAATTCCAGGATGGCGCTGGTAATGTTGCCGTGTGACCTGCCCTGGTGGACTTCAGTTCAAAGACATCTAAAACATCTGCTTTTGGCATCATCACCATCTAAACTAACTGCAAACATGTTAAAAATTCATGACATGTGCAAGTAAGTACATAATACTCCCAATTCTGTTTTATGTTACTTATTATTTCTTGTGTATTTTTTGATATTACGTGCTGCAAACCGAAGTAACTATGAGATGAATGCAATACGTTTTTTCGGAAGTCTGTTCTTACTTTGTTTTGGTTAAAAAGTGTACATACAGTGTTAAGGTAAAAGGCGTAATTTTTATGGGGCACTTCATCCTCACTATTTCATACGATTGACGAGATGGGGACATCTCGTCAATCAAATCTCGTCGTCAAAAGAGGGGTCCTTGTTAATTTGTTGTATTGAGAGTACTAGGTAGATAGGAAGATGAAAACATTTGTAATATCATGAATATGATTGTCCTTCTAAAATGGCTAGTAATATTTATATATGAAGCACTATGGTAAAGACTAGCTGCGGCCATTGGTTAAAACAGGAAAAAGGTCAACCAGCGAATATGCAGTCTCCCCGGCAACCCGCTGAAACATATGCTATAATTTACATTTATTAATAGAATATGAGACTTAATATTATAGGAGTGGGGGAGAGGTATTTACATGTGTGAGTATTTACAAATGGGTGTTGAATGGTGAGAGGATTAGAAATTGGTTTATTAATTGCTTTGAGGCGATTGATAATGTGTGTACAGAAATTTGTGAAAGCTATCGCAGATGTCTCCTTACTAATAATTTCCTTGCGCCAAGAGCAGCCTTAATAGTCTAGTCTCTGTCGGCTGAGTATGAGGCGCGTCAAATAAGGTGTTCGGAACTCTTTGATGTCTTTTGTGTGTGAGAAATCATTCCCCAATGAGAAAACTAGATGATTCTTTTACTTATTTAGAATTGACGCCACTGAGTATTCCCTTTTTGATATGATACCGAGCATCGGAAACGTGTTCACTCGATTTGCAACCTTGAATATGGTAGCACGTTTTGCCATTTCGTCTGCATGCTCGTTTCCGATGATACCAACCTGTGTCTTCACTTACACAAATTTGTACGAGTTAGAAATCCAGTGTAGAATCTGGTGAATACAGTTAACCGTCAACTCGCGATTGCTACGCTGGTGTGGCGCTATAATCGCCGATCGGCTTTCAGAAAAAGTTACGACAGAAGTACAAGTCATACTGGAAATTACGACCCAATCTATGCCCGTTTGGATGGCGATCAGTTCGGCCATGAAAACTGTATTCGTAAAATGTAACTTGACCTTCAGGACGGACTCGCCTTTAGGTCAGTAAATAACAGCTACCGCGTCTGTATTCCCTATATCCAGATAGCTCTAGTCGCTATATATCGAATACTGCGCAGTCTTGGTAAATCCTTGGACATTCTTTTTGTTGTAGCAGTATACCATAAGCTCGTAGCTTATAGTGTATCTCTCAACAAACTGTCTCTAACGGACCATCAGATGGAAAATGGCAACTGTCGGTTATCTATAGACATAACAACATGGCATACAATATAGATGTTATATATAACAATACTAGCGAGTCACCCCGGCTTCGCTCGAGTGCAATGCCGCACCGCTATGTAACTGCATTTTAAATCTGTAATATCTTCGGAAATATTTATTTAAATCACATGCTGTAAAGGGCCACATTGATCTATATTAAATGGACAATGTATTTAAGGTATTTAATTGGATAAAAATTAATGCTTTATTGCTTAAAATCAATTCGTAAATAAACCATTTTTCACGTAAAATGTAATGTATAAAAAATGGTTATTGTGTGTTATCCTTAAGAGATAGACATATACCATCGCGGACTTTTTTGTTGATCTTTTTAAGTTGTATAATACTGTAGTACATTATTTTGATTTATCTTGTGGAGTTCAGTCAGCGTTTGCAATGTAAGCGCAAAAAATGTGTTTATTTACATCACATTAGAAACCTCTAAATTTATCAGTGTTTCTCTACAATATTATGCGTGTATTATACATATAAACCTTCTTCTTGAATCACTCTCTTTATTAAAAACAACCGCTTTAAAATCCGTTGTGTAGTTTTGAAGATTTAAGCATACATAGGGACGGACAGCCAGCGACAGCGACTTTGTTGTATACTATGTAGTGATAGGCACGTTGGACTTTACAGAATACATTAAAACATTGTGTGAAAATTATTTTCATATATCGACCCCTATTCCACATTCGCCATTACATATACAGATACAAGATACAGCTTAGTTTAGGCTCCAGATTTCCCACAAATTACAATACTTATATTTTTGTATAAAAGTAAATAATCTGTACACATACAATAATTTGTGAAAATGAAATAAACTCATTATTATTATATATTATTATTAGGCTTATGTCCAGCAGTGGACGGATAATGGCTGAAAAGATGATGATGATTAGCCATTATAGCGATTTCGCGATATATATTTTGTTTCTTGACATTGTACTTTGTCTAATGTTAATTGAGATTAACATAGTAAATCTTAATATCTAATAGCATAGGAATAGATCCAGATGACGATGTCAAAGACCCGGATCTCATGAAGGGCTTAGAGAAATTTCTAGAAGAAGAGTTGACTGAGGATGAGCGAAGTCATTTCCTGGACAACACCATAAGGATCATGGTCAATCGAGCGTTACATTTAAAGAGATGGCGGCCTCCGAAGGGACTCATGTTCAGTCTACAGCAACAAAGTAAATATAATTTATATATTTCTCTTAATACTACTCACCCTATATTTATATCTATACTAGCTTTTATTTTGCGTGAAATTAATAATTTATTTCACACGATTCATGTACATAAATACCGACAATTTATATATATATTTTTTCAGGTGACGTTGTAGAACTAGATCACAACTTCGTGTCGTCCCTTATTGCTCATGCTTTTTTCTCTACCTTCCCAAAAAGAACGCTCAAAACACATCCGACACTACAAGACTTCAATTTTACGCATTTTTTTAAGAATTTACATAGGTAAGATTTTTTTCACAAAATATGTAAACTATTTTGATATTTACTGATGATACAGTTTTACGTTATTCAATTAATATTATAGTTATAGGTTATAATAATTGTTATATAGGTATTCAGTGTTAGCTAGATCTCACTTAAACTATTATATCATAAAGTAGCAATAATTTATCTTTTCTAATAACATTTGTTTTAGACATGACACTTAAAAAACTCAGGCTGCACAGTATATAGATACTTTTGTGTCCATTTCGTTGTTTATTTTTAGGCAATGGCTTTATTTATTATCGAATATGTCCGTCCATCAACTTGTTTGTTATTCCCAATATTAAAAAAACTGTTTCTAGAAATTCCCATAATACGTTAAAATTTCTTATACCTTTTCATCGTACCTTCTTTATGTATCTGTTAAAACATATAAATAAACATTAAAATACTTGCACATATTACAGAAAATCGCAAAGAAATAAATTAAAAAGTTTACTACATTATTTCGAATGGCTAGACAAAAACAGCGACGAAGGAACAATTAAATTAAGCCGACAGGTAATTGAATGTCTTTACGTTTTACACATTTTCGAGGCAAATTAACTTTTCACGATGATCGTGTATTAAATAGGTGATGACGTCAAAACAATGGCTTACGATAGAAGACTGGCTAGAATGTACATTACCGTTATGCAAACTATTGGTAAGGCACGAGGGCCGCCCGGAACGATGCGAGAACGATGAAGCCATTAGGGTATGTTTCGCATCCAGCAGAGTGGGTGGGGACGTCCTCATTGACGGAGACTCACAGGTAAATTAATACTTCAACCATGTTATTATAAAACTCACTCGTTTAGACTTAATTTGAAAACTAAAACTGAGCATCACTGTAACCAAATCAAACTTTTATAACTCTACTAAAGTTATTACATTCGTTACATTATTTTACTAAATTAGTGTGCTCTAATTCAAGCATCATGATTTACTAAATATCTTATTGATATTCTTTAAGCTAGACAATTCTGTTATGAGAAATTTAAATATAATAGAACATCTAAATACACAACTCAAAATAGGCAGAGCAAAGAAATTAAAAAAAAATGTTACTAAATAAATCCGATAAAGATAGAACCAAGAACTCGCTTAAACACACGCGACAAAGATTGTTATATTAACGTAAAATATTATTTCAAATATTTTAAAAACTAAAAACTGCTTTCAGGAATCATTGTCAATGTTCATGATGCCAGAATTGTTACCAGCAATGTTATCCGTAGAAGCGCTAGAAGACAACGAAGTATTGAAAGTCGAAGGAGTTAGAATGTTTAGCAGAATCTGTGGCAAAAAACATAAGACCAACGTAGAATTACTAAGTGAACCAAAAACGGTAACTAGATATATTAGCTATAAATGGAGTTGTAAGGACATTAACAAATCGCGATAAACTGATAACCCTCATCGTAAGATACCGAAGAATCCCACTTCGAACAACTTCATTCATTCATTCTCTCAAACGAAAATCAATAATTCCTCGTCACAACTTAATATTAAGCAGTGATCGCAGACTAAGCTATTTTCCTTTTACATTATCTATCATATTTTTATTACAGGTAAACGTCTGTTTGATGGATGCAGAAGATTACAGTAGTCTTCCGCTAGGTCAGTGGGAAGAGGACAACGTTTTACGAGAGCTTAATAAGTGTCTACTAGCGTTCCAACAGACTCCAATGAAAAGTCGGGATAACCCGCGGCATGAACGTCGATTATCGCCTATTGGTCAGTTAAAAATGCAATGTAATGTTTTAATTAATAATCTTATAAATTATACTACTTATCTCTCTTTTCATTTAAGAGTTTCCTCTTGTCGGTGCAACTAATTCATGCATCTTCCTCCAGCCAGCTCTATCCCAGGCCATATCCGATTCGATACCCCGACAAGAGCCAGGGGTAAATATGTCGCACCGCACCATAAAAAATTACATTTTAAAAAAGTATTCTCAAATATTATCATAGGTCGAAAATAATTACGATTAGTTTTGCATATACTCTACAAAAAATTAGATAAAATTCGAATACTGCAAATATTCATTAATTCTACACGTTTCATTTGGCAAAATTTTGTCATTTACAGGGGAATCTTTCAGCCACACGCCACCGGAAGTAGAAGCGACGGTAGTTATAAAACAAGCATCGTCGTGCAGCACCATCAACAGCTACAGCAGTAGAAGCCCATCCCCACAGAACTATTGCGCAGCCACTCTAAATCTTAACGATCCAAGTAATTATACCTTTATTTCTTTGATTTGTTTCAACACAATCGAGTTTCTAATGAGAAATCTAAACCTTTCTTTTGTTAGACTGATTTTAGTAAATATTAAAATAAATAATTCTCATTGTGTAGAAAAGTCAAGTCTTTGAGATTGCTAACTTTGTGATCTTACATTTATAATATAGCTACGAATTTGAATCTTTTATACTAAATCGACAAGTAACCAAGATGTTTGTTTACAAAATCCATATTTTGATATTCAACCTACATTCCTCAGAGAATAAACAATTTACACGAATAATTATGCTGCATTTCAGCTTTTTACAATTGACCGAACAATCTATATGGCAATGAAGGCACTAACGTTACATAAAAAATTAGTAACCCTTACATGTATTTATACTTAACTGTACTGTAGCTTACACAATTGTTTTCAGGTGTCGAACTAACAAAGAGGAAATGCTGGCTCTCACCTGACGGCAGCACTTTAAATAACCGACGAGGAAGGTTCATAGTTCTCGGCTCTTCAGGCGAATGTCTCCCAGTCACACGGTCTCCTGGTCACCCAAATTTAGAGACTCAGGAGGACAGTCTCTATTCTAGTTGTAATTCGAGTGACGATGAATACCACAGCGCCAATGATAGTTTCGATTACGGTAAGTAACCACCTACCGTAAATAAATATCTAACATTAAACAAAAACATTTAGATGCTTAGAATGCCTACTCGTGAACTTTACAGCTTTTTATAAAACAATGTTTACACAGTTAGAAATTTCACAAAACATTAATTTGCAATGATTTCAACATTAATAACTACTAAATTTACACTGGGACAATACACAATGGAATCGATTCTGATGTACCACCTTAAAATAATAATTTCCCTATAATATCAAATTTAAATTCTAAAAATCTATTTCCAATATTTAGTATTATCTTTTGAACTCTACGAGCCGATATATTCAAATTCAAGAATTTTCTACAGGAGGTAGCGAAGATGAAGGGAGAGGGGAAAGCGCACGTCCAAATTCATTCCAGTATTCTAAAGAGTTGTCAACTGAGGAGAGACGAATAAGCTTTGCCGATAGACTGCGAGAAGCCTTACGAAGGGAAGCTGAGAATTCATGCACCACCAGTACGACAGGAGACTGGTCTACTGACAGTTCGAGCTATGCGGTCGGAATCAGTATATCAGGAGCTGAAGTTAATGATAATGATATTAGGTAAACTGACACAAACAAACCCTTCGAGTACACATCCATATTCATGGATAAGTAGGTTTATTCACTTTAAACAACTCACAAATTACTAAAGAAGATGAATATATACAGTATTTTTTAATAATTTTTAATACTATTTTGCATGAAACATGAGTTTTATTAATATTGTAAAATCACAAGTGTGGACTCGATTGAGTAGGCACTTTTAGGATTGAGCGAAAATATTTATCTATATACCTAGACCCATACATAATTTTACTCACATTACTTTTCTATAATTTTAGAGTTAAGAGAGGCGGATCGGTAGGTTTTGTATTAACAGAAAAAGAAACATCGAGCAATGGTAACCCATCGCCTAGGCATCGGGTACTGGGCAGGAAAGAAACTGGGAATAGCTCCAAATATAGCTTCAGTACAGAATATACGTAAGTACAATTTTAATTGGGTATATTTTATTACTTAAAAAGGAACCTATCAATTATTCATAGTACATTTGTATGGTAGTAAATTAATTTGAGAGAAAGTATCTTGGACACTTGGAAATAATATAATTGTATTAGTAAATTAATTAATAAATGTCGATAAAATGATGAACAAATATATAATGAAAATAAGGAAGGATGGAATTACAATGAAATAGGAGAAGGCAATTATAGCAAGTAATGACGTTCTTGTAAATTTGTAAACGCTTTTGGCACCCATTTCTTTATGACTAGTCCGTAACTGGCATGGTATATTCAGATGGAAATAAAAAGAAAAAGCTATTAATTGGTAAGCGCTTGAGAACAGGTGAGCCAGTTTATTATTGAAATGTCTTGTAATAAACCGATTAATATTTACAGAAAAAAAAATTATATTTGAACATCTCGAATCGGCTAATAAATAAATACCTAGACATTTTATTTATGGATAACACTTTCAGATCTGAGTTAGAAGAAGTGTACGAGCAGTTCAACCAGTGGCTCAACGATCCGATAGTAGACGCTGAATCCGGGGAACATAAAACGCGAGAGTTAGACTCTCGGGACTTGGCTGTGATAAGGTAGGATTAGCATACAAAAGTAATGCTTATATAATATTTCTCAAATTTTTTGAGCATTCATCATCATCATCATCATATCAGCCGTTAACTGTCCACTGCTGAACATAATCCTCCCCTTAAGCCGGATTTGCCAATAGTTGCCATACTTGGCATGTGAATTGGCAACCGCAGTTTGGCTTTAAAGATGTTTTAAGAGGGATGCTGCTGCCCACCCGTCGCCCTTCCTTAATCGCCTCTCACGACACCCACGGGAAAGGAAGAGATAGCTTATTCTATGCCGGGACCTCACCCAATGGGTATAATAAAATTACAATGTTCCGTGCAGATTTGCGGGTTCTCTCCTGAAGCGTACGCTGAGCGAGTCGATGGCATGCGGTGTAGGCGGCGTGGGCGAGGGTGCAGCAGAGGCGGCAGAATTGTACGGCCGCGATGCCAGGGACCGCACCGGCCCGCGCCGCCTGGCGCTCGCCGCCCGCTCGCTGTCTCTAGAGCTGGCTCGGCATCGACACCGTCTCGCTGCACAGTTGGTGAGGCTCGCATATTATATTATTTTATTCCAATTATTTTGTTTAATTCCGGTATCATTAATACAAGTGCGACTACCAAACTTTAAGGACGCCTGCCACTGGTAGAGTCTCTATGACCTTCCTTATTAACATAAACGTATTTAGGACCCATGGAGGCGGGCGAAAATACACACAAAAACAAATAGACACAGCAATCTGCCTAACGGCTTATCCTATGTTTATACTTAAGGCAATAACACTTATATTTTGTTATTTTATTAATTTAACATGACCCACGTTTAGTTAATTGATATCGCTAATATGTATTAGTCTTTCAATAGATAAATTTATAATATCTAAGTACTATTCTATTATCTCCCCACACAATTAGTCATGTTCATAATATTTATACATTTCTACTATTATTTTACTTATTTAAATACTAAATAATGACCTATAGGTGTACTAGGCCATTTTTGTAGTGTAGTATAAGATAGATATCTTACTATAAGAATATGTAGATATATAATAAATTAACATTCTTACGTAATATGAAACAAATTATAGTTTAAATCTATGGCTAAAAATTAACAGGGCATTTTTATCTAATAATAATTATGTATGTAACGCCTAATGATTATGTAAGTACATATAATATGTATTTTATTTTATACAGGCCAAAATGTTTCACCAATTTCGGATTAAGTACGAACGCTCATATAGTAAATAGGTAACACATCACCCACATTATTGTATCATAATGTAACCAATCCAGCTTCACTGCCTCAAATTCACAATACTGTATGTTTTGACAGAAACGTAAAATAAAAGACTCTATACCGGAGGAGATTATAGAAACCACAAGAACATACAACAGTCGGGACGAAGCAGAGAACCTGAGGTCATTCAGTACTTCGACTGAAACTTGTTCAACGGAAATACAGAACTCGAACTTTAGGAAGAAAAAGTTGAATTGGGTGATAAACATGATTGTACATACGATAGAAGAAACAATAGAGTGTGAACCTGTTACTATAAAACTAAAAAAACCTAAGGTCAGACGAACGCCTGTCTGTCGCTAATATTAAATTCGAATTACGCACTCATATCGAAAATACTAACATAACATTACAATGTACGAATAATGTTACAAATTCTTTGCTTTCTGTCAAAACATATATTTGTGATTTTCTGCATGATTTGTAACAGAAATACTTATTTTTAGTGTCATTTATAATTCGCACATCATATTTCCATATACACGTATTTTTATAACATTTTTCTCATATTCTTATGATAGTACTAAATAACATACAAGGTTGACATAAAGTGGCTTTCCTCGCAGAAATAATACAGGAGAATTTCAAAATAAACCATGAATCTGAGAAGACAAATAATTGGGAATGAAATGATTGCTCTACCGAAATAGAAGAAACAATAGAGTGTGAGACTTTGTATAAAACGTTTGCTTGGGTACGCTCTGTCCCATTCGTGTTTCTACCGTGAAGCAGTTGTGTTTGCATGGCTGTGTTTCGGTTTGAATAATGTGATATTCTTTGAATTTACTGTCAAAAATATATTTGTGATTTTCCTCATTTGGAATGGCAACTTATTTTTAGTGTCATCATAAACAGTACACTCTGTTATGTCCATGGTATTTTTATAACATTTTTTATATTCGACGGTTACCACTTTCCATCAGGTGGACCGTGGCTTGTTTGCCATTCTAAGTTTCAAAATATGAAAAAAAAAAAAAAAAAGCTCTAGGTATATACTTCGTATGTCAGAAGACGTTGATCCCTGCTGTTGTAGATAATTGGGTCTATAGGAAGTGATACAATTCGAAATGGGGTTTTAAAATAACTTACAAATTATAAAAACTGATGACATCGCCTCTCGCAAAATACTACTTACTCTTACCACGCCACATTCATTGGTTTGATCGCAGTATGAAATACCTTTTTAAAATTACGACAAAGCCAATTATATCCTATGCCGTATACAATAGGCATAGAAATAACAAGTGCCTCGATTCTAAGGCTATCCATTTTGCTAGAGTTTCAGAAGATTTAACTGTATGAGAATGAAGTATAAAACCTCTATTTACTAAAGCGATATAAAAGTGCTTTGAAAAATTGGAGCTTTCCGAGGAATTTTACAAAACACCTGTAAACATATCTATGGAAGCGGTGCCATTTCCGGTATTATTGATAACTTTCCATAGATAAACTACTCTTATTCCGAACAGCGAATGTATTTCAGATGTGGTAAAAAACCTGGCTGTACAAATACCTATACATATTCACTTTCGCTCCTGTGTCTTCGACTTTTGTGTAAAAAGACTTCATATTTGACAAAGATAAAGAAATGAAGCGATTTTATTGACTGGATTTTTCCTCAAATTATACTTTGATATATAGCCTAAAAACAAGCATATGGCCCAACTAGGCATATGCTCAAAAAGCGTTTGCAGATTTTATCACAATGAGGAAAAAACGCCGCAGCGCTTAATGTGTGGCTGTAGCCCACTAACAAATAAACGATATATCTTCTTTGGAAAACACACTATATCCTGAGGACATAAAAATCATCGCTACAAAGAGGAATTAGCAGCGAACTTTAAAAAAAGGGCGAGCACAAAAAATTACGGAAAGGTCGCAGTGTCACAGGTTTTTCTGCCTGAAAAGGCCCGTTATCAATAATAATAATAGCCTAAAAACAAAAAGTTTAACGTGATGGACTTCTTCATCACGGAAATATCATATCTAGGTATCAACATATCTGGGTACTTACTCCTCCAAACAGTTTAATTATTCTACTTGTCTTAATCGACTTACGACAATAAGAACTATACAATGCTATTAATATGCATTTATAACAGACCAACTTAATAATTATAGCAAAAATAATATCAGTAAATGCAATGTTGATTGTTCACAGCTAAATCAGTTAGCACACAAGATAGTGACGGGTGGCTCGTGTCGACCAGTCGCCACTGGTAACTGGGGTTGTGGCAAAAGACAACGAGGTCACCCTCAACTCAAGCTTCTCCTGCAGTGGCTCGGCGCCAGCGTTGCCGGTGTACCGGCACTTCTATACTATACATTCGGCAATGAAAAGCTGTTCAAGGTACTGTGATTACTTACTTTATACAGAGAATGTAGGTGCTTCAAAAATATGACAATAATGACAGAAATATCAACAAATAATAGCAATACGTATACTTTTACTATTCATAAAATATGCCACCTTTTTTCTTAAAAATTCTAAAATAATATACATTTTCCTTTAGGGTATCTAGAATATTGTAGACACCACTGTATTAGTAATTGAAATAGAAATATATGATACTTGTTCAAATGATATGAGTAGTAATGTCGAACTTTATAATTTCAATAATTTGAGAGCCGTTTCAATGGGTTATAAGGTGCTCAATTCAATTTTTTGTAAAATTTTTTGTCTATTTTTTTAATAAATAATTTGTTTATATTCCAGCTTGATACCCTCGTCAGAGTCATAGTAGACAGGAAGTGGACTGTCGGACAGTTAGCACGCGCCGTGCTAAAATTCGCACGACAAATTCTCCATGAACCACATGTGATACCTGACAACCACTCGCTATTCGACGAATTAATCGGTATCGAAAAAATACCGGATGATACATAGCGCCGATACTTCAAACTTTATGCTGAAAGGCATAAGGTTTAATTTAAATGTAAAATAAACTTGATATCATATTGGCTGCGATTTTTATGTAGATCAAGTGTAAGTCCTTGCGACAAGGCACTTTGAGATAAAAAAAAATCTGTATCTCTTTTGAGTTTTATATTGAAGTAATAGATACTCGTAGTCATATGTACCGTGAGTGATTCCGATAATTTGCACGTTTATGCAAATAATATTCACATCTTTTGTTTTTGTTGCTCCTAAAATTATTTTATAATAATGCATTTAAAACATGTCTCATCATATTTGTACCATTACCTAGATTTTAATCGTTTATATTATCACTCAATAGAAAAGACAAGTGTCTTCATTTTACACAGTACTTATCGAGCAATTTTAGATACAGTTTACGGCATAGTTATGACGAAGCAATATTAGTAGTGGAAATTCGATTTGAATACATAACTTAAAAATATTTTTATACAAAACTATCTCTATTAAAGTACAAGTATAAAATTGTTATTTAACATTTATCAATTTATCGTTAATGAATTTAAACAAACTTATTATAAATGTGATTTATATAAATAATAACGATAAAATTATTTTACATTAACGTTTGTAGAGCCGTGCTGGTGCAAGACTGTTATATTACTTGAAATATAATTTCACCATATCTTTTGCTTGCTGAAAATCAACGAGAAATTAAGATTGTGTGTCAATATCACTTACCAAAGAATAATGAATGCATAGTGAGCATCTCTTCACGTATTTCGTTTGTTGCATCACGTTGCAATGATCTTCATTTGACAAAGTCTTCCATAGCAAGAATCTCGATGTGTCCAAAGTTTGTTAATTTTATGTAATGAAGAAATACTCAAGCTGGATGATGGGAAATAAATTATTACGCTACGGATTTTTCATTTTATTTATACTACTATATTTTCCTATTTTCTTATTTACGCGACACTATTTCATACATATCGTCATAGTCGTAGAATATTGACGGATCTGACAAATATTACATATATAGATCCGTCAGTATTCTACGACTAAGACGATATAATAATTTTAGAATCGTTCCTTTCCTAAATTAGCCCAAACAAGAATTGAACCCAGAATCATTCTGCAAAACAAGCTATTGTACTATTAAAACCTATAACAAATGCGAAACTTTGTAACGATCGATGTATAGATGTTTGTTGCTCTTTCACACATAAACTATTTTTGAAATTTGGTACACGGTTGGGTTATATCCTAACTCAGCACATAGGATATTTTACGCACTGATTGACGCGATGCCACAGGATTTTCGGATTTTCAATTATACGATTTTATTTGATTCGAATAATCGAGATTCTACTGTAATAATAATATGAAATTACAGAGTACAGAGGCAAACTTTAGTCCTTAGGAGTGGCAATTTATGAAGGGTATCATAAATGACACAATATATTCTGTTATATCTATGGTACTGTTCATGTCTATAGGCGACGGTTACCACTAACCATCAGGTGGGCCGTCAGCTTGTTTACCATTCTAAGTTGCATAAAAAAACACAACATTACAGTGAATGATACATTAGCACGAATATTATAATTAAAAGCGTTTTGGCGTCAAGCGGAAGTCTAGCATGCCGACGTTGCTAGTAGTTGTCAATTTTCAATATATCTTATAGCAAACAAAAACAATTATTAAAGAACAAATTGTAACTACATAAAAATTGCTACTAAAACTTTGCAACTGCTTCACTTCTACATTTATATTTAATTTACTTTTTTACAATAAAAGTGCAATATTTAGGTGAGTTTTGTAAGAATCCTATTATTAACTTTTCAAATATAAAAACATTTTTAAAAAAAAATTAGTTCAGTCAACGAAACTTCGTCCATTATTTTTTAAATTTGACAAATAAAGCAATGTTGCCAGAATTTTGATAAACACCCTTAAAGGAAATATATTTTCATTGTTATTTACATAATGTTCAGCCAAACCGAAAATTAGAAATTAAAGAAATCATATATCATAATATTTATTAAAGTGTCTATTAAGTATTAATTTTACTCAGTCATGACAACTAGTCTTCATACAAATTAATAGTTTAACCATAAAGCTAGCCGGATTGTCTTACTTGTATTTTAGTCGAGAATGAGCCTGACTGCGAGCCTCGGCACGTTGAACACCAACCATCTCACGTCACGGTTGCTCATAATTAAGAGTCCCGATTGGTCCCAAAACTAGTTGGGCATTGTCAACTAAAATACACGTAAGTCAATCCGGTTAGCCTTACAGTTAAAATATAATGTGTACTAACATTCCTTTTAATAGTTAAACATAATATATCTCACTAGCGTTAAAGAGTTACGAAGATAAAGATATCCCTACAGTTTTAATTACGTAGTTCCACAAAGGCCGATATCTGTTCCAAAAGTTCCATGGAAATGACTGTTCACTATTATCCCATCATTGAACTATATAATTATACATAATTGAACCATAGAGATATCCTGAATATATATAACACTTATTTGCCAACTAAATTTGAAGCAATTATTTTAATTCAGTGTTTTTCAAACTAATTCATACCGCGACACTGATATAATTTAAAAAAGAACCCCAATCCCGAAATTTACCTAATCTCAAATTTACTGAAAAAGGCACAACCTCCTTGAGAAACGATCGCTTACTCATAGGGGTCGGCATCGCAACCCATACTTTGAAAAACACTGTTTAGATGAAATAATATCGTCATAGTCGTAGAATACTGACGGATCTTTATATATAATCTTTGTCAGAACCGTCAGTATTCTACGACTATGACGATATGTGTCATGAAGCAATGTCATTCCATTGCTTCAGGACAAATAGTCTTTACACAAATTCATTAAGGTGTTTATTCCTATGCAAATTGAACTACCGCGCTGATCCCAAATGCAAATTATAGAAATAGATTAAAAGGAAAACTTCTTGGCTATCGCTAAATTCAATCGTTTTTAGCACTCGAATGATATTGGCATGAAGTACTAACCACGCAGTAATATTAGTTGGACAAATCAGAATTTCTCTATCATTAAGTAAAATCATGCTTATATATCTTTACAAATTCATATTAAAGGAGTTCAGGAGTAGTTTATATGTGAATAACAAAATCATAGGGATATATATATATATATAGAAAAATGTTTTGTTTTTTTTTTCATTTGCAATATATACATGTGGCTGATTCTGATGTGCAATTCCCTAAACCTATTTTTAAAACTAATTGAATTAATACTATAATGAAAGTATTATGTTACATCAAACATGTACTAACTAGCTTAGACTCAGATCTACTCATATTAAAAATTTCATTCATACTAGTCCTTTATTTCGCTGTAATAAATAAAAATTTTTATTTTCGTAATATATATAGGCAGAGAATGACGCTTCAGAACGGACCCCAATATTGTACAGTTTATTGTAGTTCATTTAATCAGTTTTGCCTTAAATTTGGTATCGATATTAATTAATCCAATCTTCTGTACCTCTTTGATTAATTATAACCAAAATAAAAATAAAATAAAAAACTATTAATATTTATCATTTTTTTTTTTTTTTTATGCAAATGTAAAATATTAACAGAATAATTTATTAGGTATAACATAAACTGATTTTCTTTATTTATTCTATACACTTCAGAGACCAGAGTAACAGAGTATGTATATTCAAGTATAATACTAACAACTACTTTAGAAGAAGAGCCCTCTCATTCGACGGCCCATGCCTTGTCTATCGTAGAGGACGTTGAATCTGTTTACTAGTTGATTGATCGCGTTGCAACCTTTCGTAATAGTGCCGAGGTAAGTCATAAGCGCCACATCGTTGCATTGCTGAAATTAAAAATTAAATTAAAAATAACAATAATATAGATCAAAGGATCTATTATGAAATATAAATCGAAATTATCCAATCAAATATCGTGCGTAGGATAAAACAAGTTCATACCAAACTCGAGTATATAGACAAAGCGTGACATTTAATTCGTTATGCTCTACTGTAAAGTATTAGAACGACCACAAATCGTCACTCTGGGCAAAATAATATTTGCAACTCATTTAAACAACTGTCAAACTAACAAACTGTCTGGTCGCGTGGTCCCACCAGAAACCATCATGCTGAGGTAAATTCATTGATGCTTCACACCTGTCATCTCTCATTGGTGTCCCACCAGCGTATACTGATAGCGCAGGCGGGGTTTTTTTTTGATGGGTGAAAATGGTATGGTAACCCCGCCTGCGCTAACGGTATACGCTGGTGGGACACCAGTGAAGGATAATAGCTGAGAATGAAACAGGCCAGTTAGCCCATCATGATGAATTCATTAGGAATTAACCATGATAGTTTCCAGGGAGAACCACGAGAAGGTCGATCTGGTTGGGTATATTGCTAGCAATGGGATTCTCAGTCTCCATTACTAACAATCCCTTTCCCCCCTACTCGGTATTTATAATAACACATTTTTTTACACACACGAACATACATTTGTATCCAGATGTATGTTCGTGTTTCCAGAAAGATCGTGTAGAGGTTAATCTAATAAGGTTATATAGGGTATATTACCAGCAATGGAATAACTAGTTCCCATTACTAACAACCCCCCCTCCCCTTTTTTAACAAGGTATCCAAAGCAATGCCCATATCCACAACTGTAATGATTAATCCCAAGCATCTTTACAAACTTATACCGATATTACCATTGCATTATCGTCCATTAAAAAATAGTACATTACTGCAGCAGCCAGCAACTGAGGCATTGATGGACGAACGTGCAAATGTGGGCCGAGGTGTAGCCGAAGCACACATACGTAAGTCCATCAATGACTAGTTGTGGCCAAGGCTTGTATAGTACTTTTCTCAAACAATGCGCGGAAACCAAAACACAATTTTACTTTTTAAGTTCAATGACGAATAACGAACAATAATAATTTTTTACGCGCCATAATGTTCCTTTGTTTTTTTTTTCAATAAACAACTTTCTATTTACAAGCCAGTTCGAAATTTAAATAAAACCTTTTATTAGTTACCTCCTTGGTAGCCATGTTTCGAAGTAAAACCATTTTTAAATTACAGGACAGATATAAGTTTACATAGTAATTTATCTGGCCACAAAACACGACACATATGGATTTTCATACAACTTTTGCCGGCCGCTGCCCGCATGTATCTGGCCAGTACGGCAGTTTTGATTTATCTCGAAGAAGATTGTCAAAATAATGCTCACATTTCCAAGCATGTCTGAGAAAAAATAGTTACTTAGATTGATTATTAATTAAATTAATTAGATTTGGAGATTGTTAGATTATGTATTTTGTTTTTGTATTTTTTTTTTTATTTGTGCTTTTTTTTATTTTTATTCTCTTGTCTCTTTTGCTGTGTATTACGTGTATGTTTTTTTTTTTTTTGTAATTTGTGTGCTGTAAGTAATGTAAATAAATTGTCTATCTATCTATCTATTTAACTTACGTTGTAGAAGTGGGTGCGGAACTGGTGCGAGGTGAGCAAGGGCAGGCGGTGTGCGAGCGCGCGCGCCTCCCGCAGCAGCGCGGGCCGCGGCGGCAGCGTGCCCGCGCGCACCGCGCGCACCGTCGCCAGCACCGCGCGCACCCGCGACACCAGCATCTTGATCGCCGACCGCTGCGCGGTCAGGTGCTCCGCCACTGTTGTCATTTATTTATTTTATACAACTTAGAATGGCAAACAAGCTGACGGCCCACCTGATGGAAAGTGGTAACCGTCGCCTATAGACATGACCAGTACCATGGACATAACAGAGTATACTGTTTCGCCCATGATAACCCCCATGCGTTGCCATTCCTGAGGACTCAGGTGTTATTCCTCTGTACCCAGTAAATTCACGCCATATCCCACCCTTCAAACCGAAACACAGCCATGCAAACACAACTGCTTCACGGTTGAAACACGAAGCAATACAATCATACAATCACACCATGTACACAGCTGATATGTGGCTTTTTTTTAATGAGTGACAATGGAATGGTAACCCCGCGCGCGCTATCGGTATACACCGGCGGGACACCAGTGGAAGACGATAGGTGAGAATGAATACAGGTCAGTTGGCCCACCATGATGAATTCGACAAAAATTAACCATGATGGTTTCCAGGAAGAACCGCGTGGAAGTCGAACTAAGAGGGTATATTGCTAATAATGGAGCTATTAGACCTCATTACTAACAATCCCTTTCCCCCCGATATGTGGTAAGCCCGCCTGCGCTAACAGTATACGCTGGCGGAGCACTAGTGAGGGATGATAGATAAGGATGAAAAGGCAGATCAGTTAGCCCATCGTGACTAATACACCTGGAATTCAGCACGACGATTTCCAGACCACGGGACCACGTGAAGGTCAACCTGATAAGTTATATTGCTAGCAATGATACTCGTATGCGGGGTTACTCTTGAATTAAAATTCAATATATCGATATTGGAATTTCAGTCATTTCGCACTCTCGAATTGCGATACTAGCAACATAATACTTCCATATTGTTCTGATAGATATGTATCAGTGTAACTTGTCAATGCAAATTCTAACCTAATTTCTAATTGTTATTTCATGAGTGCAGTATCAAATTGTCATTGGCAATAGATTGGATTGATATTAGGTTCAAGAGTAGACCTGCTAATCGTGCTAGAAGTATTTTAAATTGTATGAAAATACATTATTACTTTATATATCGTCCTTTTAAATTTAACCTATTTGATTCTATGTTCTAGACTTCTAGCTGTATATAGCAAGCTATATTCTATACAACATTTGTGCAAACTCTCTCTCTTTCTCTTTCTCTATCTTAATAAATTACATGAAAAGTAAAACGTAAATTCATAAAAAAGAGCACGAAATGTGTTCATGCAGTTAAGCGGCATATTTTGCAACTGTTCCCTAAAAATAGTGACCTGTGTTGGCTTAGTACACTGCTATGTATTTCTAATGTGGGTTTTTAGAAGAAAGTTAAAGATATCACGGGTGTATAATGAGACTGTCTTTTCAGGATGGTAGTGAACAAAGTAAAGATCACTATGATCACCAACATCTAGTACGAAATGGCACCTTAAAAAGAAATAACTATACCCAAACTGTTGAGAGCAGCTTCACCAGAAGATACCCTGGCAACATGGTCTACGCCAATTCTCTCTGCTTCTTCAGCAGCTAATGTGTATGTAAGCGGTGCCAGCAGCATTGTGGCACGTCCATTTACTACATCTATTACAGATTCATACAACACCACTGGTAATTGCTGAAAAAAATATATGTAATATGTAATATACATAGATTAAAATAGATATAACTATCATAATATTTATTATGATCTATGTAATATTATATGTATATAATGTATTTTAAAAATGATAGTATTTAAATATAATCATATAATAGTACAAAAAATATAGTTGAAATAAAATATTTATTTAAATAACTTACAGAAAAACCAGGAGTACAAACTAAGACACTAACTAGCAGGTTCTTACAACTAAATTATATTTAATTAGATAGGTATATAAATTTTAATATAATTGAAATATAAGACAAATAAACTATAGACTAATAATATTATAGATGAAAACCTATAAAAATTAAAAATGAGTTAATTATGTCCTCTTGCCAATTTGGCCTTTGTGAAATAACTTTGTAAACAGCACATAGTATTTGAGATGATATGGACATGGGTAGATTACTTTCATCTTGGTCATGTAAAAGTCACATAAAGAAATAGTTACTATAATTGATTATCAAGCAACGCTAATAAATAATTGGTTTTCAATTCTCTTACATCTCCATTTCTTCCTGCGGGATTAAGCATAAGCATTACTGGACATTCATTGATGTCACATATTTGTCTATGTACAGCAATGTCGCGTTCAGTAGGTGTATCTCCTGTGGTATACCAACCCAAGAAATCCATATCTGAGAATACTTGCTTAACTGAAAGAATATAACATTTTGTAATGAACATTAAGATTAGATTTGTTTATTTGCCAGAATATTGTTTTTACAGATATTGATCTATTGTGAAGTACAAATTAAATATATATATATGGCCATGTGGTTCCAGCATAAAATAGGCAACCCCTTCCTTTCCATTGATGTCATAAGAAGAAACTAAGGTAGGGTGAGGGATGGGCAACAGCATACCTTTTAAAACACCTCTAAAGCCTAATTGCAGTTCCCAATCTGCCTGCCAAGCATGGCAATTTCGCGCAAATACCCCCAATAAGAGGCTCATTTTCAGTAGTGGACAGTTAAAGGCTGATATGACGATTAAATATAATAATTTTGTTTAGTACAATTATTTTATGATTTAATATGATATAATACTTACATTGTTCTTCCTTCAAATTATAATAATCTCTATCTATAATTATATCTCCTTCAATAACACTAAAGACCAATTCAAAAGAGTTCATTACTTCTATATTACGGCCTTTTTGTTTGCCAATAAGTGCACCAATCACTGAAAACCAAATTATTTGCAAATTTTAATAAACAGTAGGCATGATCTATATGTATCTTAAATGTTAGTTAATTGTTTAATGTGTTTGAGTAACAAACATCCAAGCATATAAACATAAAAAATATATTTAGAACCTTTATCTTACTAATAGGATGAACCTTATGTTCTACCTGTTTGTGGAGACCCTTCTTGTGCTCGTAAACGGGTCCAGTGCTCAGAAACATTCATGATGACCAGGGGGTGAAGGGACACTGTTACTGAACCTGAAGTGGCAGTAGTCACCACAACACTTTTATTGCCTCCCGGAGTCGGCGGTGCCGGGGATGCTGGATTAGTAGTCTCCACTGGCGGTCCTGAGGAAGCGCTCTCAACCTCCACCTCCATTTCAAAGTCGATTCTATCTGCACTTGTCATGATAATATTTAATACCGCGTGTTTAATATATTTATTAAAAAAAGTATTACTAAAATATAATTAATTTTTAAAGTCTGTGAATACAGCGAGTAACTCGTTAAAAAGTGGTTAGAGAAGTATATCAAAAGCAACCAAAAACAAGATACAAATTAAAAAAAATATCATCATAAGAGAAATATATAATGAAATTAAGTACCTAATCTGTGATGGAGATGTTGACGTGATATTATGTCAATATTGTCAATGTCAAATTATCATAGAAAAATTATCCTTAATCTATGCAAATTAGAACGTAATACAAAGTAAACAATAATAACATTTATTTTATAATTTATGCTAATTTATGTGCAAACTAAAAATAGATATATAATTTTATATGCGGTGTTAGTTTTTTATAGATACACAAAATTAGAAATATATTTATTTTATTATATCAGTATATATTTCTAGTACAAGCTCTACTTGTTATAATGCACTATACTAATTTTATTGATTACTCACCATTTAAATTTTCTGAAAATTATTCTAAAAATCATTGCTTATATCTATTATATTTTTTCTATTACGTCAAATTACAATTTTGTTTATATTTTTTGTAGTGTCTGTAATTTAGTTAACTTTCAAATTTATTGTAAAAATTTTAAATTAAAATCGTTACCTTAAACCGGGTTTGGGATTATGAATTGCACCACGTCATGTAATGACCCACGTTGAAACGTCGGCAATAAAAATTAACCAGAATTAAAGAAATTATATGCTTCATTTTATACTTTATTCAAGCAATGGGAGTTATCTATTATTCTCATCTTCGTGTATATTATATTTTATAAATGTGCATATAAGCTATATTAGACGCCAAGCTTGTTTACATAATGAATACTTAATTAATTAATGAGAGTACTCTACTTAAACCAAAGATTTCGTTATTTCTTGTTCTTAGACTTGACAATTCTAACAAATTTTTCTAATGATCCCTTTCTCATTTCTATTTACACTACTTCGAAGTGTGTAGAACATGAACTAATTCTCAGAGATTTTACGAGAACCAACCGAGTTAGTTAATAATATATAGTAAAATTTTAAAGATTTAACAATATTAGAACCAGATTCATAACCTGAATCTATACTTATTATGTATTATACAGATAGATTAACTAAAAAAAATTATGCGAAGTTTCAAATTATTTCTATTCACCCCGTTCTATGATACTTATCTATTTGCTTATCTATGCTGGCTTTATTAATTCCACAGAGTGCTTTATATTCATTCTCTAACGCAAAAAAGAAAAAAAAAAAAAATGAAATGTCGTCGTTACTCAAGTGTCTACTTTATTAGTTATTAAATGCAAACATTTCTTGTTCTCAAAATAAAGACATGAATATTTAATATAAAGTGAAATCTTAATGTTGCAAGAGTATCATATAAGAAAATAGTAACTAAAATATAGTACATGTGGCAGAAGATCAAATTATAACCATCATCGACCGAATATCATTGAAGCAAATCCCCAGGTCAGCAGTCAAGTTATTTACATAACCACTAAGTAATTTCTTAAATAAAAATTATGACATCAACAGCCGTTAAAGCGTTGGGCGTAGCCAAAGATGTATCCCCCTTGTACTATCGTATATTATCGAAGTTTCCACAAAACTTCACATTTTGCTTCGCCTATGGTTCAGCAGTGAAGCCACAAATCAGTAACCAGAAGAAACAGAATATGATCGATCTTATCTATTGTGTTGAAAACTCTTATAGATGGCACGGAGCCAATATTGAACAGAACCCTTCACACTATTCAGCTCTACGGTTTCTAGGCAAAGGTTTTGTTGCAAGATTTCAAGAAAATTGGGGTGCTAAGGTTTACTTCAATACACTTGTTGAACTGAAAGAAGAGAATATTACAATAAAATATGGTGTTGTTTCACAAAAGAATTTAATTGCAGATTTACTTGATTGGAATGACCTATACCTGGCTGGACGTCTACATAAGCCAGTTGAAATTATAAAACAAACCAATAGTTCTCAATTGCAAAATGCTCTGCAGTCAAATTTAAGATCTGCTGTTCATACAGCACTTCTTATTTTGCCAGAATCATTCTCAGAATATGACTTTTATTTTGCCATTTCTAATCTAAGTTATGCTGGAGATTTTAGAATGACATTTGGGGAAAACAAAAACAAAGTTAGGAATATTGTTCAACCTCAATTGTCAAGTTTTCGTGAATTGTACAGTCCAATCTTGCAACAATTTCATGCCTATGTTGATTTTCCTATGGGAGATGCACAGTGTCACCAAGATTTACATCCAGAAACAAAATTCCATCATCTCATGCAACTGCCAATGATCCCACAGCAGAGAATAGCAAAATTTTGGAATCATGGTGGACTTCAACAGGATATGGAAGATGTGCTCCGTGCTGTTGCATATGACATAGACTGTGCTGTTATATTGAGACAAATACTTAAAGATATAGTGTGGCAGTCTAGTGTAAGACAATCTTTAAAGGGAATCCTGACAGCAGGACTATTAAAGTCAATCCGTTATAGTGCTAAAAAAATAGCAAAAATGTTTTAATTATATAATAGAACAATTATGTATCTAACATATTTATGTAAGCCAGACATTAACGAAAATAAAATTAGTAATTATAAATTAAACACTTTTTTTAATTTAATTTTATATACATTCCTTTTTTGTTTTTAGGTTCCATTATGCTTTCTGATGAATCCAGCAGTGATTCAGAAACAGGTAGATTCAAATGTCGATCTAAGAATGAAGATGAACAAAAGAAAAATACAAGTAAAAAAGAAGATAACACTAGACCCTCTGAGCGGCATAGATCTTCTATAAATGAAAGATATAGAAGAGATTTTGATAAAAAAAGAAATGAGAGGGAACATTATGATAGACATGTTCGTGAAAGGCATAGGCATTCAAGGTATTCTCCTGTGAGTAGGAGAAGAAATTCAAGAGATAGAAGCCAGGACAGGAGATCATATGAAAGGCATAGATATAGAGATTCTAGAGGAAGATCAAAACCCAGAGACCTTAGGAGTAGTAGTAGAGATAAACATAGGAATACTGGGGTTCAGTTTAAAAAATCTCCTGATCATTTACGAGATTTCAAGGAAGAAATTCGACGTAACATTGCAAAAGATGAAAGAAAAGACAAACACTCTGATCACTTGGAAAGAAAGAAAAGGGCAGATTCTAGAGAGAAGGTGTCTTTGTCTCCTGATCAAAGAGGAAAAAAATCTGAAGTTTATCAACCACCTCCTATGTTATCTACTAAAAATAAAAGTGACAGTCCAATTATTGTGGAACATAGTGATGAATCTGAAGATGTTCAGCCTGGTTCATACTACAGTATGATACCTGCCATAGTTAAAGAAAAATCTGAAGAATCTAGTGAGATTGATTCATCTGATGATGAGAAACTTAGAGCCAAACTTTTAAACTTAGAAAACGAGCTTCAGAAAACCAGAAAGAAAAAACATAAGAAGAAACACAAAAGAAAAAGTTCAAAATGTAGCAAAGATAAAGAACAAGAGCCAACCACATCTGTAGAAGTAAGCAGTACAACTGATATTCAAGATGCAATTCAAAATCATAATAATAGTCATCCTGAAACCGCTGAAGTCTCCTCTACACAAAAAAGTAGTCAAAAAGAAAGCTGTGAAGAGGGAGAAATATCAAGTGATGAAGAAACAGATAACAACTTTGAAATTGATCCTAATGACTTAAGACATAAACTAAAAAGATCTGTACGAAAATCTGTATTAGGTTCAGAAAAGTCTGCTTCAGGTGTTTGTGGCCCTGCATTACCACCTCATTTAAAGAATCAGTTTGACCCTTCAATAGAAATAGAAGGACCAGCTTTACCCCCACACCTTAAAAAGGGGTCCAGAAATATAGGTAATTATACCTAGGTTAAAATTAAAATTACTTATTTCTACAGATAAATTACTGATGCTATTTCTTTTTCATTAACAGGACCATCTATTCCCGATAATATGCGTAAAGTACTAGCAGAAACTGATTGTGAAATAATAAAAGACGAGATTTCTGATGAAGATGTAGGTATTGGCCCATTGCCTGTAGGCTCTGAAGAAAAATGGTCGGATGCCCATAAACGACTTGAAGAGCGGGCATTGGACATAAAGATAAAACATTTAGATGGGCATTCTTTACAAAGTAATAAAGTGAAATCTAGAGAGCAATGGATGTTGGAACTTCCTGAGGCTAAAGCAAAATACCTGGGTTTAGAGGCCCGTAGTTTCAGGAGCAAGGAAGGACCTGACATGTCGGACAGGTAAGAAATTGTAAATTATAATTATACATAGTTCTTCATACATTTGTATGAGACACTGAACACACACTTTTCTACAGTATAGCATAAATATTATTTGTCATATTGCTATATTTTCAAAAATCTTACTAAGTATACCTATTTATACATCAAATTAGTAACAGTATAAATTAATCATGACTTTTTTATTATGATCATTGTCTTATATATTGTGACAGACTACATCTTAGTACCCTACATAATAATAGCTTTTTACATAAAAAGTTATAAAAGTGTGGTGATTCTAAAAAAAACTGACACAGAGTAATTGTTATACAACAATATCAAATGTAATGTTAGGTAATACCTATTGCCATATTATTTAACATATTCAATGATTGTACAGTTAAATTTAATATAATTGAAAATAGATCCAGTTGGACTGACACTCCAGAAGAAAAGGCTCGTAAAATATATGGTTTAGCTAAGGAAGAAGATGCAGACATTAAACTACAGCAGGAGGCAAAGGCTCGCCAGATTGCTAACAGAGATGAGGAACACGAGACAGCTGTCAGGTAATACAATTTATATTTATTATTATTGTTACATGCACAAAATATTTAATTTTTTTTTTTTTTACCCTGTGTGGCATATATATATAAAGATTAAATTGTGTGTAATTTAGTTTTACAAAAAAAAAAAATATTATTGTCAAAATACCATAATCAAATAAAGAAACATAACATGACGGCATATTATTTTTCAGGAAACATAAAAAGAAACACAAGAGAGAAGAGAGTTTATTAGAAATACACCAAAAGAAATTAAAAAAAAAGAAAAAGGTATAAATATATTTATGAATTTATTTTAAAGTAATATTATTTTATTTTTAATTAAATGGAAACATTTATTTATTTAAAGAAACAAAAACAGAGAGAAAGAGAGTTTTTAGAATTTTACATCAAAAGAAATTCCACTGTGAGAAAAAAAAAGAACAAGAAAAAAGGTATAAATATATTTATGAATTTATTTTAAAGTAATATTTAATTAGCTTTTATTTTTAATATAAATGAGTCCAAATTTATAATATAATGTACAATAGCATTTATTTATTTATTTTTAAACTTTAGAGTGCAAAAACAGAATATATGTCTTAGATTTGTTGAGTACATATTCATTTTATCCAGAATATATTTTACATTTTACATATTTTATATTTGTGGTTTTCAGAAAGATGATAAAGATGAAGGTAAAAAGGATCGTCGGCCGTTTAGCCGCGATATTGATCTACAAGTAAACCGCTTCGATGAAGCCCAGAAGAAGTCCATTATAAAGAAAGCTCAGGATTTAAACAACAGATTCTCTCGAGGAGAAGCAAAGTATCTATAATTATTATCTGATGTTATAAAATGAATTGAGCTATGAATTTTGGGAAAATCTGAAATCAGTGACATGACTCCATTCACTCAGGAATCTGATTTTATAGAAGGATTCTCATTTACAAATTTACATGGCAACAGGTGGCATATGAATATATCGTTATTTTACGTTTTTGTTACTGCGTATTCCATATAGAATTACACAGTCGTAATCATGTTTCCGTCCGACGTCTTGTTCTTTCTCTTAGCGCGCAGATGAAAATGTAGTTCGTTTCAATATGTCTTAATGAAAAAGTGACCAATTTTGTTGAAATTATTACAGAAATACTCTCTAAATGAAATTATTAACAAATCGAAACATTCAATCAAAAATTAATCAATTATTTTTTGTATTACTATTGGATATTAACAGATTCTCTAATGGTCGCATCAGTTATTAATTTGTTTACATTTTCATAAAATTTCTATTAAGTTGACAGACTGTATCTGGTTATCGATACATTCATTTACCAGCGGTTGCTGAGTATGTTTGTTGGTATCTGAATGCCATTGTAAAAATATAAAAATTTTCATAAATTTTGTTAGATATTATTTATATTCTGAGAAATGAAATGTTTGGTAGTATGTTGATATGTATGTTTCATATCAAAAACGGCTTGTGGAATATAAAAGCATTTAAAATTGTAAACAACCTTTGAATTAAATAAAAATGTGTACGTTGAAAATAGTATGCATTATAATACTTTTGCTAATGTAGTTACATGTAATCAACAGTTCATTGTAAGCGTTCATACCGAGCCTTACCACAATGTGGCAATGTTGCTAATATCTATTTTGAAAAACGATTGAAAATTTTTTTTTTTTGTATATTTCTGACTGATTAATTTAAGAAAAAAAAATTGCTCTGATGGAAAGTCGTCACTGTCGTATAGACGAAATAAATAATTTTACTTTAAAATTTTTAAACTATTTCAAAAATTCCAAAACAAAATTATTAAAAAAAAAAAAATAAAATATTGTAATGTATAATTACAATATTTTGATTTTTATAAGTATATTAACTTTTTAGTTCGTTAGTAGAGCATTTTATAAATAATTAACCAGAAATATTGAAAAATTTTTTTACTTGTTTTTGAAAATTGATACATAATTCCGACTTTGCCTCACGTCGTCAAGCTTCTATATAAACACTTATACCAGTAAATAAAGTATTTAAATACAGTAACTACATACTTAATAGGTTTGGTTTCACCTGTACCCAACTTTAATACCAACGTAATGCAATGTGGTAAGTATTGTATATACCAGAAGTGGTCAAGGCAAAAAAATACAATATTTTGCTAATGTAGCGGAATATAAATAGCTAGTTACTATGAATAATTTTCATCTTTATATTTTCCATCTTAATAAAATAAAAAATACTACAGTGCTACATAATTGTGTCTGTATTACATATGTTGTTTCATTTGAGATTTCAAAATGTATGTAATTGGTAGATTGAACAGAGTTTCGTCAATAAACAGTAAATCTTGAGTCTAGTCAAGTCGGCCATTCCTGGTATATATACTTACTTAATATCGACAAATACTATTTTCTTTTATACCTAAGTAAGTGTGATTTTATTGGCAAAATATAAACGTATTTTTACATCAACTTTTAATAATGTACAAATGATATGTATAGCATAGTTTGTGTAAATACATATTTCTCGTTTACTTAATACATGACTTTATTTTCAATTTACAAATATTCCATATTATAAAAAATCACCAAAGCCTTTACATTATATCATTCGACACACAATCCATCTGCATTTCTTAAAGGTCATGATAAAACTTAAATATTACAAAATCAACGGATATATAATCTTTTGATTAAGTTTACATTATTGTCTTAACATCGATAACGTCTGTGACGTTAACATTTTGGGCCGATGCACAAATCTTTACTTTGTTGTCCTCACAGCAAAGGGGCTCCTCTGCAGTAATATCTGCGTAAATCCAAGATTTGTCGCATACTTTATAGAACGCTGACAACTGAAAACATAATAACATTTGTAAAATTTATTTTTGAATTTCAAATAGAATTAAAAAGAACTAACGTTACTGGAAATTTAATTACTAATTAGTTCTTGGAACAAAAATATTTGTTTTTTTTTTTCTAACAGTAATACAAAGTACAAATGTTAGTAGTAACATCTAATAGACAATAATAGATATACAAGGATTAATATACCTTCAATTTGTCAGCGTCCTTCAGCTTACTGCATAAAATCTCAGGTCCCTTAGCCTTGGTGGCAGTTGCGAGAGCATTGCACAGAGTCTTACATGTGGTCTGTCCCTCCTCATCGCAGTTTACAACCAATCCAGGTGACTGGGAGAGAAGAGGTTCGTAGCCCGCGCCTTCTACAGGCGCACTAGATGGAAATCCTCCGCACGAACAGTTTCCTTTAAGACCTTCTGTAGTCTGTATCAATGGACTGTAAAAATAAACAAGACATGAATATCACATACGCATTTATATAGGAATTTATTGTCTCTAGCTCTGGTTTTTAATTTAGGTAATGATTCAAAAAGAGCTAAAAAAATACTAAAAATCAGCATTTCACTAAGAAATATAAAAATATGATTATTATTTATGTGATTGAAAAAATTTCGAAGCGGCGTACTTTAATTTCCATACTTAATAGCGCGATTAATATATAGGACCAACTTTTTCCTTGGGGAAAGTTATTCAGTCAATAAATTTTTTTTTTTAAAGATTAAAAACAATATTCACTTACTTTGTAATGATTTCATCTGCTAAAACTACTGTGAAGCCAAACAGAAAAATAATACATAGGTCACAAAACAATGACTTGGACGCAGACATGTCGAATAAAATTCCTATGTCGCTACTGGTGAATTGAACATTATAAATCTACCTTTATACCTGCTAGAATCTCATACAGTAACTTTATGTAGGTGAACCATACAATCGGCTTTAAAGAGGACTAACAATTAGCTGACCTATAAAAAAATATAATTTACCATATATCAAATACTTTTTATTTTCTGCTTTTTAGGTTACTTAGTAAAAACAATGTTGTTGAATAAAAATATTTATTTTAATTATTTATTGGTCTGGAAAAAAACAGAATCTGAATTGTTAGTAAGTATTATAAATGTCAATAAACACTTAGTTTCTTGTGTTTAATAGTAGTTAAATATAATATTTATTATTATTATTGTAAGCCGTTAACTGTCCACTGCTGGCTATAATCCTTCCCCATAAGGGTAGTTTTGCCAGTAGTTGCCACGTTTGGCAGGCGGGTTCGCTGCGGTTGCCAGACTTTATTATTATTATTTTTTATATTATTTATTGTTATGTTTTGGAGATGTCTAAGAGGGATGCTGCTGACCATCCCTTGCCACCCTTAGTCAACTCTTACGACACCCATGGGAAAGGAAGGGGTGGCGTAAGTTAAATATATAACTAAACAATTCCGAGTCTGGGAAACTACATAAATTTTGTACATTTCGTTGTAAAACAAGTAATGGTGTTATGATACGTAGATGCCAATGTTATCATTGTAGGTACCTACATTACAATAAGCCATTTCCAGTTCGCATGCATTTGTTTAAGTAAACGAAAGTGGTCATCTTACACAACCACAAACCAACTCATTATTACAAAACTCTAGTTAAATCTATACTTAAGAGTTAAATAATGGATTTTTCTCTCAGTCTTTCATTTGGAAAACTAATGTAGTATTGAAATAAGACGACTTGTGAATTTAATTGTAAGCCTACCATCTATCATCGGCTTGCACAGTGCCTTATTTTTCAGCTAATCAACATCAATAAAAATTACATCACCGTAATTAGTTGCGGTGATGTAAGCAGTTATTCTTTTTCCTAGATAATAACCACTGAAATCTTTGCTAAAATATCGGTTTGACTGAACAGTTTCTCCAAGAAAAAAATTTCCACAGTTACGACTACGGTAGTCGGTACGGTAGGGAATTTAATTAAGTGATAATTTATTACATGCAATTAACCCTCCACCAATTGTGTGTTTTTTGCTCACCGTCAACCGTCAAGGACGATATAGTCTCAGACAATAAATTGACCTACTTAAAGGTGGGGAAAAATTTCAAAAAAATTCGAGGAATACGTTCTAAATTTCTTTTTTTTTTTTTGTTTCCATAGTTTTTGACTTAAATACTTTACCCCCTGGCGAAATAAAATTTTGTAATCTCTACAAAAACCGTAATTTCTAAGATTTCACTAAAAAATCGATATCTTAGATATAAATTAGTTTTAAGATGAAATGTTTTGGAGATTTATTCTTCATATAAGCGCTTTTCAAAACCTTGCCTGTGAGGTACGCGCGTGTGTAAGTTTTTTCACAGAGGAGTTCAAGGCCTCGTCCTTGTTTTCTTACAAAGATATGCATCAGGTCCAAACTTGGTGCGGACAATATTGTCCTATTCGGTTGGCGAAAGGTTAATTATTTGATTAAGTACCTTATTAATTAAAATTATTTTTAGATAATCATCTACTTGCAACAATTTTGAAATCCTCACTCTATCTCGTAAGGAATTGCCTTACACAGTGCCTGCCTAGATAAGGTCGTCACTTGAAAAATTTTTCTCCATGAGTTGACTTTTACCCGAACTTTGCAGTATTACCATTTCATCTTCCAGATCTCTCGGAGTATATAGCGCCCTTATTACTTTAGTTAATATTTGCTTAAGAAGTGCTAGATTGAATAAATTAAATAAACATTAGCACTGACCTATGCCGGTTTCGAAAATCTTTCACCTAATTTACCTCATTTCTTACCCGTATTAAAAAAACCGCTAGTTAAATAGACGTAAGTATAGTCTCCCCTTCTTATAATAAAACATGAAATGGCCTATACTTTAAAAAAAATATAAAATCGACACTGGTAAGAGTGAAAGTATCGCCAAATGATTTAAAACATCCTCTACTAGTAGAGTGCGACCATGTTTTAGTTCCATAAGTCATCACTGGCAACACGCACTGGTTGGGGAGAGAAGGGATTGTTAATAATGGGGATTAGTATCTGCCGTTGCTAGTAATAATACAGTCTATCGATTTCCTCGCGGTACTCCGTGGAAACCATCGCGTTCAATTTCAAATAAATTCATCATGATGAGCTAACTGGCTTGGTTTTTCATCAACACCTATCATCTCTTACTGGTGCCCCGCCAACGTATACCATTAGCGCAGGCGGAGTTATCATTCAATTTAAAAAAATACGCACTAGTTAAAGTTCGTATTGGTGGTTAAAACACCTAACAGTGAACTATAGATCGCTTTGCGTACAAACCAGGATGTGTCAATAGTCACAGGTGTAATTTTTTACACTGTCAAAATATATATTTATAAATTAGTATTTTAAAACTATTGATATATTTTATTATCATTTGGTATACTCAGAGGGATAATAATCTACTGTTGCTGTTGTGGTTAATGTAACATTTGACATGGCAATATTTCTCTGAACACAACTTCTCCTCTGATCCTCATGGTATTGATGAGTCACTTACAAACTGTAGTGCTTGTTTGCCTATTATTGTAGGAATTGGTAGACAACAAAGACAACATGGAAGCTATAATAATATATGGAAATAAAAAAGAAGCTGACAATCCACCTAATTAAATATAACCATTAGTTTGAACAATGAATATTACAAAATATATTGTGGAATCCATTGTACCCATGTTTTGTTATTCTTTAGGACTATTGTCTCTATAATCAGTAATTTTGTTTCTTTATTTCACTCTTCTACCTATAAGAATATAAGTACACAATAAAAACTTTATTATGTACAATAGTAAACAGATTATATATAGTATTAAGATTATTTATAAATAAAACATTTATTTTAATTCAGATTTATTTAAAATCACAAATAACATACTACCAGTCTTTTAAAAATTAAAAGTTAGTCAATGTATGTATGCAAGTTGAAAACTAAGCTAAATTACCTAACAGGAACTTAGCATGTTGGTGTCACTAAGGTATCACAGAATGTGACAAAATATAGAACTTGGGTAAATTAGTAATATTACAAAGTTACTTATTATCAACTTATTAGTGATAATACACTATAAACAGGTTCAATAAATATCAATGCAGTTTTAGCTTCGAGCACATATTGAAGATTTTCTATCTTTGGGGTGCAGGCTTTGGTTTTGGCATCTTAGCTAAAAGCTGCTGTATTTCTTTCTTTTCATCATAACTCTTCCACATTTCATACAAATTTATAATAGAACGTACAATCTCTTGTATCTAAAACAAAATTTAAAAAATTAAATACACATGACAAATAGCAAACATAAAACAGTTTTTTTTTTTTATATAAAAATTGGTATGAGCTTATAATAGTAATGAATGTGGTACAATTTTAAATGTCATCACTGAAATCTCACCTTATCCATGTCAACATTAAGTTCTGCAAACCATGGTTTTAGATTTTCTTTACCAAGCATCACACAAGCTATATGCAATGCTCCTATTGCAATCTGGAAACAATTAAATATGCACTTTTATTTTTTCAAGTTTATCATAAAATAAATAAACACTGTATTTAGTTTAATTTAAATAACATAGCATTTACCTGATAGGGTGGATATAGTAAGCTTACATCAGTTCTTAGTGAATCATTAACAATTCTCCAAGCATAAGTAAGAAGTTGGTCATCTTGACCAATATCTTGTACAAATAGAAGTAAAGGCCTGTATGGTTGATACACTATTAAGCAGCAGTCCAAATTTTCTAACAAATAAAATTCACATTCCAATATATGAGTGGTTCTGTATGGAAATTCTTGCTGACCATATGCATAACTGAATTTATTCTTTATAACAGTTTGGCAAGTTGTTATCAGTCGTGAATTTGATATCACGCCGAATTCTTCGACTTTTGATGCAAGAAAAACGCATGTTGGTGCCAATAATAACGGATCTATACACATAAGAGAATTCCTAGCGTAAAATCTCTTGAAGTACACCGTAGCTGTCGCAATCACTTGTTGTCGGAGTTTCAGCTGTTCTCCGAGAACTTGAATTATACTCGCAAAGAAATTAAATATTTTTTGATACTCTTCCTCTGACAGTATATTGAGGTCGTGTTGACGATCTCTAATAAGGTCTTGTTTATCCAGCATCCACTGCTGATGATGAGAACTTTGCCAAAAATTTCCAGCCATAATTTTTTACAAAAAAAATAGATAGCACCCAAATAACGTTAAAATTTCTGAATCATTCTGTAAAAATGCATAATTTTAAAAAACGTTAAAACCAGACATATATATTTTTTTAGAATATAGAAAGTTTTTGATATAATATAAACTAGATTTCTAGAAACGGTCTAATTTTTTTTTTAGTACGTTTGTTCCGTTTGGAACAGGCTAAGGTCGGAGACCATGCTGCCTAGTCTTCAAAGAGATAATTTGTCTGGAATTTTATTTTTCTAATGTCGCTTCAATTATTGTCATAATCTTCAATATTTCATTTGTCAAATCCGGTAAGTACATTTTCATAAATATCTTTTCTTGAGTTTTCTTAAACCAGTGGATTTATCAAATTAAAAATAAATAATTATAAAAAATCATTGTCTTAATTCAATAAAAGTATTCTTATAGCTCCTTGAATGTTGTAGTAATATAAGTGAAAATAGCTTTGAAACAAGAAGGAAATCTTAAGAGAAGCGGGATTGAGTGCGGGATATTTTCGGGTTTTTTGAAGATAATCCTAAGTTCGTCAAACATAATGTGTCTTTGAATGACAAATTCAGAGCAATCAAAAAAAAGGTGATGTAGAGATTGGGCTGTATTTGAGTTACACCATGTGCATGATGGGGAAGCGATCATGCCCATTCGGTGCAGGTGTTCGTTGAAATGTCCGTGGCCGATTCGTAATCTACAAATATTGGTGTAAAATTTTCTGTTTGTGTCCTTTCCTTTGCAGAACCACGGTTTTCCAATACGCCAATTAATTTTGCGGTACCATTTGCCTTTAGTCTGTAATATTTGAGTCCAATGCTCCTCCCATTTAGTTGTAACGATTTTATGTATTCCAATACTACAATCTGAGTAACAAAGGGGTAAATCTTGAACACGAGCAGCACTTGAATTAATAATTTTAGCCAAAGTGTCTACTTGTTCATTCCCAAACACTCCAATATGTGAAGGGGTCCAGATGAAGATAATATCTTTTCCATATATAGTACAGAGATGATAATATTTATTACGAATTTCTTGAATTAAGTAGTTTGATGATGAAATGAATGTGTTATTTTTTAATGCCATAAGAACACTCATACTATCTGTAATTATAATCCATTTCGAATATAGTACCTGTTTTTCTATGTATTCTAATGCTAAAAATATAGCTTTTGCTTCTGCTGTGTAAATACTAGCCAAAGTTGAAATTTTATAACCGTGACCAAATCTATTTGACAAATCGTAAAAAGCCACTGAAGTGCTAAGTGCATTTTTGGAACCATCTGTATATATCTGCCTGTAGTCAATAAATTCTGATAAAGTCTCATACATATCGTGCTTTTCTTTTATGTCTTTACGTATAACAATTTTGATCTTACAGAACTTACTCTCATAAAGGCCATTATAACAAGGAAGTATCTTACTACTATAGATGTTATATTCATCTCGTAAATTCAAATCATTGACAATAGTTTTATTCAAAAACATAGAAATGGGGCAATTTAATAATTTGAGTATGAGTGGGTTATTGGAAACTGAAAAAACTTTGAAGAGAAATTTGAGTTTTAGGTATTCGAAACGAAGAAGGATAGGAGGCAAATTACATTCTACTTGCATTGAGATAATTGGAGAAGTATACATAGCACCTAAAATAAGTCTTAAATTCATATTTTGAATTTTTTCGAGTTTTTCTACTAATTTATGTTCTGAGGCATAACAAAAGAAAGCGTAATCAAAATTACTTCTAACAAGAGATTTGTAAAGTAAAAGGATAATTTTAGGATCAGCTCCCCAGTTACGACCAATTACAGATCTTATTATATTATATATAAGCAATCAACGTATAGATCCCATTTTAAATTTTGATGAAAAATTACCCCCAGAAATTTAACGCTACAGTCTGTTGGAAGAGTTTGATTATTATATATAATATTCATTAATGGAACATATTTATGAACTTGATGAAAAACAACTACTTTACTTTTGGTTAAACTAATATCGAGGGAAAGAAGAGAAAAATATTTCTCAAGTCTTTTTAATGACTCATTTAACACTAATTGCATATCAATAATATTCTTTCCTTTTATATAAATTAATAAATCATCGGCAAATTGCAAGTTGTTCACACTGTTTCCTAAAATTGAATTAAGTTTATAGATATATAAAATATATAGTAGCGGGCTTAGAATACCACCTTGACATACTCCTTTAGAGCTTAACCTAGGTCCTATTAATTTACTATTTACTTTAACATACACTTCTCTATTACTAAGAAAATTATAAATCCATTCGATAAGTTTCATTGGAAGAAATGAGGATAAAATCGAAGATAGAACTGTTAAATTTACATTGTTAAAAGCTCCTACGACATCTAAAAAAACAGATAGAACATATTCATCGTTATTCAAAGCAGTACTAAGGTCGACATAGAAGTTCGCTAAACTTTCGCGCGCTGAATATCCACGGCGAAAACCAAATTGATTCGATGGTAATATACTATTACTTTCAATAAAGAACTCTAAACGCTGTTTAATTAATTGTTCGAATAATTTGCCTGCACAGGATGTCAATGTTATAGGTCTATAGGAGTCGAAATTTGTAGGATCTTTACCGGGTTTAATTACTGGAATCAAACAATCCATTTTCCATTCTGGTGGGATAATACAGTCCTTCCATAAATCGTTAAAAATTTGTAAGAGTTTAGTAAGGTTTATTTTATTCAGCAATCGAAACATATTGTATGTTAAGCGATCAAGGCCACTAGCTGTATCTTTTCTAGATTTTACTGCACTGGATATTTCATCAATTGAGAATGGGTCAGTGAGAAATTTTGGGCATGAATTAACAGAATTAAACTGTTTGTCATCAAAAGGTGAGTGTACAAAATCAGGAGTATATTTGCGTAAAAAATCATTGACCCATGATATATCTTTAAAATGATTTGGACGATGTTTTGAATTTAGTTTTCTCATATTTTGCCAAACAGTGGAAATTGGTGTTAATCTATTAAATTTGGAACAAAATTCCTGCCACCCCTGTTGTCTTACTTGCTTAATTACTAACTTTTTAACAGCTTGAACTCTTTTAAAATTTATGTAATTATCGAGAGTTGGATTTTGTTTAAACCTAAGGTAAGCCGCTTTACTATCATTGACAGCTGTCGCACACCTGTTATTCCACCAAGGTACTGCAATATGTTTGTGCCTCTTTGAAGTATTTGCACCGCTATTTGATAAGTTCCTACGTGGAACGGAACGTTCCACAGCTGTCAAAATAATTTTACAGAACCTATTGTAATTGTTTAAGGGTTCATTGACATCATACTCGAAATCCAAAAGTAATTGATTAACAGTTTCAGAATAAAGATCCCAATTAACGAGACGTAGGTTTATACGATTTAACAAAAGTTTATTAACTTCATCTATAGGAGCATGTTGTTCACCTGACGGAGTTGATGAAGAGTTCTTTGTGTTTATTTTAGTAAAAGTCGGCAGGTGATAACTTCCTAACGGATCATCATGAACCGACCACTCGCATTTTAATGATATGGATGAGGATACCATAGTTAAATCAAGGCCATTGGGTCTCCAAATATGAGAGCCAACAGTAGTAACTTGCTTATCATTTAATAGTACCAAATTACATTCATCTAAACAATCAAGAATGTCTTTACCTCTTGTATTAGTGGAGGTACAACCCCACATAGTATGATGTGCATTTAAATCTCCAGATATGATAGTGGGTTTAGGAAGAGACTCCAAAAAGAACTTAAATTTGGCTTTAGTAAAACTAGGTGTACTATTGGTAGGACAGTAAATACTGGCAACTGAATACCAAGAATTATTAACTTCAATACTAATAGCTATAGTTTGCAAAGAATTGTCGAAAAAAGAGTGAAGTTTTTTATATCTAATACTATTATGTATAATAATCGCTACTCCATTGTGGTTATTACCACAATCATTTCGTTCTATACAATAATCTTTAATTTTTAATTTGTAATGTGGTTTTAGCCAAGTTTCTGAGATGAGAGCAATGTGAATATGATGTTCATTTAAAAATTGTGTAAAAATATGTCGATTGCTCAGTAGGCTCTGAGCGTTCCACTGTATGATAGTTAATTGATCTCGATTGAATTTTGTGAAATAGGTGTATTACCAAAAGTATCATATAACACATTCAAAACACTTTTAGTGTTAATAGATGTGTTCTTTGTGTTATGTAGTGAAATAAGTTTGATTATGCTTTCTATTAAAAGTGATAAACTCTTGTTATCAGAATTTAGAATTGAAATTAGGTCTACATTTTTTTTTTAGGTTTGTTACCCAGTTTAGGAAATATTTCAGTGCTAAGTATATCTCCAAAAGAAGCAGGTCTGAATTTAGATCTATTTTCAGCAATTTTCTTTTGTTTAACAGGGCATTGCGGTGATACACTTGTGTGATTTCCATTGCAGTGTACACAAATAGCGTTTTCCATTCCAGTTGTACAAGTTTTATAATTATGCTCACCTTTGCAGATGCTGCAACGCTCAGAATTCTTACAGAATTTAGCTAAATGTCCATACCTCAAGCACCGGTAGCATTGTTTAACTGGTGGTATATATGGAGTGACATTGTGCGCCAACCTCCAATATCCAGATATTCAGGTAATACAGATGCAGCAAAAGTAATTGTCACGGTTAGAGTTGGCTGTAACACATATCCATGAGTCAAGGTATTTTTTTTCTTAAAATTCTTTTAATAGCAATAATTTTCTTAGAACTCGATATCATAGTATATATTTTTTTATTAGATATATTTGTAGGTACATTTCTAATAACGCCTGTAACTTCTGTTGAAGAAGCAGGAATACTGGCCTTAAAATGGTAGTCATTTAAAAAAGTTTTATTATTTAAAAAAGCATTGGCTAAGTCTGGCTTTTGAAAGTATACTCCGATTTTGAATTTATTTATAGATCTAAGATAAGTTACCCCTTTATTAAATCGTTTTAAACAGGAGGAGAGTGAGAGCAAGTCTCTGGATCCAATGGTTTTCTGACTATCTGAGGATTCTACAAAGACAACAAATTCTGTCCCAGGGGATTCCTCGGGATATCTTCTAATATAATCTGTGACGTAGTAAGGTTTATACTTATCGGCCTTATCAATTTCAGATTCTGAGTCAGTAGAAGTATCTTCCGAATATATATCCTTGTCATTACAAGGTTCATGGTCTACATCACCTGAATCGTCATCTTTTTTTTCCTTTTTCTACAACTGCGCTTCCCCATGAATGCTAATTATATTACTGTCGCTGAATTTAGTGAAAATATAATATTTTATTCAATAATAAGAATTGATAGAGATAGTTTTAATAAATTAATAAAAAAAATTTAAAAAACCCGCTTGTTCTTATTCGAGTTTCCCGCCTTTTTCCCTGATTTCGAAACGGTCTAAAAAATATATATAATGACATTGACAGTAAAGTAATGACATGACACTAACAATGACAACAAATGACATTAGCACCATAGATTACTAATGCCATAGATTGAAGATAGTATTTTCAATTAAGGCTTAATTTACATGAATAAAATAAAGTATAGAAGCTCTTATAAGATCATAATAATGCATAATAATAAAAAAAATCTTATTCTTTGTATAAATGAAAATTGTGAATACGTATCTAATAGCACAGACATCCACATTGCGATTTTAAACACTGTAAATGTATACTGTTAGTTATTTTTATGATTATTTGGCTTTATTATGGGTAACAAATCTCACAGGAATATATATTACTTTCTAATTCAGCAACGGCTTATAGTTAATCTTTTTATCATTTTCCCTATAACAGATTATTCCCTATAACAGCAAGCATTGCACAAAGAATTCAGAAACTATTGCCAATTGGTAACAAATTATATTACGTAATACGATTACTTTCTACTTTTATACAATTACTTTCACTATTTTTTTGACAAATAACACTTTTTACGATCTAGTATTAGTATATTATTTTATTATGAAACTTAAGAGAAATGGATTGATAATAAAAATGCTTAAATATTGTAGTTCTCTTTTATCACGTCTTCATTGGTAGGAAAACAAAGACTAATAATGACAGAATACTAAAAACATAAGAACAATAGAAATATAAAAAAATGAAAGACGGAATATGACTATAAGCGGTCCCTCTATGCGTTAAGTCCGCCATTGTATATTAAATCTTGTAATGTGTCCAATGTAAATTATGTATAATAAAGATTTTATGAATACAAATACAAAAATAAAATTACAAAGACGACGTCATCATTTACCAAAAGGAGACTTTGTACAATAGTCGTTTGTTTGGGCACCTTTGTCCCATTCGTGTTTCTACCGAGAAGCAATTGTTTGCATGGCTGTGATTCAGCTTCAAAGGTGAAATAGGGTAGTGAATTTACAGGGTACAGAGGAATAACACCTGAATCCTCAGGAATGAATTATGTCCATGGTACTGGTCATGTCTATAGGCGACGGTTACAACTTTCCATCAGGTAGGCCGTCAACTCGTTAGTCATTGTAAGAAGCATAAGAAGAAATCAACGTTCGCTTGCTATTTGCTTTTAGATACAAAGCATGTTATATAAGATTAGGTACAGCAAATTTTGTGCAATTTTCGTGTTTTAGACTTTTTATATAGAGAATCATCTTGCAAACGTTTTGGACTAATTGGATTTGGAATGATCGATGCTGTCTTCACCCAATCCTACATCTTTCGCCCTATTAGAGATCACATGCATTTAAGGGGGGGGGGGGGGTTCACGTTTTACGTTCCCACCCAAGAATGGGGTGAGCACGCCCCCACGTAGCAAATAATCTTAAATACGCTAATGTTAAAAAAAAATTAACTACAAGACAAAAATACCTTCATTCAATTTACTACAACATTTATGACAGATATGTTTATTATTTTAATAGAAATAATACTGATTTATTGACATGCCTACGTGCACAGCGAATTAGTGAATGCAATTGGCGCCTAACCGCTCCTTACAGCAATGAATATACCTAATACAGAAGAGCCCTATATTTAGGGCATTTGTCAATTAATGGCTAAAATTAGAATGACGATTTGAATACCAAGTTAGCTTAAGTCGCCTGTAGTAAGTCAAGGAGACGATTACAGTACGATTTCAGGATTTTATTATGAAATAAGCTCTCTGCTGAGAATTTCCCAAATTACTTTAAAATAAGGCTCCTCAAAGAATATATTAACTACGTTAAATGCTTTCCATAAAGCGAGCCGTATGCTTATCTGCTATTTCGTTGGCATAAAAGTAATAATATCACTATATAAGACATTATCGTAATCATTCTACTAATCAATATCGGTATAAAATTGTAAAAATGCTTGGGATTAATCATTACAGTTATGGATATGGGCATTGCTTTAGACGCCTTGTTAAAAGTGGGGGGGGGGGGGATTGTTAGCAATGAAAACTAGTTATTCCATTGCTGGTAATATGCCCTATATAACCTTATTAGATTAACCTCTACACGATCTTTCTGGAAACACGAACATACATCTGGATACAAATGTATGTTCGTGTGTGTAAAAAAATGTGTTATTATAAATACCGAGTAGGGGAGAAAGGGATTGTTAGTAATGGAGACTAAGAATCCCATTGCTAGCAATATACACAACCTGGTCGACCTCCTTGCGGTTCCCCCTGGAAACTATCATGGTTAATTCCTGATGAATTCATCATGATAAGCTAACTGGCCTGTTTTCATTATCATCAATCACCCTTCACTGGTGCTCCGCTAGCGTATCCCGTTAGGCGGGGTAACCATTCCATTTTCACCCATAAAAAAAAAAATACCGAGTATAATTTTAACGTTCATCGTATGGTCAAATTTCATATACCATAGTTTCATATCTTATAATATGAAACTATGGTAGTTTATAGCCTAAAGAACTTTACTAAAAATGAATATCGTTCTGCCTGCATCTGCAAGCATATAGCAAATAACTTGAACACGGTACTCGCAGAACTGTTAGTTCTATAGATTAAATAGTATCTGCGATCCAATAATTTCTGTTTTCAAATGTAACTTGCGCTGTAATAGTTTTACATACAAATGTTATTGCGCAAACATCTTTATTCTATGCCAGGTATTGTTCATGTTGTTTTGTAGCAAACTGTAGCTTTGTAATTCTACATCTACAACTACAATTATATATAAAAACAATTAATTCAGAACAAATTCATTTAATTATATACATTTCATCACATTAGATCTTAATTATTTTTTTTATCCCAAGATATCGTTAATTGTGTAGTCCTTGAGTACCTCGTTGATCACATCAAAGAGTACTGAGCTGAGAATGTCACCTACGCTGTCCACGTGTTTCTGTACGAGATCCTGAGAGATGTTCTGTACCAGATTACTAATGAATCTGTTGATGAGTCTAGAACCAGTCATACCATCAACGTGAACCTGAAATATATTAAATAGTATTAAACCTTTTTATGAGAAAATAGAAATATACAAGCCTGCGGAACGGCCTGTTAACAATGTAAATAACTTTTTTATTGCTACCACGTGACATGTATGAGAAGAAAGAGACATTGCAATTACTTATTACAGTTTACGTAAATTATAGATAGATAAAAGCTTGTTGAAAACATTTTGTTTTTAAAAATATGACTAGTAATATATCCATATCTTAGATTATATAGAGTTTCAAAAATGCGTCATCCTTTTGTGAGCTAATTGTAAAATTAACCGACTCTTTTTTTATCAGTATTCTATATATTTACGCATTCAATGTATCTTGACGTATTATTTAATAAATAAAATAAGTGATACGCATTAAAAAGATGCAGAATTTATAAGACAAAATAAATATAGAAATTATAAAAGAATCACTCATAACTATTTATCACGCAAAATTCTAAGAAAAGTTGACCCATTTTTCTCAAAGCATTTCTATGGAGACACTATCTATCTAATCTTAGATCCATGTATGCACCAATGTTAAGAAATGAACACTAGTACTGTCGGCATCGTCATTAATTATACAATATTAGATACCTAGGCACCTTGTATTCAGAAAAATATTTTATACCACTGATTTTGTGAGATAAAAATCACCTATCTAAAAAAGACAAAACAAATCATGAAGAAGGTAAATTTGCAATACTTACCAGTGTATCGTGGATGTCAATCTTGATATTCAGTTCCCTCAAGGTCAGGTAGCCGCCCAAGAGGTTCGTTCCTAGTCGTACGTCAACGCCGACTTCGATACGGTGGACAAACAGTCTGCAAACAGTCTCGTGATGAGTATTATTACGTCTAATGTAATAACATCTCAACAATTTGTATAGCTAATTGTTGTGTAGTTGTAGATAGTTTTAGTTAGCACGCTACGGAATTCATAGGTCTGTCCAGCGTGTGTCCCGCAAATAGTATTGGAAATATTTAAATGAAATTTGGTACATACTTTAATATTAAGAACTATAACTATTTATTTTACAATGGAAAATAACATCCATTTCTATAGTAAAATCTTGTATCACTTTTGTGTATCTTCTTATTTATATTATTATTTATATAATTTTAATTTTATATTTGTAATTGATGAAATAAATAAATAAAATAAAAATTCACTAGTTAGTAGTGGTAGTAGTAGGTAAACCTATTTTAATATTTTTTTTTTACCTGAAGTTACCAGCAGCTCTGTGTCTCACGAGTAGAATTCGAGCTTGGGTGTTGTAACGGCCTAGAAACAAAAACAGAACGCAAATACTATAAAGTTGAACCTCACAATATATATAGAATTATATTCTAATAAACGCGAAAATCCCTAATGTTATATTTTGCCAACTGGAAACATAAAAAAATATTTAGAGAACTCCGATACATTATTCTTAACATAAATATCAACTGGTATATAGGATATATCATTAATAATTTTGAATAATATAAATAAATAATAATAATACCTTTATCTTTGAATCAGAGCAATAACTTTTTATTTATTATGTCGTGGAGTACTTTAATATAAGTATAATGTATCAGCACTTGGAGTAGTTACGCTTCTTTAAACTGATTAGCTCTCAAAAGTTTGCTCTAAAAATTTGGTGTAACTCAACATCGAACTCACGACTTCAGTCGGACACATGTACCTAATGGAACCATCAGGCCCTACTAAATATCAATTTCAATCTAAAATCTGATGCTGCTAAAAAAACGAATCTTTATATGTTTACTAATATTATAAATGTAAAAGTGAATTTGTTTCTTTCCTCTTTGCGCCATAACGACTCGATGAATCGTCATGAAAATTGTTATACACGTACATGCTTACTATTCGGGATGCAGAAGGGTATAGGCAACTGGCCAATCAATATAAATAGACATGAGGGGAGGGATTGTTAATAAGGGAGACTAAGGTCCCCATTGCTAGCAATACACTCAACCAGGTTGACCTCCACGTGGTCCCCTTAGAGACCATCGTGCTGAATTACACAAGTGTATTCATCACGATGGGCTAACTGACCTGTCCTTTCATCCTCACCTATCATCACTCACTGGTTCCCCGTCAATGTATACCGATAGCGCAGGCAGGGTTACTATGGTAACATGAACAAGGTCGCGACTGAAAAGTAATTATAATTAATAAAATAACAATAATCAATAGTTAAACTTACAGCTGAGAGAGAACCAGGGCTGTGTAACGTGCACGCTCACTGTGAGACGTATCGGATTGAAACTGACTCTGTCAATGACGTACCAACGTAGACCTTCAGCACGGATGTCACGGATGGTAGCCGACGCTCGGACCCTGTAATAATTGTCATTTGTATATGTTTTACTAAAACATCACAATACCACGGGACCGACTATCGGGACAAAAACGGAATATCGCATTATTATAGGATCTCGCAGGTTACAATAATTATGTTATTACAATTACTACGTACATAGACACTAAAATGCAGTTGTCATATAAAAAGAAACATTATAAATTAGGGCAGTATCTCTGTTAAAATAGTTTAATAGTTTCAAGTTGCAAAATGTTCAAATAAGTACCACGTTGGGCGCAATTTTATTTTAAAGAGTTTTGTTTTAATAACTTTGACTTTTATATATAAACACGATTTCATATATATATATATAATAACACAATCACATCAATCGCTTGGTCCTCAAGCTAGGACACCCTGTGTTATTAGATTGTAGATACCCAGTTCAGAAAAATTCGTTGCCTAAACGCCCTAACGGGAACCAAACCCGGGACCTCATGTTTAGAAGGAGTAACCCACAGCAAAATTATAATTTACCAACTAAAATGTTAAACTATGAGTATTTAAATAAATTGATTAAAAAGAACAATCTTCAGACTAAATACAATTACATTTTAACCCACTTCAAAACGTATAATATAATAATATCTTTGTTAATTGTATATCTATTTTGATGCTTCTTTGAACTGTTAAAAACATAATAAAATATTGTAAATAAACGAATAAAATATATTTATCCATACCCTGTTACAGACAATTCGAATGGTCCAACTTGATCAATAACAAGTGGGTCCAGAGGAGGAAGGAAATCGTTTCCATTGATGACAATATCCCGGAAGACTTCCAGAAGGTTGATGATCAAGTCTTCCAGCAGGCTCCTTGATACGCTGTTCTCCAGCGCTTCCAGATCAGTGGCGAATTGCTCGTCATTAGGCTCCGTCGTTAGGGATTTCAGGTTCAAGTCAAAATGACTCTCACTCAATTTGCCTTCAACATGATCTGAAAAAAATTAATTCATTTATTTATTTTATACAAATACATTTACAAGAGACGTTTTTAAAGCATAATTTTGTCACTATCGCATTCTGCAGCCAATCAGTGTCGTCAACTTGTTTGCATAGTCACAAAAAAAAATATTTTATCTGTACTCAATACGTAAAAAAATTTTATAACATTTTTTGCTTGCCCTTAGAAAGTCATTTTAAAATGTTCTGTTCTAAATATTATATATTTACTTAGAACCATACATACATATTCTTCAATGTGCAATATGCAATAAAGAGTTCTATTATTATTAGTATAGATAATATTTTCAGCTGACTAGTAAATACAGAAAAAAATATTTATACAATATATTTTTATTTGGTTGCTTGGGCACTACTTTCCCATTCGTATTTCTACCGTGAAGCTGTTGTGTTTGCATGGCTGTATTTCAGTTTAAAGGATGATATATGACAGTGAATTTACAGGGTACAGAGGAATAACCGCTGAATCTTTAAGAATGGTAACGCATGGGGGATATCATGGGCGAAATAGTTATTACGTCCATGGTACTGCTCATGTTTATAAGCGATTGTTACCACTTTCTATCAGGTGGGTCGACAGCTTATTTGCCATTCTAAGTTGTTTAAAAAAATAGTTAAAAGAGAAATCAATTTAGCACTTACCAATTACCTGCTCGCTCTCGTATGGAACAGCAGCGCCCACATAGGCGCTGGCGATCAAAAGCACTAAACAAATATTCTTCATTTTTCTGAAATAAAATTTGGCGTTATTAGTATTCAAGTTCATTTTTGTAAGAAATATATATACATTTAATTTGCTATTTTGTTGTATACTATTTTGTATTTGACAATCAATAATTAGTAAGTGTTGCATTATCGCACTATTTTCCTGGCTCTCAACTTGGAATCACAGGCATACTTAGGCCGTGCTCATCCCAAAATGGTATAGTGTCCACCCTAAGATGCTAATGGCCATTGCAACTATGCGCAGACATGTCTGAAACTAGATAAATGCCTTTTTAAAGGGCCAAGCAAACTCTTGGAAACTAAACTTGCCAATGCCTAGAATGTATCTAGATATACACAGAAAAATTACACAACGACTATCTCATTCGTTGTATGGCCATAACAATTAATCTTCTTCTTATAGTACGATCCAGAACAACCGAATCCGAGGCAATTTAAAAAATTCGGGACTAGAACCCGGGATTTTAATTATATCACACATTACAATAGATATTTAAAATATTGATGTAAAAGATAGATACATCAAAATACATTCACCAATCCTGCTAATATTACAAATATAAAGATTTGAATGCGTGTATTATATATTATTGAAACTAATGACATTTTTCCGATACACATAGATAAATAGAAATATTTAAAAAAAATCCAAATTTTCATAAAAACTGCAACATCAGGTCTAGGTAACCGTTATCGATCCCATTTTTCAGATCAGAACTGCACATGACATTACAAATGACAATCGGGTTTTTGGTATACGTTACCCTTTCCGCTACACACTGTATACTAATAAATAACTAAGTAACAACTATAAGTAATAATTAATAGAACCAAATTACCAATTACATTAGATAAAAGAAATTGGTATAAAAAGCGTTGTTATTTACTGAAAGTAAGATAATAAGGCACTAATTGAGTAAACACCACTAACCTTGTCTACTACTTCCCTTCGTATTTGAAGACTTAGTTGTTATTGTTCTTTTATATAACAACAATTATCATCAATCACTATTATCTTTATTTATCCGATTTATATTTTTTTTTTATCGTATTTGCTCGATTATTATTAAAAATATTTCTTATGCAGCTAAATAATCTTTAGGTATTAACATACGAACATAATAATTAAGTAGATAAATAGAGTAAGGTTGTAATAATTGGACCAATAATTTATAAAATATACTTGTATTATAGTCCACTGAGAACACAGTTATCTAGTACCTAACCGTAACTCGTGAACCCGCCTATTTTGAAAATAAGTTTACTATTTATTTTAAAAATCATTCTTTTCGCCAGAAACCTATATTTACATCTATACCATTTTGTTTCATCATTATACGTAGATTCCTCATTACAGGACAGGAGGTACTGTCAGTAACAAATATGTCAGTCCCCATTGCTAGCAATATATATCCTGTCTGGTCGATCACCATGCTGTCCTCCCTGACAACCATTGTGGATAATTTCTAGTTAAGATTGATCACTATACAAAATTAGACAAGAAATACTAAATGGCAGGGTGAAAGGGATTGTTATTAATGGAATTTGACAGCCCCATTGCTAGCAATATGCCTTATTAGGTCGACCTCCACGTGGTTCCCCCTGGAAACCATCGTGAATAATTCTTGTTTAATTCGTCACGATGGGCTGACTGACCTACTTCATCCTCACCTATCATCTTTCACTGGTGCCCCGCCGGTGTATACCGATAGCGCGGGTGGGGTTACCATTCCATTATCATCCATTAAAAAAAAAATTAATGGCGCTAGAATCGAGACTTGTGGTTTTTGTTGATTATTTTGTTATAAAAGATAATTTGAAGTAAAAATTCTACATTGGCGAGTGATTTTTATTATTATGTATGATTGTGATGTGACAGATAAGACATTTTCCTGAAGGAATTACAACCCACACAATCACAATTGGATGACAGAATCTCTGGAGGACTTTAATATTATATTCGATGACCTCAATAGTGCTTCTCAACAAGTAGGTCTTAACATTAGCATTGTTTATTTTCACAAGCTCCTTAAATAAAATGGCAAGCCATAATGGCCTAAATATTATTTTTTTTGGCCACATAAAATATCAGTGTTTTGTTCTTTTGAGGGCAAAGCAATTGAGTTGTGTGTGTATTGTATTTTGTGTTATTATGGTACACGCATGAAAGAAAAAAAATATGGTACTTCTTTTATTTACTTTCCTTTTATTTGTATACCTATGCATTCTTTTATTTCTTCTTTGTGTATATCTAATTACGACTGTTGTTATTTGAGTGTTATTAGTAACGCAAACAAATTATTAACTAGAACTAGTTATTCTAGCAGGGTATCTTGAAAAAAAAATCAATATATTGGAAGATACATTTTTTTAATGAATGTTATTACCCCGCCTGCGCTAACGGTATACGCTGGCGGGGCACCAGTGAGGGATGATAGATGAGGATGAAAAGGCAGATCAATTAGTCCATCGTGATGAATACACTTGGAATTCAGTACGATGGTTTCCAGGGGGTACCACGGAAAGGTCGACCTGTTAGGGTATATTGTTAGCAATGGGACTGATAATCCGCATGACTAAGAATCCCTCCCCCGCCTGGTACATACATTAGACTCCGAACTTGTTCAAAGTTAGTCCAATTATGGCAACCTTACCCTCATTATAGGTATATCGAAACTTTCTAAATAAACAAATCAAAACTCTTTTATCTATATCTAGATAATTACCCAATGGCAATGATTGACACCATGCGAATTTCGTCACAAATAGCCTCACAATGATTAAGTTGATATCGTAAAATATTAAAGAGATTTAGCAGGTAGATTGTCTAATAATATAAGATTGTGTTCCATAAAAAAAACCGCCTTCAATTGTGGCAATGCCAGTTATTGTGATTTAAAAACTAAAGTACTGAATCGATTTTGATAAAATTTCTATGGGACCATTCTGAAAGTATATCCTTTCAAATACAAAAATTTTCTTCAAACCTGTTTATAACTGACGAAGCCATGAAGTAATAAATATACAAAAACACAACCGAATTGACAACCTACTACTGTAGTCGATTGAAAATGCACATTTTTAGATAGCACTAATTGATTGATTTAAAAAAAATCTAGTATAATTCCTACAATATTGAGACAGTCAAACTTCAAGAAAATCAAGTGACAAAATACGCTATAAAAACCTATGGTCTTACTAAAAACAGTGTTTATTTAAATTGCGTTTAACATAAATCCGTCTAAATGATTGAATATTGTTCAGTCACATAAAATTACATGTATGTATGTACATTTGTAGTTTTATATGCCAAAATCTATATATTATTATAATAAAATTTATTATTTTAAACACCTTTTATTTTTAATAATATAAACGATATTTTAATAGTCTAGGAAATATCAGCCTACAATATATTCATTTCCATGTAATCGCAATAATTTGGCTGTTAAAAAGTTATGTAATTGTCCTGTACTTGAAAAAGTATCTAACGTAAAGTATTTGGGTATAATAATAGATGAAAAACTTAACTGGAAAAAGGATAGGTATATCTACACTCTCTAAGAGACTACGTAAATTTATATATATATATATATATATATATATATATATATATATATATATATATATATATATATATATATATATATATATATATATATAATGTCTACTTCCATACTGTATTTGTTCGTGGGGTGCAGCTCTATTAAGCCTAGAACAAGAGCAATATTAAAAGTTTGATTTTACTTCCCATTTATGAAGTTTATGTATTAATTAAGGTTTTTACAGCCCATAAACTGTTAATTTACCAGCGTATTCGAAAATGCCAATGAAGTCTACTACCATTATCCGCTGGTAATAAAAGACGTCAACGTTATCAATTTTTAACGGTCTTATTATTTAATAAATTTAGTCAAACAATCCCATGACGTTGAGTAACTATTAAATTAAAGATAAAATTAAACAATTGCTGGACCTGCTGCAGTATGTCAATGATGAAAATTTAATAAATGTGCAGTAGACCAAATCAAGAGACAGTACACACACACACACACACACTTTAAACTACACACACGCTCAAGCACACACACATACACATATATAATATACGATATTTTTTTATATCTGTTGTTGTGTTAGATCAGTTATAAATTAATTGATGTAAATAGAAAGGAACTGATTCTTAATACATAAATAATGCTATTTCAGGAATAAGGGTATATGAAATTGTAAGCTGATATATGCTATAATTGTTTTTTCCAAAATTCACATCTTCCCTTTTGAGTAGGAGAGATGGCAAACTATTATTGTTTTGTTTAGACATAAACAGATGTGACATACCAACTTTGAAACAAAGAACCATATGCAAGTCTGTCCATTCCAATACACCGCATGTATAATACCAGTGCATACTATTTTTGCGGCGTGGTCCCTGAATAGAATAGGCCACCCCTTCCTTTCCTGTGGATGTCGTAAGAATCAACTAAGGGAAGGCGATGGATGGGCAGCAGCGTCCCTCTTAAAACATCTCTAAAGCCTAACTGCGGTTGTTAACCTGCCTGACAAGCGTGGCAACTGCTGGCAAAATACCCTAAGGGAAGGTATATGTTCAACAGTGGACAGTAAAAGGCTGATATGATCATACTACTTTTTTTATCGTAACTGGAACTTCATCTCATAGTAGTACGTTATACTAAGTCTATGTTCTCCTAGGTATACACTGGCAAATGAGCAAGTAGCAATCTGTTAAAATGAGCATGAAAAAAATAATAAAATTTGCCTATAGTTGTAATATAAATACCTAAGCTACGCAGTATTGTCTTGTTAGTTCTAATATTGTGAAAACGAATGACTTATTTGTCTATCAGTTGATTTAAGTGATATTATTGTGACTTTAATCGGTGACTAGATGACTTTATTATTGTTTTCCATTATTGTTATAGTACAGTAGGCAATGTGAAAGGATTATCATTACATACCTATCCATCACAAACACAGCATTGACAATACATATATACCGGGGAAAGAGATTGTTAGTAATGCGTATTACCATTCCCATTGCTAACAATATACCCTAACAGGTCGACGCCCCGTAGTTCCCCTGGAAACCATCGTGCTGAATTCCAAGAGTATTCATCACGATGGGCTAACTGACCTGTCTTTTCATTCTCACGTATCATCCCTCACTGGTGCCCCGCCAGCGTACAGTTAGCGCAGGCGGAGTTACCATACCATTTTCACCCATCAAAAAAGAACCTACCTTATTGTATAAAGTGCCCTAAAGATTGATTGTACCATTTAATTGTTTGCCGCCTGCGCTAACGGGATACGCTGGCGGAACACCAGTGAAGGAAGATAGATGAGAATGAAAACAGGCCAGTTAGCCCATCATGATGAATTCATCAGGAATTAGCCATGACAGTTTCCAGGGAGAACCGCGAGGAGGTCGGCCTGGTTGGGTGTATTGCTAGCAATAGGATTCTTAGTCTCCATTACTAACAATCCCTTTCCTCCCCAATAAGGTGGGTTTACACCAAACAAAATATCATTCTCCATTTACGGGGCGGATTTCCATATGAACATCTTTTATTTATTACTAGCTTTTACTTATGACTTCGTCCGCTTGACACAGATACATTTAGTAACCAGGATATCAGTAGCCTTTTCCTTCTCCATTTAAAAAAAAAAATTATAGCCAATATTTTAGACTCTAATGATACCCGTATGGGGTATCATTTAAATTTCAGTTCAAGCATTTAGAAGTTTAGGTGGAATAAAGTAACACACATAGGTGTATGAATATTGAAGACATTATACTCCTTTTGGCGCAGTCATGTAAAAATGTAATTTCAAGTATGTACCTACTATTTTCATTACTAGTTTTTACCCACGACTTCGTCCGCGTAACCTCCCCCTAGAATTAGAGAATTTATTAATTCATTCGTACTTAATAAATCTCTTTCGTAATTCTTCTTTCATCTATTTTCTACAAATGGCCAAACAAACACGACATTCTCTTTTCTGTAGCATTTGAACAATTATAATAATACATTCATATCTACCTATTTAATAAATAGATAGATAGACACTTTATTTTCATTATGATAAAAAGAATTAATCAATATAGAATTAGATCGTAATTGACTTTGATAAATTTATGATTAATTGTATAGATTTGTTAACAGTAATAAAACTAGCTATACACGTGACTTCGTTTGCATTTTTTATACTGTATAATAATGGACGTAACTACTAGCGGGGTACTAGTCAGGGAATGGTGAGAATAAAAACAAGTCATGATGCGAGGAATACAGTTATGAAATCATGTTTACAATTGTGTCTTAACTTAGCGTAAGAAAATTACTCCTTTATTAATAAAAACTCAGCCAAATGACTCATAAACCTTCTTCAGCTGTTGAAGTTTTTTCTTTAACGCAACTGTATATTGCTAATTTGAAAAAGTGATAAAATAATCTAATTATTCTATATTTACAAAAGGTTTTAGTTTTTATTAATAAAAGAGTTAAGGTTATAGATGCTTTTTTTAACACATAAAAATGGAATGGTAACCTCGGCTGCGCTATTGGTTTACGCAGGCTTATCCGGGATAGATAAAAGTGAAACAGGACATTTTGTTTTTACCACGAAGGCGGTAAACAAGCATAGAACACATGGAGCATCGCACGAGTAGCGTCCGATAGTAAATAGTTATAAAAAAAAAATTATTGTAGCTTATGAACGCCTGCAACACTAGGGGTGTTACGTGTACCCTTTTTGACGTACCCCATACTGTATGTACTCTCTACGTGAAATCTCGACAGGGACTCGGGCTCATTCCATAGCCTGAGCGTTCGCGAAGGAAAATTCCTTTGAAACCGCAGAGTGCGTAACCACTTAGGTTGAAATGTATGAGGACGAATTTATCAATCGTTTTTAATCTCACCATAATACTTATTACCAGATAAAAATGTAATAAGTTTTTTGGGGGTTTTATTGCATGCATGATTAATAATATACTTTTTTTGTCAAATTAATGCCAAGCAATATGCATTAAAAAACTTAGTCCTTATCTTATTTTATATTGTTAAATTACCTATTACTTATCAACTACATATCAATAATAAATCACATTATTAGTTATCATAAATCAAAATCAAATGTTTCATATGCGCTTGAAATCTTCAGCATTCTTTAGGTTTATCGGCATCTAAAAGACGGAACCTTCAATGAAACAGTCATTTGCATTATTAATATTAATTATTTAACCAGTATTAACCATTGTCTAAAATGTAACTTTGCGTACCCCTAATACGCTGGCGAGCCTTCTTTGGTTAATTATTAGTGTTGGATAATATATAGCAATATCTATATATTGTAAATATAATACCTATATAAGCAAGAACAAACATATCAAATATCGGTTATCGAATATATATATATATATATATATATATATATATATATATATATATATATATATATATATATATATATATATATATAAGTTGGCAGCATTGATCTCAGCTGTTAATGTCACTTTATCACGTCTGTACTGTCAGCTGTCACCAGTTATCATGTCATACTGTTGTCACATTGTATGATATCCATCCAAATTTCAAGAACAAGATTAGATTTTTTCTGGGATTATATTGGACCGGCGAAATAGGTACTAAAATAGAATTAGAACATATCTGTGATTATAAACGCCTCCACCTAGGCGCTCAACTATATTGAGATTGTAGTGACAAATACTAAAATTTAACGACAATTTCAGCATTACTATTTTTATGACTTACAAAGTTTCTTGAAATGGGTAATCGAAATAAAATCTACGAAATGTTTCAAACAATCAGAAAAAAGCTTACTTGGTCATATGCTGTAAGTTTAGTAATGAACCCAATCCAGCTACCGGTTGCTGCATTCCTCATTATCGTTGCGGAATTAATCATCAACATACTAGTGGTTGAACGAGTGCCCTACACTGAAATAGACTGGAAGGCGTATATGCAGGAATGTGAAGGATTCTTGAATGGGACCTTGGATTATAGCAAGCTTCGTGGTGACACTGGACCGTTAGTATATCCAGCTGGCTTCGTTTACATTTATTCTTTCTTTTATTTCCTCACAAATTATGGTGAAAATATTAGACTTGCTCAATATATATTTATTGGTATCTATCTGTTACAATTATTGCTGGTGTTAAGAATTTATATTAAAACAAGGAAAGTACCTCCATATGTTTTTTTAATAAGTATTTTAACATCATATAGAATACACTCAATCTATGTTTTACGTTTATTTAATGATCCTATAGCAGTACTTATGTTGTATGTTTCACTTAATTCATTTCTAGACGGTAAGTGGTATCTTGGTAGTATTTTCTATAGTTTAGGGGTATCTGTAAAGATGAATATCCTCTTGTATGCACCAGCTTTGTTTTTCTTTTATTTAATTAATTTAGGTTTGAAAGACACAGTTAAACAGCTTTTCATTTGTGGTATCATACAACTTGTTTTAGGTTTACCTTTTATAATAAGTAATCCTATTGCTTACTTAAAAGGCAGTTTTGATGTGGGACGTGTGTTCAATCACACATGGACAGTAAACTTTAGGTTCCTAAATGTAGAAACATTTGAAAGTAAATGTTTTCATTTAACTCTATTAGCAATACACATTGTGTTGCTCATTATATTTCTGCCCATGTGTATAAAATATTTTAAAAGTTATTGTAGATTAAAATACGTACAAAAGCAAGTTCAACCACAGATTGATGCCAAAAATACAGAAAGCAAGAGAAGAAAATTAAATAAAAGTAAACAGAAATTTGATATGAAAGCTGAAGCTCAAGAAAAGATTACTAAAGAACAAGAAGATTTTCTAAACTCATTTGAAGCCATGTTACAGAAGTCATCACAGAAGAGTGGGAAAAAAAATACAAAAAAGCCCATTGCACTTGAAGAGGATACATATTACAATATAAATTTTGATATATTGAGTCAGTTGTTTATTCTTCCAATGTTCATAGTGAACTTCATTGGTGTGGCGTGCGCAAGGAGCCTCCATTATCAATTTTACTCTTGGTATTTTCACAGCTTACCATATTTGTTATGGTCTTGCAACTTCACTGTAATTACAAGATTTTTACTTTTGGCTGTTATTGAACTTTGTTGGAATACTTATCCAAGTACAAATCTCACAAGTGCATTACTTCATATATGTCACTTTTTTATTCTTTATGGTGTGTACAAAAAAATATCATCTGAATTAAATGTGGCTTCTAAAGTCCAGTAGTGAAATATGTATATAATTGACTTTCTTCGTTGGTAATCTGGGTTATATGACCCCAGCTGCTTAATTTACTGATTTTTCATATCATAGGGTATCCTAACTTGAAAACCAAACAGTGTAATTTTATGACTTATAATATTTTATAATAGTTATAATTTATTAAGGTACAAATTGTAAGTCAGAGAAGGCTCAAATATGACTTCTTATAAATATAAAAGCATAAATAGATAGATGTTGCAAGTACATCAATTTACATGAAAATAAGTTTAATAGACTGTTTATTGTGATGTTTTAAAAGTAATTTGTTGACCAAACCAAACACTACATGCAACCTTTTAAAAATACTATTTTTTTTTTCTTTCAATATTTAAATAGACACTTGAGCTTATTTTAGAGATAAAAAAAATATACATGAGCTTGTGACATATTTGTGATAATCATAAATCATTACAAGGATGTATATTCTATTTATAATTTAAACCTATTAATGTCCATTTCTGAACATGAGCCTTCTCTTTTCTCAGACTGCCACTAGGAATAAGTAGTGCACTCATGAGCTAAAAAACGTTAAGGTTCTTGATGAACACTTGTAAAAAAATATTTTTGTAAATATATTAAAGTTATTTACTAAGGTTATGTTATATTAGTTTTATTTTTAACCACATACTAGTTACCTATTTCATGGTAAGTCATTGATCACTTGCTCCTGGGCAAGAATAATATTTTTTTTAATGCCTGCAGTCAACTATCTATATTCTTCCATATTGCAAATATTATTTCCGTAAATTGTGAAGTAGAAATATAATAAGCAGAATAGGACAAGTATCTATTTCAATCATAATAATATAGTGGAATAATCTTAATAGATTCAATTATTATTCTCTAAGAGTAATTTTTTTATATTGTAACTTTTTGTATTGCTGTAGATATTCCAATAAAAAAGAAATTACGGGCGATTTAAGTCTATTAGATTGCAAAAGAATTTTCAGAATAGACAAAAATATTATATAACATACACAAAATATAGGTGAACTGAGAACTTCGTGCTTTTGGAAGTATATGATCTATTTCAGCTGGCATATAACAGTCGTGTATATAAATATTTAGGCCGTTATCAAAATTTTAATCTGCAAGATTTACCTATTTGTGATATAAAATTAATGATTTGGGGTTCTAAAAAGGTTTCAAAGTATAAAAACAACAGTACAAGCATTTTGAGAATTGTTTATTATGAACCATATCAATATAACTAATCAAAAGAAATCTAATTATAATAATCTTAATTGTAGATGTTGAGGCGCATAAATACTTCCTCTGATATCACAAAACCCACAATGCTCGGATCTTACGCCACTACCCAAGCTCTCAAACGTTACTGTAGAATACCCCATTATACTCTATTATCTTATATAATTTTAACTATATAACAAAGCTATATAAACAGTTACAGATATTCTTGAATATTTCAAATCACGCTGCCTTTATCTCCTGTTAAGCAAAGATGAAAATAAATAATCAAGGAGGCAATCAAATATGCTCTATTAAATTAGGCCCTTACTTCCATAGTATCAACAGAAAATTTTGTGAGGCTTTATTTAAAAAAAAAATGCTGTACAATAGCAATCCTGTGAGCTACGTTTAGTTTTCGATATAGCATTTAAATACTTATGGGCTATGTTTTTAATAGTTCAACTACTACTGTGTACTTGTGCAGACCTTCGTGTCGGTTTGTAGAAATAGAAAAAAAACTACTGCATATTTGAATATTAACTATTCAGTCAATTATACCCAATCATGCTTAGTCAATGATTTGTATAGTCTGATATAATATTTTTAATACAAAACATACACAGTTTTGTAGGTTTGTACTAAGTACTACAAGTTTATTACAACACAAGATGTTCATGAATCATTGTTGCAGAACAAATACGATCCTATTAAATCAACAAGATTTAAAAGCAGTCTTACATGAATGGGTTTAAAACCAAAGAATATACACAATGGCAGCGAGTATTTAGACGAAGCCGAAGTTCTTAGTTTTGATAGCGAGCAATAATTTGTGCTTAAGCACATGCCGCGACGAATAGAGTGGAATATAGAGCCGCGATATGCACGTGTTGGCGGTGGGCAGGTGAGCATCATCGGCAGGTCGAATTGTCACTGAAGGCATCGGCTGGAAACCTTCTTCGGATGCAGGCAGCGCGGGAGATCCAGTCCAGAAATACACCTAAAATGAAACATTATATATGTTACAAGGGATTTTCTATTTACAATGATGAAATAAATTCAGAAATAATGAAAATTTTATTAACATATTAAACATTTGATATCTGTAGTTTCAGTTCTGTATGTCTATATGCATTGTCATCTATTATAAAAACCAGTTTAAACAACGATGTTCATATTTTATTAGATAATTTATATAATGTAGGCTGTAACTTACTAAGTCTTGTCTTTCGAGATGAGTCATTTTATCTACTATGGCCCAGAGCCAACGCTTAAACCGCGCAAGGCGTTCCGGCGGCTCGCCGCTCTCGTCGTTAAAACTCGTATAGGAGACGAGTGCTGCTACGTTTATATCGCCCACACCATTCAAAAGAAGACGCAAGTCCTCTGCAGTCAAACCCTCCAGCGCCGACTCTGGTAACACGTCGAGTACGCCTACGCGCATTGCCTAATAAAAAAAAAAACATTGTTTAGGAAATTGTTAATAACGAAGACTAGCCACTTTATTTTTTGGAATATATCTTATTTAAGTCGATCTCCACGTGGTCCGCCCTGAAGACAAAAAGATCGTTACGTCCATGAGATGCAACATCCTGTCTTGATTTTTCCCTATGCAAATACTAATCGAAAGAAATCTCTATAGATTTATTTAGGATTGGTGTAAAAAGGGTTGATGGGATGAATCTTCGTTTTTTGGACCCATAGTACAATGTATTATATCCCAACATTACTTGGTAGAGCACGCTAATTTTGTCTCCCATTTATATCATATTTTTAGTAGATCAAGTAGTAGTATTTAATCAAATATATTATCCAAACACATATTACTACCATACCTCAAGTGCTTTCTCTTGCGAGAGCAGCATCCGGTGCTGTGCGTACTTGCGAACATAGTCATACACATTCAGTGCTGTCACTTCTAGTTCTCGTCCTCCAGGCACCAGTTCCACGCAACCACCTCCTTCCTCTTCGCACATTTCCAAGCTAAAATAGAATTATGCTTTAATTTTCAAAATTTTGTTTTATTTGTAAGAAAAACAAAATATGCTTTAATATGATACTTGCAGCATCTGTCAAATTTAAAACAATGTGTGATGAAAGAGTTTTATTACATTTTAAACAAACAGCTTGTTTCCCCATAGCTACAATGATGCGAACCCAAGAGAATTTAATTTGGTAACTACCAAATTAAATATTTGTAAATTCTCTTGGGTTCGTAAGATACAAACACAATTAACTAATTGTGTTTGTATGATCAAATTAAAAAATAAGTATAGAAAAATACGTAGCAAACAACATAGGAGGTTTAAAATTTACAAGAGCTGCAGAGAAATATTTAAAATTTACCTAAAGTTGAGATCAAGAGCTGCAAAGAGTGAATGGGAGTCGCCTGTCTCTGCATCAACCACGAGCTGTCTGAGACTTTCGTAGACAACAGGATCGAAAAATGCTAAGTCATGGAACCGCACTGGTCGGCCTAGGACATACTTCAGTACATGTCGATTCAAGAACATCGGACACAATTCGTTTTGTAGTAAACACAGCCCAATTATTCTGAAAAAAAAAAAATTAATTAGTATTCCCTCATATTAATTTATCTATATAATTTTTTATATAGAGAATTAACTATAGTGGCAATTTAGAACAAAAGAATCAAACTTTTGCCTTTGTGTTCATAAAATTTTAATTCATTCTCAGTGCTAAATGTAGTAAAGGGATTATAAAAGTCATATGAAATTGCAATCGTACCTGCCAACGTTTCTGAAAGCATTGATCCGCTCGGGCGTAGCGCGTCCCTGTCGCGGTGAGTAGTAGCCGCGCTTGCCGGGCGAGTAGAACAGCGGCGCCGCGTCGTCGGCGGCCGTCGCTGGCGTGGAAGGCCCTGCTCCTGCCGCTCCGCCGCCACTGCCGCCGCCGCCGCCTCCAGCGCCCGCGCTTCCAGCCCCACCGCGCTCCGATAGCGAGGCCCTGCTCCTGCCGCTCCGCCGCCACTGCCGCCGCCGCCGCCTCCGGCGCCCGCGCTTCCACACCGCGCTCCGATAGCGAAAACACATCCAAATCTGTGCACATTAAATATATTTTTATTGAACAAATGGAAATTGAATTGAGGTAATCCGTTCTAGAAGTGCCATGTCTAAACACTAAAGACGTTATGTTTCACTAACTAATCAAGCACAGATAGCTGAGGACAGAAACGAGTGGGATAAAGGTTGAACACTTACTTTACTTATACTTATAATATAATACATCATGCTTACTGTGATGCTTAAGGATGGCCTCTATGTTTTGACAATATTAAATCAATATTTCTTAGAATTATATCTAAGAAATATTACACAGTATTTAAGAAATACGTCTATTTGATCTGAAGCATTTTATTATTTCTGCTTACCCCAATAGAACTAATAATGTAAAATTCAAATACTATATAACATATATAATATGTATCTAAAACATAAACGAATAAATTCATAAACCCACCAAGTATTGCCTCAGAAGGATGCATAACAATGAGATCCATCGCTTCGCGCACTTTTTGCCGTAGCGCATCTTCACTAGCGAGCAGTACTAGCAGCTGCGCCGGTGTCAATTCTAGCAACATACCGGTTATTTTACCGGCGAAAGTTGGATGAAGTGAATGAACCTGTAAAAAAAACAATAACTTATAAAGTAAGCCGAGTACTGATTCTGTTATATAATAATATTGAAATCCCCATTACCTTAGGATATAATCGTTCACCGAGCTGAGCTTGATGAAGCGTGAGATGTTCGTTATGTCCTCCTCCCGGTCGATCTCCGCTGTATCCTGCGCCTTCGGTACCGGGTGCGGCCTGTGTTCGAGAATAAGACTAAGAAATTCGTCAAAAGGTAGTAAAAAGAATCTGTGAAATCATTAATAACATTAAGTGAAAACTCATTTAGTTTTTTATTTCACAAGTTAACACGATTTTCGTTTGACCATTACACATTACTGTCGGGTAATTAATGTATGGATTATAAAATTAGAGTATTACATACGAAATCGTTGTTGAACTACATATTTTGATGGCACTACTAGTGTGGCAATATACCTGTGGTGAGTAGGGCCTGGCGTCAACGCTGAGCAGCCGGCGCGGTTCGCGTGCTGCGGGCGGCCGCGGTGCCGGCCGACCCGGCGCTCGTCTCGCTGCTTCTTTCGATCGCGCTCGCCCCGCGCCGCTCCTGTTACACAAACACACACACACAATCATACATACAACATTCTGCATTAACATGCATTAAAGGTAGATCTGTAACAAGGGTCAAAATACGAAAGCCTCATAATCAAAAAAAGTTTAACCTGAATAAACTTTGGCATGAACAAAAATCTTACCGAGTTCCATTGTTGCCGCTAGCACTTCCACCAGTGTTGGCTCCCGAGGCGGTAGAGCCAGAAGTGCCATTTGTGCTGCTGCTTGGTGGTAGCAAACCACTACCCGTTGTCGGCTCCAACGGTGGTAGTTTTTCATTAGCAAGTAAGGCCTGTGTATATATATCATATTATCAATAAGAATTGCATTCAGAAAGACAAAGAAACTGCTCATAACATCTCAAAATAAAAACGCCTACAATATTTGCCGAGAAAATATAGATATCATAAGAGGGGTGAGTCTCAATCTCATTTTCAGGTCTTAAAAAACTACCATCGATTAATTAGAATATTCTGGATAGTTTGTTTCTACAGATTTACTTGCACTGAATAATCGTTGAATGTGTACCTCAGCGACGCTGGTGTAGAAGGAGCGTGCGACTCCGCTCCCCTCGCCGGGCTCGTCGCGGAAAGTGACTTTGACGCGGTTGACGGCGAGCGGCGGGTGTCCGCTATGCGCGCGCCGGTTTTGTCCAGCGAACGCGCTATTCAGCTCCGCGAATGTTTGTTGCAGCAATTTGGCGCGATCGCGTTCCATCTGGCGAACGAGATAACAAGTAGAATCATAAACACAATATCCTCTACAAAAGGTGGTCTACGAAAAACAATAATTTTCTTAACTTTTTTCAACAACTGTAAACAAACTATAAATGATTTTTTTCAATCACAAAAAATGTATTTACATTAAATTTTAATTATGTTTTAAATTACAAAAGTATCAAATAAATTCTGCTTCAGTTTATAATTTCAACAGACATTTTCCTATCAGCCTGGCAAGCATCGGCACCAATGTTACCACTGTACACACTAATTTCACGCAAAATATACCACAATCCGAAATATATTTATATCTATAATTCAATTTCATACTTAATATTAACTATTCACTGCTGAACATAGATTTCATCCTTGGGGGGTATTGCCAATGGTAGCCATGCTTGGCAGGTGGGGTAGCAAACGCGGTTAAGCTTTACTGATGTTTTAAAAGAATGCTGCTACCCATCCCTCGACCATTTTTTTATTTATTTATTTATTCATTAGTACAAATATATGTACATGGCCGACTTAATGCTAAAAGCATTCTCTCCCAGTCAACCATTAGTTCCTTTAGTCGTCTCTTACGACACCCACAAGAAAAGAAGGGGTGGCCTATTATATACTGGAACCACACGTCCTTTTACTTAATATAAACAACTCAAAAGTACCTTGTGCAAGGTTAAGTCTCTTTGCTGTGCATTTCTCAACTTCTCCATATCTCGGCGGAACTTCACTTCCTTGACAGGGAAACCGCCAAGCTCGGCGACGACTGAGCCGGGCTCTAGTCCGACATCCTCGGTGAACACTCGACCAAACAGATCGAGCGACAATCGCCAGCGGCCCAATAGCAAATCGTGAGACACAGATGCACCCAGCGATGGGCATGTACGCCTGTGGAAATTTATTATTTAATTAATCTTTTTAAAACCGATATGCATGTGTACATATACAGACTAATTAAAAAAAAATAGAAATACCCATTACATTTTTGCATCAATTCCAAACTAAGTAATATTTTATGAATTCACTTTATACTTTTTATTACAATGATAAAAAAAAGTTTAAATTAGAATCACTAAAATATTGTAGTCATAAAATTATTATGCGTTGTAAATAGAAATATTTTATTGCAGCAAAACCGTTATAATTTCGTCATAATTATATATCAACACCAATATTTTTTAAATGGAAATAAACTCACGGTTGTACTGATGGTGTCAGCGGCGGCAGAAGTGGTGGCGGAGGTAAGCCTGTAGTCTCGACAGTAACGTGTGCAGATATTTCTTGTGATTCAAGAGGGTCGGCCGCGCTCAATAATTCACCCTGTTGATCCATAAACATACGCAATTAACTCATAATTATTAATCTACTATTACAATGATCATATCAAACATAATTACATCCTTTTTTAAAGATTAAATGAGATAAAACTATAACATAGAAACAGTCCCTTAAAACTTTATTGCATCGTAATAAAGATTAATTCCAAATGTAGAAGTAGGGTACTAATTTTGATAATAAAAAGTCCCCCAAATAAGTGGAGTGACTTACAGCACGTACAATAACGCTCTTGCCAGGACTGCGCGAGGACGAAGCACGAGGCTCCGCCACAGCGCTACTGCTGGGACCTGCAACAACTATAAAGTGTTATTATTTGAACATTGAATAAAAAGTTATAAATGAAGTTTGTACGATATATCAACTATTCTTCTTTTATATATAAAAGAATATGAAACATAACAATTTACCTATTCTTTGAAAAGAGTAAAAAATTGAATTTCTGAAATACACTTATAAAATATGTTCCAATTACCAAATACTATCTAACAAATTATTTGTATCCATTACCAAAAGATATTCTAAATAAAATATTATATTACATGGAGCAAAAATTACAAAGGTTGTATTCTAAAAATTAGGAATTTATAATAATGAATTAATAATGTAAGTACTCTTTCAAAGCTAATTACCTGGAGAAGGCGTAGCTAAAGTCTGCTGGTGCGGCGCTTCAATAATAGAGCACGCGGTATTGACGAGCGTATGAAACTCCGAGGGTTGCTGGTTCAAATCCTGCAGAGAACTGTTGCCAGCTGACATTGTCACCGAGTGTGGATGTCTATAACAAGTATAGGTATATGTAGAGACAGCAATTGGAGTAAATAGCGTTCAAAATTAAACCTTCAACATAAATTAATTGGTACCTGTGATGCTTTTTCCGTGATATCTGCCGAGCTTCATTCGAGTCTGAATCAGATAAATATTCTCCATCTGTGTCTATGTCCATTTTTGTTGTCGTATCCTTTGTGCATGAAAGATCCTAAAATAATATGTAAATTATAAGTCAAATGATAAATATCCATGATTATATGTTTATAAAATACCCAATTTCAATATTTAATTAAAAAAATAATATGTTTATTTGATTTTCTTTGGAAAGTACGATATATAAGTCTAAAAACCATTTAGATATTTTCCTATTTCTGTATATAAAATATTGTCTGTTATATCGACATCGCGATATTCTTACCTGTGGCTCGTCCCTGGTCAGTGTGTGTGAGTGTGCTGGCGGCGCAGAAGCGGGCCGAGCAGGCGGTGACCACCCGCGCTCAGTGCTGCGGGTCGATAAGCCCAACCGCCGTGGCACCACTGTGGATACAATCAGCAGTATAATACATCATTGTGAACATACTCAAAGGATTATTTATTTATTTAGACACAGCTACAGTAATACAATTTAAAATTAATTCATTTTAAGAAGCTTTATAATTGTTAAGCACAGCGATAACTTATTTATAATAACTCATTTAATTTTAATATATATTTCATCAGGTGGGGGGAAAGGGATTATTTTAGAACAGTCCCACTAACAATAGGAATATAAATGTGAATGTAAAAAGGATTTTTTTCCCCGCTTAGCCTCGCATTTGGGCCATTGTGCGTATGAGTCATGGCTAGTGCAGCCAACCTAGCTCCGCCCAGAAGCGCAGAAGCTTCCTGGGTTCTTCACAGGCCTCACGGAACGACCTCACCGTTCCGAGGATTTCTAAACGTTGATAGGCCACAGCCTTACTACATTCCAGGATTACGTGAGCAGCCGCACTAACAATAGGAAGGATATCTCCTAACAATATACCCTCCTATCAGGTAAAACTAAGTGGCCCTGCCTAGACAACAAACAAACAGTCTACAAACCATCGATCAATTAACCTGACTTCATCCTAACTGCCTCATCAGCGTATACTCATAGCACAGATACATTTTTATTACATTTTCATCTATTAAATAAATAACCCATGAATGTTCCACTGTTCGGTATGGATATCCTCATAGGAAGATGTAAACAACTATTACCACCTTGGACTAATTTACTAATTTGGTACAAGGTTTCACTTGGAATTTTCTTCATATAATCATCCATTATATTAGCCTTGAACTGTCCACTATTAAATATAGGCCTCCCTTATTGAGAAGGGTTTGCCAATAATTGTCATGTTTGACAGACAGGTGGCATCCAAAGTTTGGTAATGTTTTAAGAGGGATGTCATTACCCATCCCTTAATAATTAAATTCCTTTAGTCGCCTCTTGGAACACCCATGATAAAGAAGAGGTGGCCCATTGTATGCCAGTACTACACGTGTTTTGTTTACTTGTACTTAATAACTGTAAAATAAACCTTGCGAGTGTACAAGATGAGTACCTTCAAGCGGGTTATTGACGCCGGGCGGAGCATCCCCAGAGGCGGGCACGGTAACAGGTTGGCGCGGCATGCCGAATAGTTCCTCGCGCCGCGCGTTGGGTTGCAGCAGTTGAGGTTGATCCGCTAGCGGCAAGGCCTCTTGCATTGTCACTAAATGATTTAATATATGTATATAACATATACTCACGGAAATAAGCACTTCACATTTGATTCCAATATTTAAAGAACTTTTACTAATCCTTAATAGTTTAATCAATTGTAACAAGGAGAATTACATAGGCTACTTTTTATTAGTCAGTGAGCTTATCCCGGTTATTCGGACGAAGTCACGGGTAAAAACTAATTTTAACATATAAAATTTACGATGATCGAATATGCTGATCTCCAAAACTATTTATCCGATTTTTTGTAACAAAGAAAATTCGTAAATGGATGTTGTTTGCTTACATGAGAGACAGGACAGTTTTTATACTGATATGAAAGTGGAAAAGCAAAGTTGGTCTGGATAGCTAATAAAATATATAATCATCATCATCTTAGCTATTATCTGTCCACTGCTGAATATACGCCTCCCCCATAGACTGCCATAAGGAACAGTCCTGAGTCATCTGCATCCACTAACATCCTACAATGCATTTGAGTCGTCATTTCATAGTAAAATATATAAAAGTAACAACTTTAAAAAATGCTGAGAGCATTAATAACACTGTAAGCTTTGATAGCACAGAGGCATTAGTTGACTATTGCCATTATGATGTATTAATACCCGAGATGCCTAAATATTACCAACCATATTTGAATAAAGCATAGTAGAGGGTGAACCCATGAATGAACAAATATAAAGAATAATAAAGACAACTTCTTGATTACTTCAGGATACCATCATTTAAGCAGAATAATATAATTGTCCTATAGTATTTTAGCTCGACTACGTAAAAAATAGTACTAACTGTTAAATGGGTCTGGTGGTGGGCATCCTAAACACAGTGTAGAGTCAGATCTTTGGAAAAATGCATGAGCTCGACCGCGAGCGCCATCACCCTCGTTGTCCGATTCCACGGCGGCTCCTCCACCTACTACCATTTCTTCATCACCCTCTTCATTTTCATTTTCGTCCTATAATATATATAGTATATTAAATATCATCTTAAATAATTCAGCATAAATTCCAAACTAATTATTTTGATTTAAAAACTAAATTACTAATCTGGTTTTAATAATTTTTCTAAGGGAACAATCTTTTATTAATAAGTATACTTATAATTATATAATTGAGTGAGTTATGAATCTAAATATATATTAATATTTTATGATATAATCTTTGATAGTTCACTCTTATATTGGTTTATAGCTTAATTGAAACAAAACTAAAAAAGAATTGTATTAAAAATAAATTTCTTAACACAGATTACTGTTTATGTCTGTCTGATTATTTAAAAATTATTCTGCCAATAAATAAAAATGTTGACCATGCAATATAATTCTTACTAAGCTGTCCCTGAAAATTTGGATTTTGATGACAAAAATGTATTAAATTTTGAAGCAAAGTGCGAAGTAAAAGCAAAAATTTTAATAGTAGGTTTATATGCAACACATTCTATGATTAATGTTTAAGTTTACTAACAGAGCAAGCACTTTTTTACATTGAAAATTTTTCAATTGTTTTAAAGATTTGAAAATTATTTGCAATATGATACACTTAGTTTGTTCAGTCCCTAACAAAATGAAAGAGCAACATAAGAGTCGCCGGTTACCGATGGCCAGAGGTGGTGGTGGTGGTGGTGCGGCTGCGGCTGCGCGGCGCGCATGTAGTAGACGAGCGCGTCGAGCACGTAAGCGACGTGCTTGAGCGCGGCCACGTCCAGCACCGGCAGCTGCTCCGCGTGCTCGGCGCTGTGCGCGCGCAGCAGCGACAGGCAGTACGCCAGGAACTCGCGCCGGGCGCTGCCCGCCTCCACGCCTGACACACCGCGCAAATACAATAGTAATAGGACACTTAGAAACCCGTTGTACACAAATCATAATAAGATTTCTATTCTATAACTGTGTTATGCAATGTAAATCCTATTATGATTTGGTTAAAGTGGGCTTTTTAACCCCTATAACTGACTCGTCACCATAAAGTGACGTCTTAACTATCAAACTCAATTTTACAAGTAAAATATTTGTAAAATTTAGATAAATATAACACAATGTACAAAAGTAAAACTTTTGCTTTGCTTCAATTTGGAATAGAATACAAGTTGGCAAACTAACTGCTGGAAAATGGTAATTACCATGTATATAGTACACATGGATAGAAATTATGAATTCCAAATATTAAAAACTAGATATTATGCCCTAGTAGCCAGATTTGCTAAAATCAAGAACTTTATTTAGTAGAAAGAGTAGATCTTTATTTTACAGTAGTTGTGAATGAATTACCAATTGACCAGACCAATATTTACAGAATAATATTTAGATTTGATTAATATGTGATAACATACCTTGTTCGCGATCTCTCGACCTAGGTCCTTCTGAAAAACCGATAATACGAGTTGCAGGCGAAGTGAAGGACGTAGTGCGTCTGGCAGCGGGAACACTAGCGCGACTGCTGTCCGTGCTTGCATTTCCCGCATTGTTTGAAGTCAGAGAGGCGCCAAATCTATATAATGTGCATGAATGTATATGATAACATTATACTGGAGTATTAATATATTACAACCTTATGTTGACTATGATATATAACTAACAGTAAACTACTATTCACACGAATAAGACAATTATATTCACCACAAGTATCATATTGAGGAAGGTAATTATTAAGTGTAAAGGAAATATCCTGAATTTTAGTATTACATGTTGTTATAATATTAAATTTAAGTAACAGAGTATCCTTTTGAAGAAAAAAATTGAAACGATAGATAATAAGCATAGCTGACCATACCAGAGGGAGACTTTGTACAAAGGTCGTTTGCTTGGGTACCTCTGTCCCATTTGTGTTTCAACCGTAATACAGTTGTGTTTGCATGCCTGTGTTTCAGTTTGAAGGGTGGGATATGGTGTGAATTTACAGGGTAAAGAGGAATAACATCTGAATCCTCAGGAATGGCAACGCATGGGGAGTATCATGGGCGTAACAGTATACTCTATTATGACCATTGTACTGTTCACGTCTATAGGCGACGGTTACCACTTTCCATCAGGTGGGCCATCAGCTTGTTTGCCATTCTAAGTTGTATAAAAAAAAAAGCTGATAATATGAAATCGAGTTGCACCATACATTGTGAAAATAATAATTATTCAAGAGATATACTCGCAACTGTAAAGTTAGATAGGATAGGCAGAGGCTTTTGTCAATACCTCATTTTATAATCACATTATTCACATCATTGTTCTTAAATTACCTCAGTTGTGCCTCTGTCGCGTCCATAACAGTGACAAGCCAGTCCCAAGTAGGCTTCAGTTGTCTCTCGAGATAACATTGCAAACGCAGCGCCTCCCTGTACGACAGTCTCTCAACACGCGGTAAGGGCAGAGTCAAACGCTCGAACTCCCATATGAGATCAGCTATTTGACGAATGACAATACCTAGAAAAAACATCAAACGTAAATAAATACATATACAAATCTTGTAAATCTACTAATATAACAATTGATAATGTGTGTGTGAGTGGTGCATTTTAGCAAAATATTCACACAATTATTATAACGACCCCAATATTTGTATCAAATATATGTGGTAGGTGCTGTGTATTAACAGTTTTAGTTTTTGAGGACGTCAAAGGAAAATTTCATTTCACCAATATTTTTTTTTGTTAGGCTATATCATCGCCTACTAATCTGTTCAGAGATTTTGATTCTTCTTTTAGCAATTATCAAATTTCATTTTAAATAGAATTATTATTATGAATAAATAGTCAAGTGTGCGTTACCAAAGGCTCTCGCCAAACAAGAAGCGGTCGTGGAGGTGGAGTGTGGGTCGTGGGCGCCGGCAGCAGCGGCGGCGGCCGAGCGGCGCAACGTGGCGGGATCGATGAATACAAGCGAAGAGCCGCCCGACAGGCGAACACCGCTCGCGCTGCTACTCGCGCCGCGGCTCGGCTCCCGGTTGCTGCACACATTTGTATATGTTTACAATTTTTGTTTTATTATCACCGCTAAAATGTAAAAAGAGGACGTATCTCGACAAATTAAAAACTTGGCTCAAGTGTGCTATCTTTTGTTATTATTAGCTTTTTAATATAAAATGAAGTATCCAGTTCTAAATTACTTGTTTAATTTTATTAAAAAATTACCGTATAGCCCACTGCATAGAGTGGGGCGCGAGGTTAGGACGTGACGGCGGTGCGGTGCGTCTCTCTAGCGGTTCGCCGTCGTGTAGTGGCGGCTCGGCCTCACCATCCTGCTCGTCCGTCTCGCCAGCTTCAGAGTCCTCGTCCTCCGGCTGCGTAGAGTCGCCGCTTTCGTCTTCCGGGTATAGCAACAGCGACGCTATGCCTGTTGCGGTGCATCGGATTATTGAAGAAATAACGTGTGGCGCTTAAGGTAAAAGTTAAGATTTCAGTAAAATTTAGTTTAGAACCATGTTAGTGAAACAGGAGCGAGTCTTATCCAAGCAAGAATTGTATATATATATATATATATATATATATATATATATATATATATATATATATATATATATATATATATATATATATATATATATATATATGTTAAAATATAATTAAAAAAGAGGGTTGACGTCAGGCAGGTGGCCAGTCGTAAAACTAAAAACCAAGTCTTTTTGTAATATAGACAAAATCATATTACACCGACCCCAAATTATTGGGATAAGGGTAAGAAGATGATGATGATAATAAAAAAAAACTTACCAGCATCAGAACCTTGAGTAGCCCCAGTTTGTACACTACGCTGTGCAGACTCAGCATTGTCTTGATCATCAGAATCACTTTCAGTCTCGACTTCTGCTAGTAAATCCAATTCACTTTCACTTTCGCCGCCTTCTGCACGTTCTGTACCGTTTTCTACCACCACATGCTGTTCTTGAGCTCTGCACATTATAATAATGTCTATTAACAAAAACATACAGAGGACGAAAAGAACATTAATATTAATATAATAACTAAATTGTTAATATAGTCTTACAAAAGGTGGATTTCATACTATGAGCATTCTATATTAATGGTAAATTTTGAAGAGATAGTATATATTAATTTTAACCTGTCGCTTATAACATCATCATGATGCTGAGCGTCAGCTGGTGGAACAGGGGCTGGAACGTTTGGCTCATCGGTCTCTGAGGCGTCGTCATCCCCTCCTAAGGCTTCACCAGCAACATCATCTGCATACTCTGTCGCGACGGGGGTCGAAGACCTGTCCGGAACTAATGTTGAACTACCCATCGATGTGCCGCCTGCCGCGGCACCACGCCCTCCGTTTGCATTAGACTCCCTGAAATAATACGAATTTTTTAGGAACTATTTTACAATAATTAAAGATTGTATCCCATAAAGTGTCTCATAAACAAAAAAAAAAACAAAACCAGTTATTTCGATCTAAAAACTAAACTACTGAACCGATTTCGATAAAACTTTTATGGGACCAATCTACTAGTACATCCTTTCAGTTAAAAATAATAATTTTCGAAATCAGTTTACAACTAACGAAGGAATAAAATAACAAATATAAAAAAAAATATAATCAAATTAAGAACATCTTTTTGATTTCTGTTGAAAGCAGACATATTAATTTTCACAATAAATTCACAGTACAATAAATTTAGATTTGGAAGGTCTTTTTCAGATGTTATTTTTTTTTTTAATTACTAATAACGGGTTTCGTATGGACAAAATCCAGAATGATATAAATTTCTAAATGTTATTATATTTCCAGTATAAGCATACATACCTGCGTGTATGCGCAAGCCGTGAATGTCCAGTGGAAAGTGGCTCCACTCCAAATAAATCTTCACTGCCAGTGACGAGTTCACCGTAAGTAGTGGCGAGAGGAAATGGTGCGGTAGGGCGAACGACGCCGAGCCTCACCGGGGCCAAGAGAGCGTCTGCCGCCTCCACTAGTTCCTCCACTGCGAGGGTCACGAGTGCAGCGAATGCTCGTCGACAGCGGACGAGTGATGAAGTTATAGTCAATGGTCTGTTGGAAAAACATTAAAATAATGACATTCCATTTAAACTTGACTTTTGCATTGTCATGATAATACATCAGAGTGAAGGATTTCAAGTTTGGTAACTAATTTTTATAATGTTGCAGATATACATAATATAGTAGACTTGATTACTTATATCAATATAAAAACTTATTAAATTCAGAACTAATTTCCACATTTTCTTATATTTTTATAATAAAATCTATGATAAATAAATATGAGCAATGGCAATACATACCCTTTCTTCTTAGCAGCGCCCGGGGCCATTTCAACACTGAATATAACGTATATCCTAACAACAGATCTCACGAATCGACGCGCCACCTCGCGAGCGCGCTCCGCCCGTCCCGGTATTGAGTCATTCTGTTGTTCTTGATTCAGGGTGTTCAGTAATATATCTAGAGTCTGTTACAAATACAAACATAGCTTTTAATATGCAAAAATTATTTTAATAAAAATATTATGCGCACGTTAATTGTAATTTTAATTAAATGTTATAATAAATTTTATTACACTGTGTTTATTACTAAATTGTTGAAGCCAATTTACATGACAAATTTAATATAGGTACATAATGCAAATAAAGCTAAAGTTGTAACAGTAATATATACAGACCTCGTTGGTGCACTTAACGATAAGCGCATGCGTAAACTTGTCTAGGAGCGTGGTGCCGGACTGGTGCGGCGGCGGACTGCCGGGCCGCGTCTCTGTTTCTCCACCACTTGCGCCACACATCACCGCTGCCTCCACCGAAGACCAGTCGCCTGCCATATAATACAATACCACACATACCATGTAAGGACACTCTAAACAACTCTCCTAGAATCCCTCAATGAACATGTCTAGATTGAGTAATGAGCCTAATTGTTAAGTAAGAGGTTGGAATATGCCAAAGGTGTTGGGCCACTGGTTATTATTCCTTACATTATAGTTCCTTAGTTTCTTAGACTGATGTGGTAACATCACACATCTGTGAAAACATAGCCTTACACCATAATCAGCAGATCTTCCAAACAATATGAGAAAGTAACAATTATATATAAAATTCGGTTACGGGGTTTCCTAGTTTTTATACCACTGAGGTGACAAACAAGCATACGGCCCACCTGCTGGTAAACAATGATCGTAGCCTATAAACGACTGCCACACCAGGTGCATCACGCGCGCGTTATCGATCCTGAAGAAACTTCTTTACCCTTTTTTTTAAGTCCCACTTTTAGGGTACATATTTTATTCAGGAACATTAATTTCTATATTTTTAGATTTAATTTGAGCATATTTATTCAAAGAATAATATATATGAGTATACACGAGTATATATATACCCAAGCATGCATGTAATAAACTGTCACCATCAATAAATTATTACAATAAGCATATTTTGTGACATGTAAATTATGTTAAAACACACTACAAACATACCCAGCAAATGCATGAGCGCTCGTCTTGCGAATCGCGGCGGTTCGAGATCGTGATCGGGAGCATCCACCTCGGCGTCAGAACCGGGCTGCTTACGTGGTCCGCGGCCCCGGCCACCGCCAGCGCGGAACTGACGCTGCTCCACTGCCTGTCGACCCACTGTCTGTACCAGGAACAGCAGGATGGACTCCCCTCTAAACAATATGTTGCCATATTATTATCAGAACTGTATGGTGTTTACATTACATTTCTGTAGTCAGCAATTTTACGCAACCGAATCAGCCATCAAACATCAAACACATCGCGTGCGTTAATCATTATTATCATCAATACATATAATAAAATAGTAACTGATCGCTGCCTGTACATGGAAGATATATAAGAAATACTATTATAGGGAAATTTTATGAACACAATAGAACCCAAAACAATGATTTTTAGAATTTTTATCTGTTTGTCTGTACATTTGTGCACGCTAATCTCAAAAACTATTTAACCGATTTGAATGCGTTTTTCACTAGTGTGTTGCGATTTGCTAACACTTAACATTTAGTGTTTGTTTTATTTCAATCAGTTCATAAATAAAAAAGTTATACAATCCAAAGATTCACATATAAAATGCTATAAAATAACAGAGGAGTTGAATTGGCTGAAACTTTATGAAGGTAATAAGTACGTAATTATTATTTAAGTATATAATACAATATAAACCGTATTCACGAAGGGCCCCAATGGGAATGATATATGGGAACTATATAGTTAGAAGCAGGCAATACTGCGAGGAATGGCTAGTTTTAAACATTTTTATAATTAAATCATATTTTAACACATCTGGCATTTTATTAAGTCACAATGAGTGTACCTATACATTCTTTAAGTCCTTCGAGCCGAACATATATATTAATCTATGAATATTTTACATTTGCACATGTTTCATGACTAGACTAGACATTACTTAGCATAATATAAATTTTTAAATAATCTATTATAAAGAATACATGGAGATAAAAAATATATGCGAGGCAAGATGCTGTGACGCAAAGCAATAAACGCCCCCTGAAAAAGACTTCCGAATGAAGTCGAAACAATTGTCGGAAAAGACAAAAAAAAGTTCATTAATCTCACGTATTTATACAGACAAAAAAAAATATACCTCGAATTGAAATGTGTCGCAAGTTGAGTATCTCTAGCGAGCCTAGCGAGTAGATCGAATCGCGCGGCTCCATTACCGCCAACCAGTGCCTTGCAGCGACACTTTTCCCAACAATCGCAATACGCAGTGGGCGATGTCTGTTTCTGTTTACAATCGTGACCTTTGTGGCAAACCTACAACAGCAAATTTCATTATACATATACAGATTTGTCCTTTAAAATAATTAATAGGTCTTTTATGAGAGAGAATGGGGATTAAATGTTATAATAAGATATCGAGGGATATTTTGGATCTACCTTTTAATAAATTGAAAACTGCAATTAAAAAAAAAAACACTTATTGACAAAGCCTGTTACACATTAAAGGATCACTTGAATGACAAATGTGCATGGTGTTAGTCAATCATGCATAGGCTTGTTAATGACCATATAATTTTAAACATAGTAAATTTAATTAAATACACATAATGTTAAAAGAGATTTAAAAGAGTAACCTACTACAAGAAACTCAATAGTTACTTAATAGATAACAAAATTAGAACCCTAGATTTATAAAAAATGACGATTTAAAAGTGGTTGTAAATAAGTCTATTGGAATAAAGATGATTTAAATTTGATTTAAGACATCTACACTTTTAAATCCTGTTTTATAAAAAAGTTATTACCTTCGCGCATTCAGTGCAGCAACACAGAGATCCAGTAAGTCCACAAGTCTTACATTCAAATATGTCCTATAAAAAAAAATATTATGTAAAAATATTTCACCTTTTTTCAAGTAAAACAACATTCTTTTATAACTTTTTTTTTTTTTACTTTTTTATTTTAATTCAGTCATCCCATTTGTTATATTATAAATGTTCAAATTAATATATTCTTTTACATAATCCTGTATTATTTACACAAAAACATATTTACCTGGTTAATGTGTTCTTGTCCAGTCCAAGTAAAGCTGCATGTGTCATTGCAGCATAACACAAACAATGGTGAGTGGTCAGGGTGGGCGTTAGGTGGGAAGATGGCCACCGATCGTTGGGTTTCGTCTACGTCAGGGCAAGCGCGGATCGCGTCCAGAAGGACCAAAGCTGCACGGTATGCGCGCTCTGATACCGCCGCCATCAAAGGCGTTTGTCCCATACCATCCCTAATAAAAAAAAAAAATAATAATATATATTTTTTTATTTATGATTGTATCTTTAAAAAAAAATAAAGAATGATATAGATTACTAACTTTACATAGGCAAATAATACAGCAATACCACCAATTGTTGCCAGAAATAATTAGATTATTAAGTTTATATATATTTCTAACAACAATTATTAATAATTTACGGCCTTTTAATTTACAAGGCTTATACAATAAGAATTGCCTGTGTAACCACACCTTTATAATTTTAAAGCTATGCAATAAATATGGGCCTTACTTAGAAGTAAGCAGTTGCATCATGTAGGGTTGTAGCACGGTACTTTCACAGAGTGCACGTAGGGCTGCTAGCGCATTGCCGCGTCGCTCAGCAGGATCGGCACTCACTGCACCGCCGCCGTTGTTACTGCCGCTCACTTTGCTATTAAGAAAAAAAAAATTAACAACCAACAATCTATAAATAATTGAATTCACCGTGACAGGAAGCAACTGATCCGACTATCCTAACGGAGATCAGAGTTATGTTGTTTGTGTTTATTTCTATATAATTTATCTATTCTGTATAATCAGCTTTGCTACTTGAAGATAGTCCAACTAATTTTGAACTTAATAAAAGTCCTTAATCATGTTCTAATATATTAAGTAGCAACAAACATTGAAGACTTTTTTCTTACGAAAAAAAAAATACTGAGTGAGTATTTATGACAAAGGCAATATACAGTAATCATTTATTAATTAGTAATATATTGAATGTGTTTCCATGTGCAACATAACTAATTATTGACACTATCACTTACCCATTATTTGTAAGTCCCATCAAACTATCTTCATCCCCAGATGCTTCGAAGGACTCAGGTGGCCATGCTAATGCAGGCACCGTCTCCTCGGAGCTGGCGCCGCTACCGCCCGTACTGCCTGCTAAATTCGGCATTGAAGGATTTTCCACTAAACACGAGAAATGCATACTCATATCAATTGATACACATATCAATAGATACATTAAGCAGGACCTCAATTCTGCTAATTAGCAAAGAGAAATTAAATGTTTTGATCAACAATAACCATTAGATATCTCATCAAAGATGTTTAAAATTCAGTAAGACGATGCCATCTTTAAGTTCTGTGTGAGTTAATGCGGCATCATTTTGTGCTAACATATTTGAATTGTATCTTAGTTCATAAGACTATTCAGTTAAGATTGTAGATCAACTTACAATCTGTTAGTTGTGTTTTAACTATGTGTGCGCCTCTTTTAAATGAAATTTAGATGTAGTTCAAATGTATAATTACATAAAGATAGTTAAATACATTTTTGAAATATTGTTACCTAATTTAGACTATTAGATATCCAATGTTTTTTAATATTTTTTCCCCCCCGGAATTCCAGAAATGTGACATTTATACCTTATTAATGAATAAAATACAAAATATGACACAACATTATTACAATCTCACTGAAATGCAATTGCATACCAATTATCTTTTATTATAATACAAAATTTATAGTTAAAAATAGACATTTGAAATAAATATAGCATAATTATAGCATAATTGAGGCCGATTTGCTTATACAATTAATTGTGCATACCTATGTCAGGTTCCTTATTGGATGTTGGTGCACACATATGCACACAAGCATGCAATATGTTCCTATTGCCATCACAACGCTCTTGAAGTATCGACAGAATCTGTTGTTGTTCTGTAAAAATAAATTAAAATTAATTTAAAAAATGCAATTGGCAAATGCGCTGTCGGTGACAAATGTAGATTTAAATCCACAAAACATTAAAATGGTAAAAAAGCTACATATATGTATTGCATAAAACATACTGCTGACGTCGGACTCCAGCTGGTGTAACAGTTGACGCACGCCTTCCAGGTCGCAGCGTAGTACTCGCGGCATCATAAGTTGAGGTTCCGGGACCAATATAATGAGCGCCACCTAAGTATTAAAAATCTTTACTTATTGCAGTTAAAATAAGTATTACGGTAAAACACTTTTACATTTACAACATTGAGAGTGATGCTATGATATATAATAGTAGTCAACGAACTTGTATAGTACTTTTCTCAAATCAATGCGCGGTAGTCAAAAACACAATTTTATTTTACTTTTTTAAGTTCAATGACAATGATACAAGTGTATTTGAAGTTCGAAATTTAAATAAAACCATCATGATGCATTCCATTTTTAATTTACTAACTTTTAGTTAATATTGAAAGCTCAACATTTTTTGTCTATCAACCCATGTACCTTTGGGAAAATAATTCAGTTTTACACAGAGAACCCTCCCTTAAAAGGAGCATAAGAACTTTACCTTGTATATTTTATGCAATCATCATTATCTATTTAAAAGATATCGTTCAGTATTATTTGAATCATTTAAAAAGCGAACACGAAAACAATGTGGGTTCCGAGCGGCGGTATAGGATGCGTAGTGCGCGTGGAGGCGTACCTGCGACTTGAGCGCGCTGTGCGAGTGCGCGGCGTGCGCGGAGTGCGCGTGCGAGTGCGGGTGCAGCGGCAGCGCGTGCGCGGCCAGCGCGCGCGCCGGCGGCAGGTTGAGCGGCGGCGGCTCGCGCACCATGCCCACGCAGTCGCGCGACACCGGGTACAGCGCGCCATTGCCGTCCACCATCACCACCACCGGCTCGCTACCCTGTTGCCCAGCACAATACACATTGTTACACTACTAGTCGTTACGCACGACCTCGTCCGCGTAACCGTGATGGATCGGTAGACCAGACTTAAAAGTAACCATTGCCCCTCTCCAAGCCATATCATTATTATCGTATCATCATTATCATGATACTGATGATTTGTATAATTAAAATTTATAATATTGGTAAATAAGAAGGGACTATGGAACAAAGCACAACAATATTACCCTACAAAGCTGTCAGCCAGAATTGTGGTTGGTCATATACAATTCAATAGTGATTTTTATATTCTAGCTTATATATTCCTTATATTATAGCTCTGGTTATGTATGGAAGAGTATGAAAATAGATAATAATATAGGTACATATGGTAAAAATGTGTAAACAGTAGTGTGTGAGCAAGTTGATGTGAAAAAAGTCGGTCTTAGAAAGAGTATGGTGATTTAGGCGTGTGAAAAGAATGCCATATGAAAGGTTGACAAAACAAATATACAATGAGAATATGAATAGGTACCGGGGAAGACCTACACTAACTTATGATCAGATAGACCATGTTCTTTCTGAAAAAGGATTCGAATCTTCAGAACCGGCATACATGCTTGAAACAACTAATGAAAATACAGGAAATAAGAGATGTGTGTAAGGATAGAAGCCTTTTGCACTCAGTTTCCTCTGTCTATCTCGCAAGAGGCTTCACATGAAGATAGATATATATACGACTAATTAAACATATCCATACAAGTTCATAAATAGTATAATTCCATTTTCATACCAAACTTAGAATGGAACTATTTAAATAGAAATGTGAATGTAAAGAGTTTACCTCGGCGGCCGTCGCTAACTGTATCGCCTGCCCATTTGAGTAGCCAAGCATTGCATTGTTATCAGTCGGAAACGTGCTGTCGGTTAGAGCTCGCGTAGTGCCCACAGCATACACAGCATAAGCGAGCGCACCTCCCGGCCGCCGAACCACCGCGTGCACTCCTCGACTGTCCACCTGAATCAAAATAAAAGTGAGTTTTTACTGTGTTAAGGCACATAAATGAATTATACTCGGCATTACATTAGTATCGCAACTCCCTGTCTATCTTTCAAAGTGACCTCATCTCTTCCATAATTTTAATAAAACCATTATTTTAATATTATTATTTTTTATTGTTTGCCATTTCTAGTTGAAATAATTATAAAAGTGCCAATTTATTTTGAATTAATCATTACAGATCTAAAATATTTGACGTTTATACAATGATCATCATTATATCAGTCGTTAACTGACCACTGTTGTATATAGACTTTCGCCATATCAGGCTTTGCCAAAAGTTATCACGCTAGGCAGGCAGATTAGCAAAAGCAGTTAATCCTTTGTTGATATTTTAAGACGAGACACTCCTGTCCGTACCTAGACCATTAAGTTCCCATAGTAGCCTCTTATGCTATCTACGGAAAAATAAGGGTTGACGTTTAAACTGTTAATAAAGACTACTACCATTGCCAATATACTTACAGCAATGGTGATGACCTGCACGTCAGGGGGCAGTGCGATTTTCCTTGGTGAGCGTTGTAGGCAATCCGGTCCTCGCGGACCAGCGGCCCCACCTGCGCCCCACTTAACTGCGATCAAATCATCCTTGCGTACTAGTCGACAATCTTGCAATAACGTAGTCCAATCATCTGGTGTAGAAGGAACTATTTCTTTGCCATCTTTTCCAATAGTAGGAAATCGCACAGCTGCATAAGCGCCGTCAACTTTCAACACGCGGCCTAGTGGCACACTTTTGACATCCTCCAGGAAAACTACTTCTTTGAGCGGCCACTCCTCTTCGTCCCGTTTGGAGCCATCGTTGGATGAGCCTTCTTCGCCACGAACAGTCACACGTTTTGCACGTTCTGTTAAATATTGATTTCGCAAAAATTATCAATCAATACATATATTTTTCTATAAAAATATATATATATTGGTACATTATGAAATAGGCAATATTTCTGCAGTGACCTGTGACTCATAATTTATTATTACTACCGGGAAATAAAAAGACAGTTTCGGGCTCGTTATATATGAACTTTATCATACAGATCAATGTTTATTATAATAAGTAAATATATGTTGCTCAAAGAGATGTACTCACTGTGAGAGGTGCTAGTATCGCTGCAAGTAGACGAGGCAGGGCTGGGCGGCGGGGGCATGTCGAGTCGATCAGCCATGTCTTTGTTGCTATCCTTCCCAGCTTCCTTGCCGCTTCCGCTAGATGATGACGCCTTTACTGAAGACACTGTTAATGGAGATTGATTCTGGAAAAAAAAAAATATTGTGAGATTTTATGTCACGGTTTATCTAATAGATACAACTTTAAAATATTTCCAAAAAAACACAAACGAAAATATACATAAGATTATAATCTTGCATTTTTACTGAAGTCATTTAAGGATTGTAGTGATAATACGGACATAAATACATACAAATGCAATTAATATTTAACAAATGTTCATTAAAAAATCCGAAAATAATATTAACAATTAATTCTAGTTAAGAAATTTAAACAGACCAACAAAGACACGACAAGAAGCTTTCTAAAGGGCAGACAAACTTATATAAAATATTCTCTTTTTCGGCCAAACTTCAAGGAACTAGCTACAGTGCTGTGGATAGAATATATTTGAAATAGAGGCGAACTATGTAACATTAGATACTTTTAATGAAGATTTATAATACATTTTATCTAAAGAGCTATGCAAAGAAATTCGCAGGACACAGCATATAAATTTCAAATTCCCACACCTGTAAGTCTCTCTTGTCCTTGTCTGAAACAGACCGATCAGGCTGCGGTGGTGGCAGAAGTTTAAAGCGACACATGTCTGACAAATTCCATGCAGCATTCTGCAGCACGCCTACTTTCGGTACGCCGGTGGACATGTTAAAACCTATAACAAACATTATAAACTTTTGTATTATTAAAAATCGATAATTTTATAATTGAAAAAGAAGTCATATAATATTTATACAAAATATATTCATACGTATTGAACAGTTTCTGATATTTGTTGAACTTACCAATGGCTCCTGGTTGATACATCGGAGCATTCTTCATAGTGACGTTCTGTCCGGCCTGCAGATCCTGCGGTGTCGTCGACGAGTGACCGCGCTGCTGCTTGCGAGAGCGGGCGCGATGTTTCTCCCATAGACGGGCACGTTGACCCAATGGGAGTACACCCCTGATTATATAATATTCATAATTTCAATAGTTACATAATTTCAGATTTCCATTCAAAACGTGATTAGATAAAATCCTTGGTAATATTAATTTTAATTAATTTATGTCAATGTTTATAAATTAGCTTAATAAACAATATGAGAGAATTGATAAATAATGTAGCAAAAAGAGAAATAGAGTTCATGGGTAGTTTTGCTAAAATCTATTTTATATGATGTGATATAGATTTAAGCAAAACATTCACAGAAAATTTATATTCAACAAGTTTACAAAAATTTTATCCATCTTAAAAATCAAACTTGATATGATATTTATGTTGTAATTATAAATAGTAATAACATTTGTTTAAACACATGTACTATATAAAAACTCACCACCAATAAAGTGCTCCAGATTCCAGTCTCGCGACAGTGTACAAAGAGCATACATGAAGCGATATCGTTTTGTCAGATCCAAATTCCGTGAATGTTTGTAGGGGATGTTCCAGTCGTGATGCCCCGGGAGCATGGGCTAAAAACATTAATGTTTTAATACTCATTGTTATAAATCAGAATCAATGAAAGTTACTTATCCTAAGCTTTACTGTAGGACGTGGTTTATGTATCTTCTTCATTCAAATCCATTCTTAGTAATTTAAGAATGGTTGAATCATCGAAACATTTTTAATAAGTTTCACGTTATCAATATTAGAAGGATAGCTATGACAGATTACCGTAATATACATACTATTATGAAACAATACACTTACCAATGGACTCATCGAGGAAAGTAGCCACCCTGCCAGTATCTGTGAGCACAGAGACCCGTATTCCAGCTGCGCTGATGTGCGTGATGCGCTCTCCAGGCAACAGACCTAGCCAGCTGGAGCGTGGGTGAAATGCACTAATCGCACCTGCCTATAATATACATGGAAATTTCCATTAAAAAACCTCAAATAAGGACAAATTAAGTAATTGATGTGTAATTTTCGTGGAACTAATATATATACATATAAACTATATATATATATATATATATATATATATATATATATTGCCAAAATATCATATGATCAAAATCAATAAATCTATTTTTTATGAGTACTACTATTGGATAGCCGCAGATATCTTATAATCGAATCAATTAATCGTTTGTTTATATTCCCAGTAAGTTCTATAAAAACAACCCATTTTCAATTAACATATTAGATCATAATGTCACACTGATACGAGTTTATAGGACTAGACTTTTCTTATAAATACATATACATACTATAAATCTCAATTTTAACTGCTGTATTAAATATTACTTCTGACCGATTTTTTCCGTGACTAATACAAATTAATAATGAGTCTATATAATAAAGAAATGTTCGGTAATGTGATCTAATATCATGAACAAAGCAACTTCTAAGAAAAAGAAACAATTTCAATCATATACAGAAGTACAATCACAGTATCAAACACTTATAACTTATGAAAACTAAAATAATTAACAATATTTTATTAAGACATTAATAAAAATTTAACATACATCATTACGCTGATAGGGATGAGCGTCAGCCCAACGCCACTGATGCAGCTGACCATGTGTAGAGACAGCAACAAGCTCACTGTAAGTAGCTGCAATATGTGTGAAGCGTATGTTGCTTTCCCAGTACTCCAGTTCTTCAGAAACCCAAAGTGGCGATGCTGCCATTGCAGAATCCTTTTTCTTATTTTCACCTAAAAGATGAATATGAACAAATTCAGTCAGTCGCATAATTAAAATAATATGAATAATAGAACAACATTACTGCTTATTATACAAAATCACCTCCATCTTTATCCCAAGAAGTATCACGGAGTGCCGACTCGAGCCACCTGCGAGGACCAAAATATTGCCGCTCGCGCCACCTGCTGAATTCCGATGGACGCTCCTGAGTAGAGCTGCTGCTCTCGCGACTGGCGCCTCCGCGGCCGCCGCTACTGCTGCCACCACCTCCACTGCGACTACATAATACAGAAGTGTTACTTTTTTATAACTAAAATGATATAAAAAGACCTTTCTCATGACCATTCACAAAAGAATTATGTAAAATCACATAATAATAAATAGATTAATTAATACTGAAAGGTCTTTTTATACCCATAACATATATGATAAATAAATAAAAAAAAAAAAAAAAAACTAATGTCTTCTACAGTAAAATAAAAACACACCCAATCACAACAAAAACGGAAACTGCGTAAGCTTCAGCGTGCTAGAGATTGGGTTGAGGACTACATTTTCTATGGATAGGAGAGTTGGCAGAGGAGCATAGCATGACAGGTATACCTTCTGATAGCCGCGTACCCGAAGATGTCCTCAGAGAACATGTCTGCGTCAATGATGACGGACTGGTCCTGCTGCGCTGCGTGGAAGCCGCCGTCGAGTAGTGAGATGAGGTCCTCAGGCACGTAACCATCGCCGCCCTCGCCACCCTCAGGCTCTTCCCCTTCTTCGTCATCTCGAGATAGCAAGTTGTTGACCGCCAGGTTTACGTCCAGATTTGTGCGCTATATAATATGTTGAATTAGATGTAACATTTATGTTACAAACATACATACACTTAATATTCTTTAAATACGAGGTCTGTCCGGAAAGTTCGTATAAAAGTGTTCTGGAATGCGAGAAAGAGGAGTGGGGAGGCCAGGTAAGCGCAGGACCCCTTCCTTATGTCCCTAACAATGCTTCAGTTCTGGTCTGACCGCCGTGCGGTGCGAACTGGCTTGTCACGCCATCTGTGAAGTTACCTCTTAACGAAACCCCGTCGGCATGGAGCCCGCTTCCGTTGAAGAGCAGCGCGTCGTAATCAAGTTTCTCTCGAAACTCGGCAAGAATGGCCGTGAAATTTTTGCCGATCTCAGAACAGTTTATGGGGATGATGCTGTGAAGGAACCAACCGTCGACAAGTGGCTAAAAAGATTCAGAGAGGGCCGAGAAAGAGTTCGATGTTCGGGGGATTGTCCATCAAGAATTCGTCCCTCCAGGCCAGACAGTTGATGGAAAATTCTACGTCGATGTGCTCAGACGCCTCAAAGCTCGTGTGGCACGAGTTCGTCCAGAATTGGCGCGAGAGGGGCGTTGGATTCTTCACCACGACAATGCCCCTGCCCACACCTCTCTTGTTGTCCGTGAGTTTTTGAGTAAAAATTCCATTACGGTGACCGAACACCCCCTATTCGCCGGATTTGGCTCCGTGTGACTTCTTCTTGTTCCCAAAAACCAAATTGGTACTTCGGGGGCGGCATTTGGGGGACATAAATGAGATTGAGAAACCTACAACCAGAGGACTTTCAAGGAGCCTTCTCACAGTGGAAACGGCGTTGGCACAAGTGCATTATGTCACAGGGGGAGTACTTTGAAGGGGATAAAATTGATTTACCTGAATAATTGTAAAATAAAATTTTTAAAAAACTTTTATACGTACTTTCCGGACAAACCTCGTATATATATATATATATATATATATATATATATATATATATATATATATATATATATATATATATATATATATATATATATATATATATATATATATATATATATATATATATATATATATATATATATATATATATATATATATATATATATATATATATATATATGAAAATATCAAACTATAATAAATTATTGAAACTGAATAATATTGTATAAGCCTTTTACAGTTATTATAATTAGATTACCTGTAGTTCTCTGATAATAAGGCTCCTACTTTTCCCTTGTAGGACAACTTGAGCCTGTGTGACGAGATCCTCTGGAACAAATGGGGCTGGCACAGAGACCACTCGCCCTGAACTTGATGCTCCAATAATAACTCCAGTCGCACGGCTTGTAGACCCTGGCACAATACTTCTTTATGTACTAATTTCAATAACAAGTATATTCTCTTTTACAAAATAAAAAACAACTTCAATTATACCAATAAATGACAAAAAGTCATAAATCAAACATATATGTATTATAAGCAATTTTTTACCCACAGAGAAAAATTAGCACATAGTTAGCAATCATATGATGCAGTTGTAAATTAAATTGAGATGAATTGAGTATTTCCTTGTTCTAGAAGTCCATTAGTAAATAGTGCAATGGATTTAAAACTAGATTTGACAACTTTTTTGGAATAGTATCTAATTTAACAGAAAGAAAAATAAAACACGTTTAAAGAAGTTTATTAAGAATGATTGCATAGTTTTATTAGATTAAATATTTATTTGAACAGTATCTTATCCAAGGATTAATTGAGTTATTCACCTTTAATTTTATTATAATAAAGATTTAGACATATTAAATATGGATTTATAAATTCCCTCTAAGAATGTTACTAGTAACCATAATTGTTTAAGATCAGTAATGATCATTAAATAGCTTTTACCCGCGACTTTGTCTACATCATCAGGGTATCTTCTCACCTTGCATAGTACCTATGTGTATATCAAATTTTATAGTGATTAATTTAGCCATTAAGAGGAAACAAACAAACAAATCCACTGTTATAATATTAGCAAGGAATTAGGTAAGCGGTCTGATTGTTTGATTTTGCATCTCTTTTGTTTGTTGATGAGATGGAATTTTCCATATCTTTTAGCCTTAGGGTTGTAAATACAAAATAATTATAAGGATTGTCTATGGTATACCTTAGCTTTAATAATAATCATAACTGTTATTATACAGGTTTATGAGGATGTTTGAATTAGCAAAGCAATCAGATGAGACACTGATCATTGTAGTTTATGATTAAAAAGATTATAATGACACTTGTATTTCTAGCTTGCCTTACATACGGATGCCAAACAAGGACATATATAAAATAAAAAAAAAAACTTATCAAAGAGCCATGAAGTGGAGCCTTTTTAAACAAAGAAAAATAAAAAAATTAAGAAGCTCAGAAATAAGAAAAAGGGCAAAATTAAAACAGATGGTCTACAAAATGTATTAAAACTGAAAAGAAAGTGGGTTGCTCACGTTTCCAACCCACATATGACTGACAGAAATAAAAATTGACTATTTTATCAACAAAATGCCATTGTATAAATATGAAAATAAAGAAGTTTTATTATTATTATGTGTCTCAGCCGTTATATCATAGTCATAGCCCATAAGTGAACCTAACTAGATAGTATTATTAGTTAAAGTCAAAAGTTTGTATATTATTTAATAGGACATAATTGTGGAATGTAATATGATAATAATTGTTATTTGTTTCAAAATTATGAAATGCAAACTAATATAATTCAATATTTGATTTCTATGGATTACAAGAATGCAAATAGTTTTCATGACGGTTAAGAGTGTTCATACTAAAATATGGCAATGTCGCAATTATCTGTAAATTTTTAAAAACATTCAATTTTCAATATTCAATTAAAAATATTGAAAACAGAACAATGTTGGATATTTTAGGTAGAATATTTAAAAAGTGCTCTGCTAGTAATCAGGCAAATGTACCAAAAGTATTTTAAATTTGATTATATAATTCTTAAAATACCTATCTGATTCAATAATCCTTAAAATACAGCTATTTATACTAGCTGTTAAAATAATATTACTAGTTTACATACCTTGAGAACTAGGTGCAGCGCGAATTGAATTTCTCATAATACGGGCTCTTGTCCGAGGCTGTTGCCTAGAGCCACAACCTCCTCCACTGCCCCCTTGCTTTCCTCCTCCAGTTCCGCCGCCACCACTTCCACCTCCACCATTACCGCCATTTTTACTTGCATCTGCCTTGCTCAGATCCAATCGATCCGGAATGATGGAAAATGCAGCTCGACATATTGTTCCATCTTCAAGTAGGCAAGCTATATGAGCTGGACCTGCTGCTACAGCACGCACTCCTCTCAAGGAACTGAGTGCTGATGATCCAGCTCCAGTCCCATATCTATTCCAACGTTCTGCTACTTCCTTGAGTCTGGAACAAATGTTTTGTGAAATTAAACAATTATAATCTGTAATAAACAAATAGCTGACCTAGTAAACATTTCTATTTTTTAAAGTTTACTATTTTTACCTTTATGGAATTACCATTTTTTCTTATCCACATAACTGTCCTATCTTTTGAGTAAGAGCAAACATTACAAAATGAAACAAAAATCAATTTAGCTGTTACGAGATAAGCAATAATCAACATCATTGTGTCATGATCACTGTGACTTTTATATTAAGACACTAAATATAAAAAAGATTATGAGTTTCAAAGATTAATTAAAAAAGTACTTATTAATAAAAATCACTTATTTATTAAAACTGCTAGTACTAGTAGAATTCTAGTGTAATTTTCCTCAGTATTATTAAATAATTATCAGAAAGGACAAACATAGTAAGTATATACACATATTGTTAAAAATTAAACATAAGTTTAAAAAAAAAAATTGTTATTATATTTAGAGTAACAATTATAACATATTGGGACAAGGTTTCATCTGTATAATCAAATTGCTATTGTACTAAATTATTTTTTATCATCATCATTTCAGCCATTATCCGTCCACTGCTGGACATAAGCCTCCCCCATAGACTGTCATAAAGAACGGTCCTAAGCCACCTGCATTCACTGACCCCCTACAATGCATTTCAGGTTGGCATTCCATCTAGTGGTGGGGTCATCTTACACTACATTTAGCGGTAAGTGATCACCACTCAAAAACCTATCTTCTCCATCGTTTGTTGATTCTTCGAGCTATGTATGTGACCAGCCCATTGCTACTGGGGGAAAGGGATTGTTAGTAATGGAGACAGATTCCCATTGCTAACAATATACCCAATCAGGTTGACCTCCTCGGTGTTGCTGTTAGCTAGAAACTATCATGGTTAATTCCTGATGAATTCATCATGATGGGCTAACTGGCCTGTTTTCATTCTCATCTATCACCCTTCACTGGTGCTTCGCCAGCGTATCTCGTTAGCGCAGGCTTTTTTTTTTGTTTGAAAATAGTATGGTAATGCCTACTATTTTCAAACATAAAAAAAAGCCCATTGCCACTTCAGCTTGCTTGTTCTTCGGGCTATGTCGGTTATTTTGGTTCTTTTGTGGATATCCTCGTTTCAGATTCTATCATGCAAAAAGACTCCTAGCATAGCTGTCTCCATAGCCTGCTGAGTAACTTGAAGCTTTTGCATATGGGTAATCATGTAGGACCATGTTTTGGTTCCATAAGTCATCACTTGCAACATGCACTGGTTAAAGACCTTCATCTATGTTCTATACGAAGGTTTAATTTTTCAGTCTACTACTATTTAAGTCTTCAAATATTTTTCTTCTAGTTTTGCATAACAGCATCTATTTTTAAATAATAGTTGTTAATTTGAAATGAACAATGATTGAGAATGCAGAAAGAATGCTTGATTGCATAGTCTAGAGAACTCAGGATTAAATACCATCCTAAACCTCTATATTTCAAATTAAAATACTTTAAAACTAATGATCACTTGTTTCATATGGGTTATAAAACCATTACTAAATAAATCACATAAGAAGTGTTTGTATACAATAAAAATGGTGATATCAGACAAAGACATCATCTTGCAAGTATAATACTATTTGTATTTTGGTAATGTAGAAAATGTATTTAAAAACTATAAATCTCTGATGATTGAAATATATGTATGGTAATGTTAATGGCAAGCATTATTAGTCATTAATCGGACATTATAATTAAATAGACAAACAGATTTAGATATTTCGAAAGATACTGAATATTTCTATACCTAAACTTAGTTATATACATTTAGTAATATTTTGAAATAAATAAAATTGAAAAGCAAATATTGCAAATCGCTCGTGAGTATTAAAAAAACCAAGTTTATTTAAAGGTAGATATGCAAATTGATTACAACGATTGGGATTTTCGGATCCATATTTGAGACAAGATAGGACTCGCACCATTACTATTGCGATCATTATGTCAAGGAAAATATCCATTACAGTACAAAAATATGCAAGAAACGTGGCCATATGCGATATATTAGTAAAAAAAGCAGTATATTAATTCCCAGTAAAATCTCAACATCACAAAAGTAATCATATAATATTATGAAATCTTAATTCTTACTGCAAAAAATGGAGAACAAATATAATTTAATATTACCTATCTATCAATTGATCTTCTGTTCCAGGTAAGGGTTGAACCACAAAATGCATTGAAGACATTTCCAAGGAATCGTCCTGAGTTTGCAATAATTTATACACAAGAAATCTTCAACATTTGTTACTATTCACATGAATTATAAGAACAAAAGAACACCAATCTAAAGTCCTCTTGTAACCACCATATTTCTCGTGGTTTCTTTCGTGATCGTTTCTCGTTCTCAAATACATGTGAGTCGGTACATGACGAAAAAAGAAGGAAAATATCAACATGGCTTCTAGTAACTATTATGTTGGTACGACTGAAAAGTTTTTTTTTTTTAATTTTTACTATGAGAGCAACGGCATAGTCGACAGAAGGATTTGATTTATTTATTTATTTAACAATTAGACAAATTTGCGGGGTGATTCCTATAACAGCAAGAAAGTTATTACCTATTTAAAAAATATTTACGTTGGACGATTGTATCCTAGTTGCCTAACGAATTTGCTCTTTTCTATGACATTCTTATAATAATTTTAGTTCCGAAATCGTTCAGAAGAGGCGGCATAATTAATAACTACAAACTTCAAAGTAACTACCTATTTATTCATTTTTTTTTGTGTTAACTCAATAGTTATGAACAAAAACTATAAATGAAAATTTTCAGCAAATATGGTACTTTTAGCTATAGCAACTGATTTTTTATATAATTTTAGCAAAGGTGTTGCTCATTATACCAAACAAAAAACGAACGGGATTTTAAAAGGAAACGATAAGCATTTTGATATTAATGATAATTATAGTTTGATGTTATTGTAGGAAATAAAGGAAGTCTGTTATTTTTATCATGATTTTGTATGAGATTTAAGCAGAATCGGTAACATCGGCTCTTATATTATAATACGTTTTACTAAGTCTATGCATCAACCGCAGTTACTATCCTTAATCTATGAATCAAAGGGTATTTAAACATAGATAAGTACTTGTTATTTTGCTTGTTATATTCTCCTTTTATGAGATATTCATCTCCTAGAAGTACCTAACGAGTTTTATTTTTTTAATGGATGATAATAGATTGATAACCCCGCCTACGCTAATGGTATATACTAGCGGTGCACCAGTAAGAGATGATGGGTGAGGATAAAAGGGCAGGTCTTTTTTTTAATGGATGATAATGGAATGGTACTCCGCCTGCCCTATCGGTATATACTAGCGGGGCACAGTGAGGGATAATTGCAGAGGATGAAAAGGCAGGTCAATAAGCCCATCATAACGAATTCAACGATAAATTAGTCACGATGGTTTCCAAGGGAAACTATGTGTAGGTAGACCTGACAGCGTACTGACCTGATAAGGTATATTGATAGTAATGGAGACTAAACTCCCCATTACTAACAATCCCTTCCCCCCTAAAGCGGCAGGTCAGTTACCCCATCATGATGGGGGGGGAGGGATTGTTAGTAATAGGGTCTAATTTTCCCATTACTAGCAATACACCCTATCAGGTCGACCTCCACGCGGTTCCCCCTGGAAACTATTTTAGTTAATTCTAGTGGTTTTATTATTATTAAGCGTAATTCATCACGATGGGCTAATGGACCTGCTTTCATCGTCACCTATCATCTCTCACTGGTACCCCGCCAGCGTATACCGATAGCGCAGACGGGGTTACAATTTCATTATCACCTATAAAAAAGCCCCTTGTGATGAATACATCTGCAATTCAGCATGATGGTTTCCAAGGGAGACCGCGTGGTAGTCGACCAGACAGGGTATGTTAGCCATGGGACTAGTAGTCCACATTACTAGCAATCCCTTCATCCCTGGCTGGTACTTTGCATTACTAACAATCCCCTCCCCCCCCTTACCAAGAGTTTATCATTAAGTTTTTAAAGAGTCATCATTTTTCTACTATACATTCATACATATATAAAACGCTTGTTTTCCATAGTAGAGACAGAAACAATGAAACTCCAAATGCTTCGATTCCAACAAGCCTTTTTTGTATCCACCAAATTCATAAATTTTTACATACACGCTCTGTGACTACAAGTACTTTTAATTTGGCTTTATTTGGTCGATATACATCCTTCTAAGGCGGCCGCCACCGACATTTTCATTCATTCTAGCTCGATAAATACCTTTCGTAATTTTTCTTTCATGCATCCTCTCCAAACGGCCGAACCAACGCAACTTCCCTTTTCGATTTTTGTCATTATATCTTCTATCAGTCCATGCTTCTTCGTTCGCTTCCATTCGTTATTCGTTTCCATACTTGAATTTTGGTGTCAGTATTCCTTGATGTTTTGCTCGACAGATTTTTGCTTGCCATAATTGAGAGCAATGCAACGATAACATTATTCCCCGCTTTCACTCTCCTTTCAATATCTCCTTCACACTTCTGATCCCTTGTAAACAATGAACCGAATAGAAACTCACTCAATTGCTCTACTCTATCTCCTATCATAATTTGGCATGCCGTTAAACTTGCGTTCTTCTCAAAAACCTTTGTCTTTTTCGCATTTATTTTCATACATTTTCTTGCATACACTATATTCATTACAGTCACCATTTGTTGAAATTCATACTCCGACATTGCAAGCAGTACTTGGTCATCAGCGTATAAGAGTAGTAACAGTGATTCATTGATTCGGAATTCACAGTCAGATTCTTTCAAATCGGTCAAGCAATTGTCCATTAATCGATTGAACAGCAAAGGAGATTCTACACAGCCCCGTTCAATAAATATCACGTTGAATACCAAACCAGTCCACATAGACCCCATTTATTCTGACACAGACATTTCAATTCTTATATAAAGATTTGAATACCCGTATCAAATGGCTATCCATCCCATATATAATCAGTGTTGACCATAGTTCATTCCTTTATATGCTACTACTAAATAAGCCTTTTCAAGATTAATGAAGGCGTAGAAAACCTTTTAATATTGAGATAAGGTCTTCTCTGCTATGCACCTTAAGAAATCCGTAGATTCCATATTCTTTCGAAAACCTATTATGGATATGCATCCCTAGAAGACTTATTCTGTGGCAATTTTTGCACCCCTGCTGTGACTCGCTGCATTTATATAGTAGCACAATAACGGCTTTGCCCCAGTCATCAGGAATACAACCGGACCGCCAACATTTATTAAACAGCAGATACAGCAAGCTTACAATGAATTCTCCACCTTCTTTAAGCATTTCACCAGATTTGATATATTTTTTTAACTTTCTTTATTCTCTTTAAATCTTTCTTTTGTTTTTAAATTGTATTGTATTGTATTTTAAATATGCTAAAGAATCCCGCTGCTTTACCAACATTCATCATTTTCACTGCATTAATTACCTCATCCATACCTTATTTCAATGTTTATTTGGGGTCAACGTAATATGTTTTTTGTTCCATTCTCATTCACATTCACTTCCAATCTGGCTATATCATCTTTCACACAGTCCATCGGTGTCTTTTTAGGTTTTCCTCTGCCTTTATAGCCATCCACATTCATACTTAATATTTTTTTCTTTAAATTTACTCCACATCCTTGAGGATCAAATATGCATGCAGGACAGACTTTTAACTTAACTTTTCTATCACTGGCGCTACTTTCATACTTCCTCTGATATGCTTATTTTATCCATTCTTGTCATACTTCAAACCCATCTGAACAGTCGCATCTCAGCTACGTGCTTTTCATCCGTCACCTTTGCTGGCCAATAAGACAGTAGGCTGGATAAATTATAAGGGAAATTTACGAATTACAGGTGGTTGCCATAATACTGCTCAAGTCTATAGGCGACGGTTACCACTTTCCATCAGGTGAGCCGTCAGCTTGTTTGCCATTCTAAGTTGTTTGCCATTACATTTGCCACTTTACTAATGTATTTTGGACCTCAGCTCCATCCTCAGTAGCTTAGAAAAAAAGTATTGTCGTTACTTTTTTAGCAATGAGCTAGTTACAGCAGACGAGAAACAGGACGGGAAATAAAGGAATTGTCGTTACTTCTATTGATAGAATATCGCCCTACTTTACCTTTGTCTATATAGGGATTACTTGCTTTATAATCTATGCAGTATAGATACTCGTCATCGTCACTTTCATTACTTTTTTAATATAACATTGGATTGCTTTTTATTATTAGCTCTTTGTCCTCTAATTTGTATGTGTAGATTTCAGAAATAGGAAAATCAATTAAATAGAACACTTCGAGATATTGTACCAAGATAAAACTATAATCTAAGGATAACACACACGAGATTTTAAGTTAGACTTTCAGAAATACAAACCGCATCCAGTTTTTTTTTATGCGACTTAGAATGGCAAACATGGTGACGGCCCTCATAATGGAAAGTAGTCTATAGACATGAACATAACTGTTCTATTTTGTCCATGATGCCCCCATACATTGCCATTTCTGAGGACTAAGGTGTTATGCCTCTAATTATTTTACGTACCTATAGTGCCATGCATATGCGCAGTGCGTATATGCATGACATTAGAAACGGTTATATAAAATATAATATCTCATCTCATGTTTCATTATAAATATCAGAAACATTAGAGCTATTTTGTTGTAGTGGATAATAAAATGTCAAAAAACTAAAAATAAAATTTGATAGGTAAAAATTTATTTCAAATACAATAAAAAAAAAACCATATAAACAATGTGTGTAATGTCGTAATGTAACAAATGTCATAATTAGTGGATTAATTAATATAATTAATCCAAATGACAAATCTAAATTACAAATGACACCCCCGATACAATTTTTTTTTGCCCATTTGCACAATTGGACTTTTTTTTTCGTCTGTTAATGCTTATGACGACATGGGAAACGGCTTTTATTACACTTGCGTAATGTAATTCTTATATTATTTGGCTTCTAGCGTCGAAGCGTTTATAAAAACAAATATTATGAAATGAATAATTTTTTTTTTGTTTACTAGCAATAAAGGTCGACCTCCTCGTGGTTCCCCTGGAAACCATCGTGATTGATTCATTGGTAAATTTGTCACGATGGGCTAACTGACCTGCTTCATCTTCACTTATCATCCCTCACTTGTGCCCCGCCAGTGTATAACGCCAGTGTAGACCGGAATAAGCGGGATTACCATTCTATTACCATCTATCAAGACCTGAAATGCGTTGCAGGGAGTGGATTCAGGTGGCTCAGGACCGTTCTTTATGGTAGTCTATGAGGCTTATGTCCAGCAGTGGACGAATAATGGCTGAAATGATGATAAATCTGAGAAGTTTTAAAAAAAAATTGTCACATTAAATATATGAGAGCAGATGATAAATATGAAAAAGTACCTGAGAACAAAAAGAGAAACATAACAATAACAAATTTAAAGAAATATATGTTTTTTTAATTAGGAGGATTTTGCAAAAAGTATCTCTCTTAAGTTTTTTTTTTTTTTTTTTTAATTTTAGCCCTTAACTGAACATATCCAAAGAGAGAACCACTTAAACAATTACAGGCTCTTAGAAGAAAAATATTATTCATATAATTTGTGTGTGAAAAAGGAATACTAAATAGCTTATTATTTCTAGAATTCACCTTACGCTAAAATTACTCAATAAGAAAGGCAATTCAATAAGACTATATATAATTTTGTATAAAAATATTTAATCTCTTTCAGAACACGGTCTAAATAAAGACAAAAGTTTTTCTTAATGGATCTGCAATGTGCATACTTAAAATACAATTATTTAATAAATTTAGTCTTAATTTTCTCTATCATTACAGTAGAATCTCAATTATTTGAATTAAATAAAACCAGACGTTTCCCTGGTTTCTAAGTCAAATCACTAGACTGATTTGATTGTCATCTTGGAATAACATCCAAGTCTTTGACTTTCGTAATACGACCCAGTTATTTAATTATTACACAGAGAGTATCGCGCTCACATCACAGCCGTTCAGGACTAAGAGTCGCAGATGGTCCCGAAACTAGTCGAGATTTTTCGATCAAATAACACGTGAGTTAAACCGGCAGTTAGGTTAGGTATTACATTAAAATATAATGTGTACTTACGAAATTTTTAACAATAAAACAAATTTTATTAACTCCTTTTAACTTCATACTACAATTGTTTAACATTATTAATATACATGTAAATTTTTAACATTTTTTACGATTTCGTAAATTTATAACATTAATTATTTATTATTATCATGGATACGCATATGTCTATTTAAACGATTTGTAGAAAAACGTTTTTTACAAATTTTACAGCTGTACGGCTTTTCACCGGTATGAGTGCGGATGTGTGTTTGTAAAACTGATTTCGTACCAAAACATTTTTTGCACACATCACAAATATATGGCTTTTTACCAGTATGAATTAATATATGTGCTTTCAAAACTGATACTGTAACAAATTTTTTTTCACAAATGTCACAACTATAATCGTAACTATTTGGTTTTTTAGTACGAGTATGTGTACGCATGTGTCTATTTAAAATTGATCTTCTAGAATAAGATTTAACACACAATTCACAAGGATAGTTTTTTTCACCAGTATGAACAAACATATGCCTTTTCAAATCTGTTTTTGAAAAGAAACTTTTATTACAAATTTCACAACTCGGTCTGTCACCAGTTTTAATATGCATGTGCAGATTTAAACTTGAAGTACTTTTATAGCATTTTTTAGAAACTTCACAATAATTTGGTTTTTCTTTATCATGGGAATATCTATATATATGTTGATTCAAATATTTTCTAGCTATAAAACTTTTTTTACATATTTTACATGTGTATGGTTTTTCACCAGTATGAATACGCATGTGTAGATTTAAACTTGTAGTAGTTTTATAGCATTTTTTACACACATTACAAATATAGGGTTTTTCATCAATATGAAAAGTCATATGTTGATTCAAATATTTTTTTAAACTAAAAGATTTTTTACACTTTGCACATGTATATGGTTTTTCACTAGTATGAATATGCATATGTGTTACCAAAACTGATCTTAAATAAAAACATTTTTTACAGACATCACAAATGTATGATTTTTTACCAGTACAATGTACGCCACCTTTTATTTGTGAATCCATTTCACGATTTTTTTTACACACTTGATATGAACATGGTTTTTTACTATAATGAACTGACATATGAGATGCTATCGTATTATACGACGTAAATACTTTTCTGCATATATCACAGAAGTATATTTTATCAGATATTACTACCTTTACTTGTTGCATGGATTTATGAACAGCATCTGGAAGCAATAGAATTTTATTATTTAGTACATAAGGAAAACATAGAGAATAATCGTCTAATACGTAAGTATTAAATTCTATAAATAATCTATTTATAAATGTCTTAAAAAAGTTTATGTTGATAATTAAGTCAATTTTAATAATTCTTTTTCTTCAAATGCTTAACTTCTCTGTTGATCTCATATTTGTTTTGCGGCTTTAAGCAAAATTATTTTACTAATAGTGATCACTTACCACCATGCGGATTTCATACCATACCATATCAGCCGTTAACTGTCCACTGCTGAACATAGGGCTCTCCCTCAAAGGGGGGCTTTAATAATATTACAGTATAAAAAAAAAACAGAATACACTGGAAACTGAATACTTACTTGATATCTTATTATGAATAACATCTTTAGGTTCAGTTCTAGTGTATAATGAATGTTCATTATCTATGTATACTGTTTCTGCTTGAACAACTGTAGGTCCTATAACCAACTCATCCTTTATTTCATGATTCTCATATAATTTCTTAAGATAATGACTTTCCTTTTCAGAACATATATTATATACTGTTGCTGCCTCTCTGCTAATAGTAACATTTTCTGTTTTTACAATTACAGCATTTTCAACATTATCCTGTTTAACTTTCGTTTCGTATTCCGGATACTCATCATAGAATGAATCTAACTCCTGTTTAATATCGGAATTAACATATAGATTAGTTTCTTGCACATTGTCTGCGGTAATATTTGACTGCAAATTATTCCCCTCCTGCTTCATATTTGAGATGTTCAAATCAAAACCGTTTTAAATTATCTGTGGAATAAAGAATATATCAGAGTATATAGTAAATAATATCAGTACAGTTCAATTCCTATTAAAAAAAAAAAAAACAATATTTTTGGTTGGATTCTATTTCATTAGCATTATAAAGATTACTACTAGTTTAGACGAAATCCTAGAATAGAATAGGGAATTTGAAATTATGAAAAGAGTTACAAATTGCTCGTGAAATGTAGCTAATGACCCCGTAAAACCAACATAGATTCTTCCCATTTAGAGGTCCTCTCAACGTCATTGAACATCATGAATATCTCATGTAATTATTGTAACTATAATAATCCGTGTCAATTAATCTTTTTACTGACTATGTACTCCAACTATCTTTTAATAATCTCTTCTTAATCAACCGTATATATTTTGAAAGTTATCACAATTACTGATGATCAAGATATAATTTCCGAAAACCTATGGAAAGATCAAGATAGCATTGAATCATGAAAATCGCAACACTAAGGTAGATTTGAAAACTTTTATGCGTACTTAATCTCTTTTCATTTAAGAGTTTCCTCTTGTCGGTGCAACTAATTCATGCATCTCCCTCCAGCCAGTTCTATCCCAGGCCATATCCTTGACCTCCCTATACGACCTAGTGTTTCTTTTATCTGTCCCATGTAGTTATATTATTACTTACTTGTTACGTATTATGTATGTATGTGTATGTTACTTATTGCAAAGTAATATACACATACATTAAGTAAAATGCCAAGATAATTATATTTGACATAATTACTGCATGTTTTATAATAATAATATTACCTTTCTGATATGGAAACACCATATCAGAAAGGTAATTTAAAACACTGATTATATGTTCTAGGATCTGAGCAAGTTAATATACTATAAGGATAGCGATATTTCAACATCATTTATGGCTGCTGCTAGTAGATGAAAATAATTTAATATCATGGCATAGAAGATAAAGCCACCTGTTTATATGTTCAAATGAAAATGCAACAATTTTATGTAACTCGCTGTCAAAGAAAAGGATAGAAAAAGAAGTTTAATAAAAAAAAAATATAAGCGTGCTCATGACATATTAGAATTAGTGTACATTGATTTAGTTGGTCCTCTTAATCAATCCTAGGGAGGAGTGAAATATTGTCTAGTTCTAATAGATGATTTTTTAGTTTTAGAAAGGTATGCGGGTCAACACCATTGTCGCTAAGAAGTCGCTTTTTTATAATTATATTAATTTAAATAAGACTATACGAATAAAAAAATTCAAAATTATTTAAAAGGGCGTGGTATCAAACATAAGAGAACCTCAGATGCCTAAAACACAATGGTGTTTTAGAACCAAAAGGATGATAATTGGAAAGCCCAAGTGCATGTTGCACGACAAGTCAATTTGGGATGATGCTTTATATTGTGCTATATATTTTAAGACCAGACCACTCACTATGACTTGCAAATAGTTTCTGAATAGGCAAGAAAGAAAACCTTTCTCATCTTAGGGGTATTGGATCATCTGCACAGGTTCTTATAAGGGATGGTAGTAGAAAAAAAATTGATTCAAAGACAGTAGATTGTATAGAGCGACGTGAGATATAAATTCGTACACTGAAAATTTTTAGAACTGGCTACTTGAAAGCAATATAATAAAAAATGTTGTTAAAATTTTGAAAATGAAACTCTTTACGAATAATAGTGAGTATATAATTTATTCGTTTGTCATTTGTTTTACGGTTTGGCGGCAAATTGAAAATAATCTGTGTAACGTTATCATAAACTTAACACGACAAAATTTTCGTGCGATGATTTTTTATGACTTTCGATATCATCTAAGTCAACAAGAAACTTATGAAAGACTACGATGAAGCCCCGTCTCGTGCTACTGTTTACAACTGGTTTAATGAGTTTAAACGTGGTCGCACTAATCTCACCGATGATGTGCATGAGGGACGGTCTTCTACGGCGACGACTGAAGATAACATCAGAGTTATGCGGCGTATGATAGAGACTGACAAAAGAGTGACCTATCAGTAGATCCGAGCAAGCTTAAGGATTGGTATGAGTCAAGTGCACAAAATCCTCCATGAACATTTGGCGGTCAGGAAGCTTTGTGCCCGGTGGATACCTCATAATTTGACCTAGGCTCAAACTCCGTCGTGTTGATTAATGCCGTGAAATGCATAAAAGATTTAACTGAGGTGACTCAAATTCTGTGTTTGACATAGTTACGGGAGACGAAAGCTGGATTTCCTGTTATTATCCCGAAACTAAAAGACAGTCAGCTTAGTAGGTGTTTCCTTTCGAGAAGTTGCCAACTAAAGTGAAGAAAGGTCGAAGCGTGGGAAATAAGATGGTGGGCTCGTTCTTTGGAAGGACAGGTCATTACGCGACAATTATTTTAGAGGATCGAAAAACAGTTACTGCAAAGTGGTACAGTAATAATTGTTTGCCACGTGTTTTGGAAAAAGTACGTATAAAACGACCTCGCAGTAGGATCCTCCTTCAGCACGACAATGCTTCGTCGCACACCGCCAAGTAAACGATCGATTATTTGGCGACCGCAAACATAGAACTACTGGGTCATACGCCTTATAGCCCCGACCTCGCACCTTGCGATTTTTATTTATTCCGAAAAATAAAAGAAAAACGTTTCAGAAGGCCGTCGAAGAGATCCCTAAGGATGAGTGGGAAAAGTGCTTTTCTCAGTGGTTCTGTTGGATGCAGCGATGTATTAACGTGAATGGACACTATTTTGAAAACATAAAATAAAGGTAAAACTTGCTAATTTAATCAGTTTTTTATTTTCTAAGGACTTTCAGTTTGACCCCCCTACCTGCTGGGAAAGTACAGCCTAATGTCCTTCCTTTTGATTTCTATCTTCTTAAATACACTAACAGATGTCATTATAAAGCATTTATATATTTTTTTTCTTTTTTACAACACAGGGGGCAAACGAGCATACGGCTCATCTTATGATAAGTGGCTACCGCCGCCCATAAACGTAATGTTCTCTGATGAGAGCACATCGTTAACGATTAATCCAAAATAAGCATCAGAAGCCCTTACATAGCCTTATTGTCCACAACACCAACGGTATTGCAGGTGTGCTGCCGGCCTTTTAAGAAAAGCTGGCAGCACACCTGAAGGTTACGTTGACATATCGGTTCGGAAATACTGCTGCTGCAAGTTGATTCCAAAGAGTAGTTGTGCGTGGGAGAAAGTGCCTTGAAAAACGCACGGTGGCGACCGCAAACATATATATATATATATATATATATATATATATATATATATGAGATCTGACTCCAATGGATTTTTTTTTTGTGGGGCTACCTTAAGGCTAAAGTGTACGACTCTAACCCGCTACACGCAAAATAGCAATAAAAGTTTTAATGCTACTGTTTAGAATTTAGTTCCGAAATCTATTTCAAGCGGCAAAAAAGTCTTGAATATTGCGACTGATCACTATTGCTGTGTGCGGTGTATATATATGTATATATAGTGCAGAGTCAACACGTGTACAAAAAGGACATCAATTTCAACGATGGTTTGAGTAATATTTTACAAATTATTAAAGTTTTGGAGATTGATGTTGGCGTCCAATCATATAATTTTTGTCTTGAACCCGATGCTAAACGGGTTAAGCACGCTGAGCGGTCTTTGACAGATGCGGCAAAAGAAGCACGCTCCAATATAAAATCATCGAGAAAAGAGAATGAGGAAGAAAATTTAAATATAGAAGGGCAGCTGTATGGTCCTGGGATAGCAGATTAATGGTAAAAAAATTTAAACTGACGAAATTTTCATTTTTTCATGTCTATAATGTATTTCAAAACTTTAAATGCGTTTTTCTCGAAACACGATTGTTCAAAACGGCACGCAAAATAACTCCAACAATTTTAATTTTTTTATTCGTATTTGTTAAAATATCTTAAAATATATATAAAATAAGATTTTGAAAAGAAATCTGTAGGGGATTTTCGATAGGTTAATTTAATAATTTTTATTAACAAATGATATTTTTTTTATTTGTTGAAAGTTTTACGATTTAATTCAAATACTCGCCAAACACACAAAAATCAATATTTTTAAAATCGCCTACTTATTTCTCTAGCTATAAGCATGTACAATAAGTGGTTTTTTTTACATCTAAATTTGCAGCAGCTACACTGCGTGCCGCAGAGCGTCTCAAATTCTACGTGTCTCGCGAAAATGGCTGTGATGCCGTCATTTTTGAATATTTTTTTATAATAATTTTCTATTTTGTTACTTAAATATACGCTAAATAACTTCGTCCAATATTATAATTTTATTACCTTTCCTTTCATCAAAAAAAAAAATAATAATAATAATACAAAAACACGTTTTTTTAAGCTGTTACAATGGTGTTACCCCTTAAATTTTCCACTCTATGACCATTCTGTTCTTTTCAATTCCCTCCGTATTCCCTTACTTACATAAGTTCCAACATTATTGTTTCTTGATAATTTGATTTTCTCTTTTATTTTATCAATAACATTAAGTTCGTGAATTTTCTCAGTTTATGTACTTTACATATACATATATATTTTTAAGGTTAAATATATTATTATTTCTATTCAGGTATCTGTCCTTCTCCTTACATTATCCATTATTTAACTTTTTTGATTCTTATCCTAAATTCCGTCGTCCAAAACTCCCTTTATTAAAATGCTCTTTCACAAACTTTGTTTTTGGCGGATGCACTTTGTGTCGGCAGTTAGCTTTTTTTTTCTCTTCATATAAAGAAAAAAAAAGCTAACTGCCGACTCTCTAACTATATTCCTTAGTAATACTTGCATTTGATATACTTACATTATCCTTTTATTTAAACTGCGTCGTCTACTTTCACCTCTGTCTGGTCGAATATTAGATTGTACATTAAGATTTTTAATTTATAATATAAAACGTTTAAAAGGTTATACATGTAAAAAAAATATAAATAACACAGAGTATATATAGGTAACACCACAGAGCAAGTAATCACCACGTTATAAGAGTTGGCATCAGTTTTATTCAACGGAAAGTGAAATGCTTTTCAAATCAACAACACAATGAAAGTTATAAAAAAATAAAAATAAATGATTTGCATTCAAAGAATTAAAACCGAAATCTTTGTTTAGAATATCCATAGTGTTGTACCATTTTTAATATACGCAATCGATTTTGAAAACCATTCTATTATAAAAAAAATATAATAAAAATAAAATAAGTTGTGTAGAATGATATACAAAGTATTTTATTATTACAAAGTATTGTTATACAGTGTAGGATGATATACAAAGAATAAATAACGTTTTTAGCTCAACTTTTAATAGATTTGAACCCAAATAAATTTTTTTTTTAACTCTGTAAATTATTGAATTCCTCTATTTCAATTAAAATGCATAGTAGATAAAATCCACAGTCATAAAATCTTACCTGAGAATCTAATTCAGATAGGAATGATCTGGATTTTAAACATCTATTACATTATATTATGTTTATGGGGCTGAATATACGTGAAATAAAAGCTGTGTGAGCTATACTCCTTAACTGTCCGATTTGAAAGAATTTTAAAACAACAACAACTTAAAAAATGGCGGCCAAGTTAAAGAAGCGGTTGTCTAAAATTGAAAATAAATTATTGAAATTAGATAAATTAGAGTTAAAAGATCTAATTTGTTCAATTTGTCATTCAATACTTATAGAACCTGTAACTTTGCCTTGTTATCATGATTTTTGCCAACATTGTTTTAACGGTAGCATAGAAAATAATGCCTTGTGTTGTCCTCTATGTCGCTTACGAATTGGATCTTGGATACGAGCAGCAACTAAACAAAAGAATTTAGTAAATGTTGAACTCTGGAATTTTATTAAATCCAAGTTCTCAAAAGAAATCAAAATTAAAACGAAAGGAGAAGATTTAAGTTTCCTTGAAGGTAAACATAGTTAATCATATAATTATTGTTTATAAAAAATAAGTGAACTTTTATATACTTACTAGTAGTATAATCTTGAACCTTTTTGTTATCTAGAATAGCAGGGTTATTTTTATTATATTTATTGCACATGGTTTTTTTACCACCTGTTTCGTGTGTTCTTTCCAGTTTCATTTTTGTAATTGATTTACTCATATTATAAATAGAATTTAATATGTTATAGAAAAACCACCTATACGATTAAGTGCTCCTGGTGAAATAAGATTAGAATATGAAGCTGAATTGAAGAGGTTGAGGTTTGAACGTTTACAACTTGAACAAAAACAGTTTCAGGAGACTGAGTTTTTAATCAAGTGAGTTCATTGTTATAATGTAAATACTAAAGTCTCATTAAAATTGTTTAGTAATGATATAACATTAATAGTAGAAAAAAAAAGAGAACAGCATTTAGTATGCAGATGTAACCTTATACTAAACTAACTAGTACAGTAATTCTATGCAATAATATATTTATAAATAACTTTTGATAATCTTATGTAAGGAACTGTTTGAAATGATTCTCACAGGCACCTTTTATTATTGCACGACTCTACTTCATCAGGGAATTAATCTTTGCATGCTTGAATCTAAATGGTTATATACAATGCGGTTTCAGAGGACTTTACTCCTGCAAACACTCAGGCTGTAGAATGAGCCCTTTGCCAAAGCTTTCTTTAGAAACTACAGTTTAGAGTTGTTCAAAAAGGTTGTATTCAGGGTCAATAACATGCATGTGATACCCTTAGTGTTTGTAGGCATCCATAGGCTACAATGACTATTTACCATCAGGTAGGCTGTATGCTTGCTTAGCACGATTATAGAAGAAAATCCTGTTAAAAATCAACACAAGTTTACCATTTTAGATCCCTTAATCTGATGATATAGATGGCTATATATCATAAATTATCAGAAGATTAATAAGGACAAGATACTTTTTAATGTCAGTATTTGAATTTGATAATTTTGCACTCTTTTGTAGGCTCACAAAGTAAAATTAAAATTACAATAATTTTAATTTTACTTTGTAAAATTACAATAATTTTAATTTTACTTTGTAAAATTACAATAATTTTGATTTAAATTTACTAAAAAATGAGTTCATATTGATTACTTTAAAATAAAGCATTCACTGTGACATCAGATAGAAATTTTAATTTTAGAGATAGGATAGACTCTAAACCTAAAGTTTAGAGAAATGGCACCTCAGAATCAACTCCACTATTATACTTCAGTAAAAGGTATATTATTAAGAATATTACCATTAATATTTAATTTATTGATTGATTTATATCAAAGTTATTAACACATTAATATTGGTGCACAGTATTGTTTGTGACACCAGTGTTAGCTCATAAATAAAATCTTTTATTAAGTCTAAAACTAGTAAAATATAAAGTTGATACAAATAATTGCAATATATAATAGTATGATTTACAATAGTTTTTTTTTTTAGAAAAATTCAACAAGAAGAGGAGGAAGCTCATAAAAAATATTTGGATGCTTTAAAACAAGATGAGATATTAGCACAACAGATACAAGGTGCAAATTTAGAACAAAAAGCTCCTAAAAACTTGCCAAGAAAGCAAAATCTGAGGGGCACCATCAATAAGAAAGTAAAGGCAGCAAAAATTGATAGCTATTTGGCTAAATTGCAAGCTCCTGTTATTATCAGAAAGTAAGTTGTTTTCAACATGTTATTCTTATTTATTTTTTATATTTTATTATAAATGTACTAAAAATTAACAATTTGTTATCTATATATATAATATTATTGTAAACAAAGTTGCAAAAACAATCTGTACTTAAATATTCTTAATTACCAAGAATCAAGTGCCGCAAAATTGATTGAAATCAAATTCAATTACATGATTATGCTATGAACTCATCCTTTACCTGGCCTTAACTTGATAATTTGACCTTGAGTGGAAACTCTGACGTGTCAGTAGTAGAATGGGATCCTGAGGAAGTGGCTAGTTTGGTTCTTTTGAATAAGGAAGTGTTCCATATCTCCTGCTGCATATAGCTCATGCAAGCTGAAATGAAATCAGAATTGTTCGAAGAGGTGATTGTGGTGAGATCAATCATCTTAGCGATGACAAAGATGTTCTTCATATCCAATGTAATGTTTATCGACAACTAGCTGATACTGAATATGAATATTACCGCATACCTATATAAAGACTTTACATAGGATAAGATTAACCATTTAGTAAAACGCGACATTCTGTTTATGGTCAAGCAGTATGATAAATTTGAAGGATTCTAATAAAATTAACACCTTGACTGTAAAATTTTGATAAAAAACATTTTCATATATGCATTTTCCAATAGCCGTGTGGTCTCAGCATATAATAGGCCACCTCTGCCATTCCTGTGTGGCAACTAAGAGAACTTTATGGTAGAGAGATGGGCAGCAGCGTTCTTCTCAAAACATTACTAGAAACGTAACTGCTGTTGCCAACCCGTTTACCAAACGTGGCAACTACTGGCAAAATTACCCTTATGAAAAAGAAACATTATATTAGCCATAGACAATTAACGGCTAGTATGACATTTTGTTATATATCAGCCACTTTCTCATAATGGTCTTACAGGCCAGCTTCTTGAATCACTAAGTTATGGAAAGTATTGAAAGAAAGAATCCCAATTTTGAACTTTACGAGTTTATAAGAAATTATACATACAATTCACATAAAAATCAAATATTAATTTATTATTTTGGTTTTGCAGTAGTCCATTGTTAACAGATGACAATACTAGCACAGATAGTTCTACCCCCAAGGTGCCTTCAGTAAAGCAAAATAATAGGGATTCTCCTGAAATTGTATCAAGTTATGGAAAATTGCTGAAAAATTTAATAGATAAGAAAATTAGAAATCGAACTGGTATTTGGAATAAAGAAAATGGTGATACTCTCAAAGATAAGGTAATAATATATAAAGAATAATATAAAGAAAAGAAAGTAATCCATATTGGATAAAAATGTGTTCAGTATAATATTATGAACAAAATGATAATTTTTTTAGTTAAAATGTTGTTTGCATTAGAATTTACTGGGTACAGAGGAATAACACCGGGTAGGAATCAAAAACAGTATAATATTAACTATAGATACCACTTTCCATAGTGTATTTTTACAGGATAATTTTTTAGTTAAAATAGAATCAAAGAGAATAATAGCATAGTGTATTTTTTAAAGAAGATGGAATTGATGATAAAAATATCAAATCTAAAAATGGAATTCAGTCACTATTAGTATCACTTCCTTTACCACATCCAGGAGTACTTCAACACAAAACAAATGCTTCTAAAAATAGAAGTACAGAGACAGATAGTTTTGATTCAACGCAACAGGAATTATGTTATTTTAAACCAATTGAGGGAACAACCCCAATCAGGTGAGAAATTTTATCCATTGATAGTTTATGAGAATATATATGTATATAGTTCAATAAATTGAATGATTAACTGCAACTACTTGTATAATAATATGTTAATATATAATAAAACTATTACTGAATTGCAGTTAAAATTGCATTAAATTATTTTAGATTGAATTATTGTTCTCTTTTGAATATTCTAAATCTAATAATTCAATAAATGTATCATCCCACCTGCTGTTTCACTCCCATCTCTAATATTTTGGATCTGAATACTTCTAAGTGTACCCAGAGAGCCCATTTGTGTATTTGTGACTTATGTTTAAAAATACAATTTTATGCAAAATTTTTCCTTTAAGCCCATGTATATCAGTGGGTATATGAATAGATAGATAACAATTGCCTATTTAATGGGTAATAATGAAATGGTCACCCAGCCTACACTAACGATATACACTGGCGGGGCACCAGGGAGGGATGATAGGTGGCGATAAAAGCAGGTCAGTCAACCCATCGCGACGAATCGCGCTAGAATTAACCACAATGGTTTCCAGGGGGAACCACGTGATTGACCTGATAAGGGTGTATTGCTAGCAATGGGACAGTTAAACTCCATTATTAACAATCTCTTTCCCCCAACAATAGCATTGTTGTCTATTCAAAATTGTGATATGACTGTTAATAGTATAAAGAATAATATGTAATTATTTTAGTTTAAATTCTAGTAAGAGATTACCACTGCGAGTGCCAGGAATGCACGTGGGCCATAAAGGAAGTTCTTTACAACATGAAGTAGCTCCAAGCAGGGCGCAATACATTGAGGGTCTTTGTCGTCTGCGGAATTTATCCATGGCAGAAAACTTGCCTTCGGCATTTGTCATAGCACTTAATATCTTTAGGGTAAAAAAAGTAAGTTTCTATGTTTTGTAAATTTATAAAATTATTTATAAATTATAAATATACCCCCTCTAAAGTTTATCATGACATATCAATCTAAGCAAAGCTACTTTTTGTATATACATTTAATACAGAAAACACTCTGATCACAAATCTCTATATTGTGGAGGAATCAAACCTTAGACCATTGTTAAGTAGCACAATGTTTTAAATTGCTACACTGAAAAAGTTGTAAAAGGCTATGAATAAATAAATATGTCTTTTGATTTTCTTGCAGGATACTGTAAAATGTGAAACAAATATTCAGTTACGGGATAAGAAAGTTATTCCTTCAGGCCCTTGTCTTGTGTCCACATTCCCTGCAAAAAGAAGTTCTAACCGAAATAAACAAATAATTCAAATAGATGGTATCACCGAGTTAAACACCAAAACAAACTTGAGAAGAACTAGGTCAATGGGTTGTATATCAAAAGACGAGAATGAAACAACTCCAAAAAAGGCCAAGTTAAAAGATAGAAAAGTTTCATCAGAGAAAAAATTGTGTTTAAGAAGTAATTCAAAAAAGTCTACTACCAAAAAAGATTCGAATAGTTCACCCTTAATTCCTGATTCTGTAAATAATAATAAGGTTAATTTAGCTATAAAAAATTTATCTAGTCCATTAAAAAATTGTGATTTTAAAAATATTTTACAAGAGCAATTAAGGATTGAGAAGATAATTGAACAAGAAAAGAATGATTTTGAATTAGCACGAAAAGTAGAAGCAGAGTGGAATGGACGAAGACAACCTCGTCGTTTAGCCGTCAAGCGGCAACTCACACTTAATTATGCTCTCAGGCCGTCTAAAAAACTAAAAGTGTAATAATGTCATCAATTATTCATAATCTGCATGCCGCGTGATATATTATGATTATTTAATGTAAAGTACTTTGAAATTATTTCCATACAGAAATATATAGCGTGGCCAACCTTTAGTTCCTTGTGTTTTAGATTATTGAATCTAACTATACATATGCCTCCTATCTATTAGGTTTTCAGTTATAAAATTATTGAAATAATTTTAATATTTTCTACATATGTACAGATGTTTAAGTTTATCAATAACTTGATGCACTACTTTAAAAAAGGTATGTTTTACATACAGAAGAATGACTTGCGATTTATTAAAATACTGTAAAAGATTAATAATTGGTAGCCGCTTTGTTTACAGTTTACATGAGAATATATTTAACCATATCTCTACCATAACTGTAGACATATGACACATGTAAATCAATCCTAAAGATATACATTGTTTGTGTCGCTATACCCTATATACAACTCAAAATATTACTCTACTGTGTACAACAGCCTCAGATACGTATTTTTTTTTTTTTTATCAAGAGTACCTAAAAGATAGATTTTAATTTGAATATTTCATTTTTTTAAAGTTTTTTGATGGAGAAATAGTAATATTCCTAATAAATTAAAAAAAAAAAAAAAAATATTCCAACTAGAATCTATTCCTCAGCAAATTAGCGGATACAAAAAAAAAATACCTACTATAAGGCTAAGGCTTCAGAAATCTATTTTATTTCTATGCAAATGTTAAACTAATATAGAAGTGATATAAGTTTAACTCGTGGACTGCCAGGAGACTTCTAAAATTGATGTAGATAGCTGAAGATTGATTAGGGTCCTCTTTCTTGTTAAGGGGTTCTATCTATATAAATAAAAATTAAATGTTTTTCTTTGGTATAAACTTGAAAACAACTCATATAGAAAATTATTTAAATGTTCGATTAAGGTTCATTGGATATAAAAAAAAAATATCAGCGTTGGTTTGGTCAGCTTGTATGTTATAAAACAGTAAAACTAATAAGATTAGTTATACTAAAAACATTCGACACTAACCTGCCTACCACCACTGTTCTCATAAATGCAAAAAAAAAAAAAAAAAAAAAAATAGTGCAGAGGAGATTCGTCCATTTTAACTCAACTATTTTAGGATATATTCCTAAAATATTTTTAACTACAACTCATATAGATTAATCTCTGTAAACTGTTAATAATTTTGTATTAAAGTTTCGATAAATTAATAATCTGATGCATATATAATATGCTACATATGATACTATTTATACAATTACTGATCATCGTTTTTTATATATATAAATGCCGTTATCATAGATCTCAACTCATGTGATTAAATAGTGATATAAGATTTTGAAAAGTATCTCTTGAATTGGATTTAAGTGCGTGTAAGTACCCTACTTAAAATGCTATTAAATCTATTTTCTATTCTTACTCAGTAATTAATATAAAATATGTAATTTATATATTCGTCAATTATTAACGATTTTTTTTTTTTAATTTAATTCATTTGATTTCAATCAAATGAATTTGAATTCTGTGTGTTTATATCACTAGATGTAACTAAACTAACTAAAAATTTGTAACGATATATGGAGCGTGCCTTACACGTACGTTTCATTGGGATTTAAAATTCCCTTGTTTTTAGACTTCACTTTCAAATTGAATTCTATATTCTGGAAAGTAAAACATATTTGTAAGTACATGCTATATTCAAATGGCAAATATTTTCATTATAAATATTTATTTTTAGTTTAAAATTGTGCTTCAAAAGTGTAGCGAATTTTGATTTTTTTAATGTAATTAATATTTTTCAAAATTAAATTTCAAAGAAATAAAGCAGCACAGAATTTGAAATAAGTATATAACAGCGCCAACTCCCAACGTGAAATTATTTTCTAGTAATATATTTGTTTTTTGATTTTGCTGTTTCACTAATATAAAATTGTAATTATACGATGTGTAAATGGGAGATATTTGAGAAAAATTAATAAAAGGAGTCTTTATAAGACCAACAAATGATATACAATCATTTTTAGAAATTTTGTCTGCTTGTCAGTATATTTGTTGCGATATCACGCAAATACTACTGCACCAAATTGTATTGTGTTCCTGAGGATTGAACTTAAAACTTGTATGTTTTATCTTGACACACCATCTAGAACCAATCTATTTAATTAGTTTTCCTATTTCTGAAATCTACGCGTACGCGTATATAAATGTTATAATTATTAGTAAGGAAAAAATGAACGTTTCCAAAACTTTATGCCATCCTTGAAAATTAATGTTATTTTGACATGAAATACAGTCGTGGCTGTCCCACAAACGATGTTTCTTATATCAGATAGTGTAATTACAAAGACTCGATAATACAATGAATTGTTATTCCTATTAAATCTATTTTCCATGTTTTCTTTTTAATTTTTGGGCAGAGTTACCACTTAAGTTCATCTCTTCACGTTATTTTATATAGAAGAAATGCGTTATACTACCTTTTGTATCTACTCCGCGTGGATAGGATTGATTATTAGAATTAATTAATGAGGAATTGTCACATGCTAATTGCTTAACTCTATATCTAGCATGTTTGGTTTGGTAGTACATATAAAAATGTTATACATTTATATTCCCTTTTTATATTGCATTATTATCGGGTTGTAAAATGATTATCCTGCCTGTCGAATTTCAGTTACCTGTGCCATAACATATAAAATTAATCGTAGCAAGCAGGATTTTCAGCCAATATTTTACGATGTATGAATATACAGATCTACATACATATTGTCTTGTAATTTAATAATTGTCTGATGTCCGTCGTTGATGTAATGTAATAAAAGAATGTGGTAGGTTATTATTTAACACGATAGAAAATATTAATTTACTATTGAAAATATTGTCCACTTGAAAATTAATAGATATTCGTACATTACCATTAATAATTACAATGAATGTCTTTTAAAATGATTCCAAATTATGCATAATGTAGAATACAAAATAATGTGTCTATAAAGGATTTTAAAAATATGAGACGTTTTCTTGTTCCCAATTTTTGATAAATATTTGTGTAATGTGTAGGAATCGTAAATAATGTGGAAGATAAAAATTTGTATGAACGTATATTAATTTGCTGATGATGAAGTAATCAACATAATTTCTTGAATCCATTCTGTATTCATAGACTTCCTGACTGTGGAACGAATACAGATACAATCTATACATATTATTATATCAGCCGTTAACTGTCCACAGATAAATGTAGGCCTGCATAAGAGTTTTCTGATGTTTTAAGAGGGGCGTTGTTGCCCATTATAAGTTGTTTGAGTCGCCTCTTACAAGACCCATAGGAAAGGAAGAGATGGCCCATCTATAGTTTGTATCAATAGAACTTAATAAATATATAATTAATTACAAACGAATAATTGACCCGATCATTTTTTATGATAGAATGATAAAAATCTTAGCGTGCCTCGTCAAGCATTACGATGGCCCAATTGACCATCACATCCGATAATCATCTATAGTAATAACAGCATCATACAGAATAGTCTGATATTCACGATAACCCTCATGCTTTGCCAGTCCTACGAACTATGGTATTATGCCTCTCTACCCTATAATTTCGCTACCATATTGAACAGAAACTGCCTTGCAAGCACAGCTATTTCACTGCAGAAACAGCTAAGATGGAGGTACTCATGCAAACAACTTGTACAAAGTTTCCCTCTATATAATGTTACGCGTAAAAGCTAATAGTTGCTTTTGTGAATATTTTATTAATATTGTTCCCAAAGGTTTTTTGGAGATGGTTTGTTTAACAATTAAACCACCTTTTGCAGTTTTTAGCCTATTTAGTCTATACCTATTAATAATGCAATTAGATGTTTTTAAATAAATATATTGAAGTGATTTAAAAAAAACACTAAAGATTATATTTTTATATACTTTGCCCAGACTACAAAAAAACAATTTAATATGCTTCATAATCATACTGAGAGTGGTGACATCTCAGTGCTTGATCATGGTCCAGAAGTCTAAAGATGGAATCCTAATCCCAACCTCCCGAGTTTCAAACTCATGTTAGGATCTTCTAAAAATGTTTGTCACTTGCTTGGTTCATGCTTGTAAGGGTATATATAGCTGTCATCCAGTAAGCTAGATTAAAGGTTGTGTACAATGAAGGCGACCTAGAAGTTCTTGATACCAAAGGGTGGCACCCTCACAAGATTAATAGTAATTATAACATAATCACTTTTTTTCCTTTTTCTATAATGTGTCTCTCTCTCTCTCTCTATTCTTCTTTACAATTTAGACCTGTAAGAAAAACATATGTTGCATAAGATTATTCAAATATAAAATGACATACAACAAAAATATCTTCCAAATGTATCTAAAAATGTCTGTACCATTGTAAAAAAAAGAAGGCACCCAGATCCTGTTATCTTTGTATCACTCCTATGACTTCTTTTCATGAACTGTATTCATTACAGTGTGTAAGCCTTCTATGCACCTGTAAAACATTTGCTTAGAATAAACACAAGTACATAAAAGCCAGTGATAACATTAACAAAATTTCATACTAATTACACAAATGGTAATATGGTACAACACAAATTACTTTTTAGATTATAATTATAATTTTTGTTTTATTATTATATAGAATATATGTAATAATTATGTATATATTAAGGAAATTTATAAGTTAATATTAAAACAGAAATTATTATTACCACTTTACTACATATTCACACTGCTTCATAATAGCATTCTTGATTGTCATCCACATTGCTACTGTACAAAAAGAACAAAAAATACATATTTCATTCAGTATACCACAAAGTACATCATACTGGCCATACAATGGACATACTCACTCACCCTGGATCGCAGCTAGCATCAGGTACAATCCACTTGCACAGGCAGCCAGGCACCAGGCAGGTTACAGTTCACCTCATTGTTTGAATGAAGCAGTCACATCTTGCATGACACACACACAGGTCGACACACTTTAATTTTATTTTCTTCATAAATTATTTAATTAAATTAGTGTCCACAACCAAATATGTGCATTCATACCCTTTTGCAACATTTATATATGAACAAATTATAAATTTCTATTTATATAAAGCTCTAATAAATACTGTGATTATTTTAAAGTTTCCTATATTGACAAATAAAAACATCCATCTCAGAATACATACTTTTTATTTTATCTAAGAACCTTCATACTGCATCACAAGTATACACGCAACGCTAGTCACCTTATAATTTAAACAAAATATAAGTTTATACTTTCAAATACATTGCTCTCTATGATCAACTAATGACAAACTTACAAAAATTATAATTTCATATTCACGCATTAACCTAAAGTTTCCATACAATCATCCCTGTTATGACTGTTTGAAGTAACAGCTCACCTCATGTCTGTGGCTTATTATTCCATCCGTTGCCAGAGCCAGAGCTACCACCACCACCACCATTACCATTCCAACTGCCTTGACCACTTGACCAATTTCCTTGATTCCAATTGCCACTTTTGCCTCCTCCATTCCATCCTTGGCCACTACCACCTCCTTGATTCCATGATGGAGGTGGGCCATTTTGGCCCCAGTTTTGGTTGCTATTCCAGTTTTTTCCAGAATTATTGCCTTGGGGTGGACCACCTTGCCAATTATTAGGACCAGAATTACCTGGACCACCAAGAAAACCACCCCAACCAGCTTGGTTTAGTGCTGCAGCAACAAGACTTATAGGCAAATTAAAATTATTTGGTGGACCTCCATTTGGATTGATTCCAAGATTTTGCATATTAAGTGAGTCAATATTACTGCTCCCACTGGTGCTATTTGGTCCCCCAGAAGAACTTGATCTATTTCCGTCCCAATTATTAGATCCATATGAATCATCTTTCCAGTTTTGGTTAGATTTACTTTTAATCTTTGGTGCAGCACTAGATACTGATACAGATGCTCCTTTAATAACATGATCCTCTCCACATAGACTCTGTGCAACTTCAGGATCTAGGAATGTAACAAAACCAAACGCCCGAAATGGTCGAGGAACAAACACATCAGTCACTTCCCCAAACTTTGAAAAATAATCACGGAGGTCATCTGCAGTCATATCTTCAGTACATCTTCCCACAAAAACTTTGCAGGGCATTTGTGGTACCACACCTTCCTTGGAATTTGGGATACGTACATCCACCCAACGACCATCAATATTGTGTCTTTGTGCAAGAGCTCTCATTTGTGAAGCATAAGTAGCAAAGCGAATGAATCCAAAGCCTTTAAAAGTGCCATTTTTATCTTTTTTTAGTTGAACCATTACAACTTCACCAAACTGTTCAAAGTATTGTTTTATTGACTCTTCAGTTGATTTCCAAGGTAGACCTAGGCATATTAAATCAGAGCACGTAAGTTTCTTTTCCAGTCGCTTGGTTTTTGCTGCTGAATTTTCAGGAGATACGTCCTCCATTTTACGTTTATTTTCTTTAGGAAAAACGCAAATATATAGATGTTTTCCCCATCCAACTTCACTAGGGGGGTGAAGCTTTCCATCACTTAAACGAATACCTCGAACAGATTTACTATCAGGGTGACGATATTTTAAACCACATGCTCCGGGGAATTGCGCTACAAGCGTTGACAAAAGTAAAGTGCCATCCATTTCACAAGGAATTTCCACGGCATTAGAATCATCCTCATCTTCACTTACTCTAATGTAATCAAATAAATCTTCATTATAGTTATCAGATTTACTACACATGATGAATACACTATATTAATAAAAATTATCACCAAATTTATCGACAAATATTTCAATATTTTTAAGAGGAATATGACACAACGTAGCGAACAAAATGGTTGAATTTTTTTTTTAGATAGCTTTACGGTTTTGGATGTTTCCTTTTAGCCCACCATTAATATCTATTTGATTGAATAAAATCTTTAATAGTGATGTGCCAAGGTAGATGATTTGTATCGAATACCTAACAGAAACTGTTAGGGGACGAGAAGATCGTAAGGGGGAGGGAGCGAGATCTAAAATAAAAGGTATATGAATAACGAGGAATCGGATCAAATTCGATTTAAAATTTAAATTTTCGATAACCTTTTCTTTTTATCGTTAGTTAGTTAGAAGATGCGCTGAGTAAAAAGTAGTGGAGTCGATTCTGTGACGCCCTTCTCTAACCCTATCTCTAAAATTATAATATTAAGTTGATATCACACCGAAATCTTTGAACTTAGAACCAATATCAATTTAATTTCTAGTACACTTAAATAAAAATTATTATAAATTTAATTTACAATCTCGAAATTATCAAATTAAAATATTAGGTTAAGCGATAAGTTTAAAGAAATAGTACCTCAAAATCGAAGCATTGTGGTGAACTTATTTTTGTTGTTAGTTTGGTTAGGGGACTGCCATTAAAATTTTATTCAGATGGGACAGGTGCTTGATTATCCATCAGAGATTTTAAGCTTGGATCAGGATTAATTTTTTTAAAACACCATAGGCATAATAATGAAGCGGCAAAGCATAAGTTAGTAAGAGTAAGATATTTCTCTTTTACTGGTTCCTACCAAACATTTCGGAATAGAATAGATGGGATGCGTAATTTACATAGTGTGTTTCTCGTTGTATTTATGACATTGCTAATGTGTTAAAGAGGGATAGACTTATAAAAACGCATCTGCCTTTTGATTTGTCCGTAGAAGTCAAATTTGTCAAGATATGTTATTTAATTTTAGTGGTTGTATAACCCTACCAAATTCAGATACAACCTGCTTGCATACTTTCTATATAAACTGTGTCGAATATATAATGCAGTAATATAAAATTTGTTATTGACAAATAATTGACATATCAAAAGGAACAAAATTTTTACAAACAAATTTTCTATACACTAGCCTGCTATGAATTGAGAAAAATAGCAACTGATGGTGTATCTGTTGTCCTCTTTTTACTAATTATATTTGCATAAGAAGAAAGGAAGCAACCATATGTTTTACAGTTTTTATTTTATTATTCCTTCTATGTAATTCCTTGTTCTTAGGTTCTTATATAAAAATGAATGTTACTGTCTTTTTCTCTCACGTGTAACTCCATCGACACATGACACGCACCAATTCGTCATATTGATAAGCTGTATAAGCTACATATTCAAATTATATTAAACACTGAAAATATTGCTTGCTAACAAGTTGTTAAACTAATCGTCGCATATATTGTTTAAGTGCAATAAAGAATATATAAATATTATTATTTTCATCACTATACATTTAAAAAAAGAACATGACAATTATAAAGTACTATTTGTGTGACAGTGTATTTTATGGAAATATACCAAATTTAACTTTTCGTCAGTATGTAAACATATTTTTTATCTACCTATGATGAATTATAAAGTATTAAAAAAATATGCGTTGATGGGGTGTGCATTTACAAATAATCTTTAGATAATTCCATGAAATAACATACTGTTATACAAAGAACTTGATATAACATACTGTTATATAAAGAACTTGAAATAAGGTGACAAATTATTGGTTTTCTGATTTATAATAAGCATAGGATATAATTTTGACGCTACATATACATAATTTTGAAAAGGGGGCCGCATTTATGTCTACGAGACTTAATTATGTTTAACGATAACGATTATGAAAAAAAAAATTATTATTGTTCTAAATTCGATATTGATGAATCCAGCATATGGGTTTTCAATATGAAATAAAAAAAAAGAAACTGGAAATCAACCAAAACGTACCATGTATGCTGTGTTGGAAATATTTTAAAAAGCGTGTTCATACTTCGTATTATTTTAGTTAATATTGTGTTTAACGATGTTTATAAGAACAGTAGAAACTGTAAAGCAAAATATATATTGTAATAAAAGTTTCGTTAAGTACATATTTGCGTTTACAGATGAAAGAAAATAAACTGAAAACTGTCCAAAAATCAATGCAAAGAAAAAGAACTGCATGGGCAAATATGCAAATTATATAAACTACAAAATATACAAAATATTGAACCGCAACCGTTCACGTCACAAGAGAAATCTGTTAACAATGATACAGTCATTCAAGATTATATATTATATATTTAAAGCACACAAACAACCAAAACTTTCATATTTATAATATTACTATAGACTAGCCTATACTCGCGACTTCGCGTAGATTTAGATAAAAATGCAGCTTAACTAATTACTTCCAGGTTTAAGCGCATTTTTAATTTGAAGTCACTTGCCACGCAGCTCATTTACAGATGTTCTGTTATATGTATTTTCCTCATCATAATTTTTAAATTATTTATCCAAATTACTTACTGTAAAAGACAAAGATTATCTACGTTACGTAGCAAAAGTGAAAAAAGTGTTTGTTTGGATAAGAGTTTAAACTTAAGATAAAATATGATTCAATGATATTTACGTTTAGTCAACTTAATTACAATAATCATTAACTCATATTTTCCATTCTCTTACGTAGGTATATCATATCCAAAAATCTGCATAAAATTAAAATGGCTCCCACTTTCATTAATTCTGTTACTAATTTTTTTTATGCGACTTATAATGAGAAACAAGCTGACGGCCCACCTGATGGAAAGAGGTAACCGTCGCCTATAGACATGAGCAGTAGGTTCTAATTTAGGCAATTTTTCACTACTTGACCGCAAATGACGCAACTTGTCGGAGAAATTTAAATATAATAATATAAAAAATAAATAATAAAATAAAAAAAAAATTAAATAAAGAGCTTAGTAATGAGTTAAAATAGTGTGTTGGTTTTCATGGAGAACTGCATGGAAGTCGACTTGGTGCGGCATATTGATAGCAATGAGTTGCTAGTTCCTAAATTGTTTGGTTTAAATTAAATTTTCTCTAACAAACAACGTTAACCGCTTTGAATTGAAATAAAAAATTAGGATTGAAAACAAATATATTGTCCTCGTGATGAATTTATCTGGAATTAATTATTATGGTTTCCAGGGTTAATTGCGTGGAAGTCCATTTGACAGTGTGTTGATAGCACTGCGGGGCACTAATGCTCTGTACTAACAACCTCACCTTTTACGTATGAGGCATGGCATGAGTGTTATAGTATATTCTGTAGTGTAGCTATATATACATTCTATGTGGGTCGACCCCCACGCGGTCTTCTGTAAACTATTGTAATAAATTCCTTGTTACAAAAATCTATTTGATAAAGTTCATTCTCATTATTTCATTCTTTGCTAGTGCCACAGTATACCATTAATTGCAGGTGCAATTTCATTTTTACATATTATAAGAAATACACTATGAAAGCTTTTTTATTATGTTCGGAAACATATAAAATTAGGATTGTGTGCAAATATAGGATTAATTCACTAAGGATGTAACTGGCAGTTGAAATAGTAGAGGGGGTAAGGACGAAATAAGAAGGAGATATGCTATCACAAAAACAGCTGTAAGTAAACTGCACAAAATTTAGAAGAACAGTAACATCACAAAGATTACCAAAATACTTATAATGAGGAGTTTGGTTTTTCCAATTTACCTGTATGGTGCAGAAACTTGGACGATCAGACAACAAGAATGCCGAAAAATTGATGTTCTAGAAATGTGTTGCTGCCGACTTTTGCTGCAAATACCTTGGACTGCCTTTCTAACTAACGTTTCCATTCTAAATGAACTAAAAATCAGACAAAGATTATCGTTAGCTGTTACGAATATGGATAATATATAAATACGAATTCTCAAGTACTTCGTTCATATTATCTGGAATAAAAATTGTACGGAACGCCTAATTGTTCAAAGATCGGTACAAGGTAAACGTCTTCGGGGATAGATGACCAACACGATGGACTGACCTCATCAAAACAACCACACAGCAATCTATTGTGGAATGCTCTCGCTGTGGAATCTGGAAGGCTGTGAGCAGAAGTAGATGGAGACCCATTGCAAGGACCTCAATCGCGAAGGAGGGCCTCATCAACAATCCACTATCATCATAAAAAACCACGACCACTCTGTCAAGAGTGTACGACTGAAGAGAGAGTAACTATGTAGAATCCAAGACAAAATAAAAAAAAAGGGAGACAGCGTCGTAGGTGGGAGGATGACAAAAAAAAAATAGCAGGCATTACATGGAGAAGGAAGACGCAAGATTACATTTTGTGGCAAGCTTTAGAGGAGGCTTATGTTGGGAAACAAGACAATCTTTGCGGTAACGGTGTTCAAATAAAAAAAAAAAATAGTTATAAATAAACTTTATTGAAATAGTGTAAAACAACTAAAAAACTATTGCATTAAAATTCAACATTTAAAATAGCAAATGGTAAAAGTCAAGATTCAAGGTTAACAACTTGTGACCAGAAGACGTGTCCGGTTCACATTTAAACTCAGATTTATTTCAACTCATTATTTTTTTTATTTGTCTGATGAAACGTAGGTACGTGAGTAAAATTTACCAGCTGTAAATTTTACCCTCATACCTACGTTTTGTCGTAAAGTCAAAGTAATTAACTGATCTTTCGATTAATATAAATACAAGATACACAAGAGTGTTTACATTTGCAAATTTAACGAAAGTGTGTTAAAAGTTATCTAATTATGTAAGATGCCAACTTACGTCGCTTTACTTAAAGTGAAAAGATGAGTGTCTGAAGGTGTTTTTTTTTTTAATTATAACCTAATGCAACAGATCCTGTCCTGTCCAGTCCAAATTTCAATGCGAATTTGCATATTTCTGGGTTTTAATAGGTGAAAATGGAATGCGTAGGTATACGCTGGTGGGGCACCAGTGACGGATGATTAGTGAGAATGAAAGCAGGCCAATCCATCGTAATAAATTTGTCAATAATTAATCACGTTAGTAACAGGGGGAATCATGAAGATCTGAGTGAGTGTATTGCAATGGATCTGTTAGACTCCATTACCAACAGTTCCATTCCC